GGTGCTCTGTAGGTGCATCCACTTAATACTATTGCGTTATTTAAGTGTAAGTTAACCCATAAAGTCTCAGGCATGCTAAGTGTACTACTTTCTAGCCGTGATACAGTAAGTGCATTCAGAAAGTACATGAGGCAACCCCCTCCCTTACCACCTTCCCTGTCACACCTAAAGTGTGTGTAGTTATCTAAGCTTATCTCTTCATCCAGTATGTTCGAATTACACCAGGATTCAGTGATGACAATTATAGGGGGTTTGTATATTACTGTGAGTGCTCTGAGCATCGGTAGTTTATTTAAAAAAGATCTAGCATCTATGAGGATCAGGTAGATATGAGATTTGAAATAGCATTTGAAGTATTTAAGTTCGTTAATCAGCCCCGAATGTGGTTCAGCACCCAGCAGTACTGTTTGACATGGCGACCCTATGTTAAGAGGAGTTTCAATATCATGCTCATCTATGTCTATCGAGTTGGTGTGTGCTGTTTTCGGTGAAGAATTGAGTGTTGGAGTACTGGATTTGCTATAGGCTAAGGCATTTTTATTTTTAGTTAAGCCAGAAACGTGGGTAGAGATCTTTATTTGACCTAAACTTGTGCATGTATCAGGTGTGCTTAATGGATGCGGGTGAACTAGACTGTTCCTATATTCATGCAAAGGGGGCACCAGCACTAGCGGTTTAGCAGTGTCAGCATCCCTGCCAGCTGTTTTTTCAAAGCTGACAGGGAAGCAGGGGATAAAAAATGATTGGGACCTTGTGAAGACCATGATTTATTATTCCACCTGTTGTTAGGTACTAGTTGTGTCCTTGTGTGGGTTTCGCGTGTACTGCTTTGTGGGCTAGTTCCCAGCAGACGTGTACCATACATCCGATCAAAATTTATTTGTGTGCCATACTGTGGATGCCCTGAGTTGTTGGTGGTCGAGTTGTGACTATTGCCACTTGTACTGTTGAGGGTGGCATTGTTTTGGCGTTGGTTATAAGTGTGGGCCATGGTGCTATTTCGCACGTTGTGGGTGCCAATACTATTGACCGTGGGAAATGTGGGCTTATTTATACTACCATTAATGTTGTTGGCATGATTTGGGGTCATATTCTCTTTTTTTACCGATGGACTTATGGCTAGGAGAGGACAGGGTCGACTTTCGGGGGATTTTGACTTTTTTCCGGGATTATTTAGTGACATGTCTATATCTACGGTGGTAGGTGGTATAGTTTTATTGGCTATTCGATTACAATTTAGTGGCCTTTCGGCTGGTGTCACTCTCTGAGAAGATAATTCCGTGTGGTTTGAGAGGGGTGGTGCAGTGGATTCTACGGTATCTCTCAAAGGGTTGGGTATAATTGCTGCTTGCAATGTCCCATTGTTTATTCCACAATTAGACTCAGTGTGATAATTATATACGCGCCTTTCTATGACTGTCTTGTCCACCGCAACCTTTATTAGTTTGTAATTTCTGGCTGGCGATAGGGTGTGTTGGGAGTGGATGAATTTTCTGGCCTCAGCCGGTGTTTCGAACTGAAAACGAATAGGACAACACTTGTCATGTTGACTCTTCTTCAGCCTGTAGCACTTAGTCTTGGAGTTGGGCATTTTCGCCTCACTGAGTAAGACGCGCTGTACTCTTTTTAGTGCTTCATTATCCGGAACGTTGTAGACAATAGCATTTAGTTTAGCGTCGAGTCGTTTTGTTACTTCTGTAGTAACAAAGTTAATGAGGTTATCCACCTTAGATACCGATTCCGTGTCAAGTTTGTTAAGGTCTACAGTTTTCATGAGGATAGTTAAAGGTGTCAGTTCACAGACCTGCGATCTGATATCACTGATCTCATCTGATAATTTGGATATTTTGGTATTGGTTTCAGAAATTCCAGGATTTACTGAACTATTGTTTTTTATTTCCCTTAACTCGGCCTTAAGTTCTCCCATAGACAACTTTAGCAGTTCTATTTCTGAAGATAGTATTGAAACAGAGCTTGAAGGCTGGAGTTTTTCGATAAGCACATAAGATGAAGGGAGGGTTTCTGTATGAGCAGAGGGTACTGAATTTTTGGGAGTAGTGCTAATACTAGTTGTCAGTACAGTATTATCCTCAGATTCAGCTCGACGCTTACGACATACAAGTGAGTTATGTGGCTCACTATAACCATTTGTAGGGAGTGTGTTGCTTGATGTAGCAATCAACGACTTAAAATAAGTCATCAGATTTACAGGAGATTGAGTTCGTTGCTTTTTTCTTTGGTTAACCATAACTATTTGATATGAGATTTAATAGTTATAGGTATGGAGGTAGTAGAGTACTTGTGCAAGGATTACAACAAGATAAATTTTATGTAACGAATCACGCAAAAATGTAACGCAAACGTTGGACGTACCGCGTTATCAAGTCACCCTTAAAAATGACATGTTACTCTAAAAGCCATCGATTAAATACTTGCTATTGCCTTTGGAAATGTCAAGTACACTCTCACGAACCACGAATGGACCCCATATGTTTGGAGGAGCCTGGGTGAGCATTCAGTATGATTCTCCTGGCTGCTATACGGGTGCTGTAGAGTGCTGATGATCCCACTGACAATTACTGAGCCAGTGGCATATTTCTAAACCAGACAGAATCTTTGACTTTTTGTCAGTTTTCATACTGTTTCGCATGGCACTTTTTCCCATGTAAAATAATACGTTGTGTTCCAGGTACGCCGTGCAGGTACGGCGTGCAACATTTACGGAAGCCATTCTATGATACGAGACTTAGGTTCATAACCTCTTTACGAGATAATTGGTTGCTAAAAAATAAACAAGATGAATCGTCTGATGACATCTAAATCCGAAATAGGGTGCCAGTAATTATCATTCTGATCGACCATTTGGATAGAAGGCACTCATTCAACGCCCTTGCCAATTTGTAATTGGTCGTGTAACACTTGAGCTGCCATAGTATCAAGTGTTCTATCTTTATATATATATATGCATATATATAGTTGTAGATTATCAATTGCACTTGTCAATATCAGTAACTACACTGGAATTAACGCTGTCCTTAGAAGATTTTCAGCAACAATGTGCAGTAACCAACGCGAAAAAACAAAACACAAATTGGTAACTCAAGAATCCTTTATCCTCGCACCAATATGGAACCAATAATAAGGTTATAATACACAAATTCTAAGAATAAATGTCATAACAATTAATCACAATAATACTTCCGATAGTATTTCTCCGTCTTCTAACGAACAGCGTACGATAGAACTATGACTGCAGTATCGGTGACTGCCGCCAAAATATGGAGTTAGGTTTGAGTAAACAACCATGAATTGATCGTTCATTCTTCAGCTACATTGACAGCACTACATGCAGTCATCCGATGGAAAGTGACACATATGATTTCCGAAGTAGATTTTCCCAATAAGCAATTTGGAATGTTGACCAAAAATAACGAAGGTGGGTAAACAAGTGCAAGCATAAAACAAATGGCTATTGAAAACACAAATGGTGACCACATCAGTGTCACATACCGTTTAACAGAAATAACTTGCCACCACCTTCGTAATTGCCAGCATTCCGATTGAAACGGTAGGAACTCAGCTACCTTTACAGACTGCATCTCACTTACAAGAACAGTGCAGGCTGGACTTATCCGGCATGTTGGTCAAAATTTCACTCGGTAAATTTTTTTGCAATAATTTTCAATAAAATTGTGTTATATGTTTTCTGGATTGATGGGAATTCTTATTTCCTGACGAGCCATATTGGTGTCAGTGTCATGCGATCCGACTGAGACACATTCTTAGCATACTGGTTGCAATGGTTAGCGTTTCAGGAGGAGTGTATCAAAATGCTGCCATAATTAGCAAGGCGGGATGGTTGGAGAGTAATGTCATCCACACAAATAATCTACTTTATGTAGAAGCTGCATTTTTCGGCATAGTATCCTTCATTGTAGACTTCACGTCTCAGGATACCCGTGCAGCATATTTTTGTGTGAAAAACTTCTATTTGGCAAGTGAATGCTATCAGTACATGAAAATCATCTATGAATGCTAACAGAACCTTCTGTGGGAACAGAAGTTATCATGTAGATGCCCCTGTCACCGTGTGTGTGTGTTTGCACAAGAATTATCGTAAGTTGAAAGGTTATCTCTTAGTGGATTTAATCTATATTTGCACTGATTGGCCAGGCACAATATGGTTTATGTGAGTTCAATGCATGAAAATATCTCAACTTTAATAATATTTTGCCATTATCTGCTTAGCTGACAACTAGGCTAACAAATGTAGGTGATTCTTATGATTATTGCAAGTACAGTGCAGTGCAGAAGGCAATAACTCGTTTCTCATTCATCCATGTTTCACTTAGTGCATAGTATTATTATTATACACATGAATTGTGTTAATTATGAGAACTGAATCTAGTTCTCTCTATTATTATCAGTCTGCTGTCTGTTATACCATTCCCACTGACACTGTATACTTAATGTTGTAGTATTTTCGATCACCCCTGTGGAGATGAATTTCGCCTGAAATTTTTATTTATACGAAGCAGTACAGATGCAGTATCACTACTGAATGTCCAGGTTGCATTATATGGCATTGTTGCCTTCAGCAACATAGCAGATCTGAGTATGTTACAATATTTTAAGTGTTTCTCCATACTGTTAACACTGTGCATAGCTGCTTAGAATTGAGGCATGTTCAGCTTATATTTGATGACTATAGTCTCCTAAATATGTAGGATTTACAAAACTATGTTCACCAGACATAACTGAGTTTGTGGATTAATTTCTAGGTTACACATTTGCAAAACTTCCTTTAATGTAAACGTATTTAGTGTGAAGTTGGCCTGTAAGTAATCTTGATGAGGGAATGAAGCCTCAACAGTATGGATGTTTCAGAGATTTTCTCGAAATTTGCATGAAGAAATCAGCTGGATATTGAACATGCTGGTCACAGCTGTGGCGGATTTTCAAAACAACGTGAGTTTTTAGCGTTCCTATACTTTTCGTAGGCTGACAGTATTAGGTATGACCTTAAGTTCTATAAATATGTTCGATTAGGTGTTTAAATCTGGGTTCTCTAAGTACTGTATTTTTCCTGGTGGACTGGTAACATATTGTATTCTGTTAGCCTTTTCTGTATGGATTTCCTCAGAGATTTAGCTGTGGCATTCATTTTTGCACTGTACTTCTATACGTGACATAGATAGTAGCTTTAATGAGTTTGTGGGTGATTAAATTAAATCATGTTATACACAATCGAACACATTGCACTAAAAGTTTACACATCGGATTACTGTATATATATATATATATATATATATATATATATATATATAGAGGCGTATGCGTATATGCACATATATATGTAAATAAATAAATATATATATGTGTTACAGTAGTGGGAAAATAAGGTCAGTTTGTGTTGTTGCTCTTAACGCCTCTCACGATGAAGACTTAGCGTTATCATAAAGGCTTTCGTATTTCCCAATGAATGAAAAACAAAACGTAATTGTATTTAATGACGTTTTACTATTTAATGCTCATAACTTTATGAAAGTATTATTAAACCAGAATTCACAAAATCTCAGCATATATATATGCTGAGAATAAGGATTTATCCTAATTCTAAGAGTCTGAAAGGACTTGCCCTTAATCAGATTGACTCTGTCAAAAGTCTTATAAGTGATATTAAAAGAAATATATCACAAAGACAATCTCCAATTGATGATTTACCTCGAGAATTACAATTGATGTTTTGGAATATGTTAAGAACGTAACAGTAAACATAATGAATAAAAAAGGATTAGTCCCGTCAAGCCAAAGGCTTGAAAAGAAATTTTCCTCAGTTCCCGGCTGGTATGTTCACAATTTTTCCAGTGTTGTACGTAATAAAATTCAACTGGAAGTGTTACCTCTAGGTCCCAAGTTTGGTGGTTATGATCCTGAAGGTAATCAATTAGACACGGATGTACACTTTGAAAATTTGTATTCGCATCATGAATTAACGATGAACTGACTAGGTTCATGACTATGCTAATTGACCACTGCCAAAGATTCAAAAATAATAGACACTCAGAGAAGCTCTTAGAGAACTTAGAAGTAATAGAAGCTTAATTATTAGCAAGCCAGATAAAGGTGACGGTGTAGTTTTATTAGACAAAAGTGATAACGGTAAAATAATAGGTGTTTTGAGCGATCAAGCTAAATTCCAATCCCTTGGTTGTTCCAAGGACCTCAATGTTTAAGCGGAGAAACTAATGACAGAATCAAATAACTGAACCAAAAAGGAGTATTATTATCAGGCATGTATGAGTCTGTGCACCCAACGGGTACCCACTCTCCACGTCTTTACGGTCTACCCAAAGTACACAAACCAGATCTTCCTCTTCACCCAGTTTTAGATATGTATAACTAACTCTGTCCATTTCATGGAACAGCAAAGTGGTTAGTGAAGATTCTGGGACCTTTACACAAAGAAATTGTACGACATAGAATTAGTGATGTCTTCGACCTTATTTCTAAAATGTCGGAGACTAATTTTTAATGATTGTGATTGTATCATCAGTATTCACGAATGTACAACTTATTGAAACAGTAGATTAGATTTGCCAAAAAATCATCGAAAGATAAATGGACTTAGGAAGTCCCTTATGTGGCCTCAAAGAATTGCTCCTTAAATAATGCACACTACGCTGCCTCCCTGGCCAATATAGTGATTTGCATTTATCTGTGACAGGTTTCAATACATTACTCGGTTAAAAGTGGTTAACTATACTACTATGATTGTGTGATATGCGCTTTATTTATATAGGTGGGGCTCTTGAACTCATTTTTTTGATCGAAAAATTGTTGCTTATTGCGTGTAGTGCTTGCACTTTACTCTCTGTTGAGGTTGTCAAGGTGGATTATTATTAAAGCTACCACAGCATGTTTAATAATAATTCCAAACAGAATTTCGGTACAAATATAGAATTTTCAGCTTGTAGTACAGTATTGCATCTTACTTCCTCACTATACGGGTAATAATTAAACCAGCGCATTTACATTGTCCAACAAGAATGTAAATATAAATTTAAACCAAATGAAAATAATAACAAAAAAAAGAAATAAAAATTTCAGTAATTCACTTTTCTGGCAATCTAACTATTGTTGCTTTTTAATACTTTTGCCCTGTTCTTCATTATTGTGTGATTACACTTGCAAGTGAATACATTGCAATCTCTTAGATTTTCTGAGCATATCTGAAGCTAGATCACCTTTGAATTCCAAGTTCATGAATAAGGTTTCCTTTGGAACTGAGTCAGTGACCAGTTTAGACTGCTTATCTTTCATGTCACTGTCAATAAATCTGTTCGGGTAACCGTTTTCTGCGAGCGTGGCTTTTAGGAAGTGGAGTTCTGATTCAACGCAAACAGATTTACAAATGTTTTTTATCGTAAAGCAAAGCGAATAAATTAGGTTCCTATTCCTAGAGGTAAACACCAACTATAAGAATTAGTTGTCCATTCCATGTACGTTTCCGGTGGATGGATCTTTTGAGAGATTCGTCATTACGTCTACTAAGGCACACATCAAGAAACGGAATACTTAGTTCAGATCCCTTTTCTATGATGAATTGTAAAGAGATGGCAGTTGTTGAAAGCAAACAAGACATCATCATGAATTACGTTATAATCGCAGATAACGAAAGTGTTGTCTACGTATCTCTTATAAATGTCAAAATGACCGATGGTTTGACTAAGTAGAGAATTTTCAAGCCTTGCCATAAAACAATCAGCCAACAAGGGACCCACTGGTGATCCCATGGCAACGCCGTCTCTCTGTCTAAAAACCTCATTATTGAAGTTAAACTGAAAACATTTACACAATGCTGGAGATCTGTGAGCAAAGTCATACTGCTGGGGAACAGGAATGTAACAGCAGTAAGGTGTTCCCCTCAAATGACCAGCATGCCGACCAGTTGTACCGTCTCTCCACTCTGTAAAGGTTAGGGGAATTAGAAAATGTCAACACCAAACATTGTACAACATCCCAACTTACCCTACAGTGTACTCCGTAGCCGGTGGTAAGTTACTAAAAGCCAGTTCAAACAGCCTGTGCTTATGTGCGTGTGTGTGTCAGGCTTCAAGCCGTTATCTCCTGAGCTCTGAGGTCACGCAATACTAATTCTTTTTTCTGTTCCCGGGTTCTCCAAGAAAAAAAATCAACTGCTATAGTGTGGCCAGCCGGAAAGTAACAACCGCCTACCCACTAGCTCAATAACACATAAAGCCTCTTTGTAATTAAATTGTCAATATGAAATCATATTGTATCCTTCTTTTTTGTTTATATTATAGATTGTAAAATAAATGGTCAACGCTGAATCGTCTACTTCACACAATCAAAATGTCTCATCTTATCCCTTTAGAAATAATAATGTTAATATCTTATCCAACCTGGACAGTACACATGGATATGTTGATTTAAAGTGTATAAAGGGGAAAAGTCTTCGAGAAAGATTTCACGAATTATTACCGTCATCATCATCCTCATCCTCCACATCATCATCATCATCTTCGGTTTCAATCAAATATGAACTAGACAATCGTATTGATCGTTTTAAAGAAGCTTGTCTACAGTTAATTGGTAAAGATTCAGTCAGTCTGAAAGAACTTGCCACGTCTGCTATATTCATACTCCTTGGAGATATGGGTGATCAATTCGTAGAGTTGATTAGTCGTAGTGTCTCTGTTGTCGATATACCACGTCATTGTTCACTGAAACAATTAAAGCCTAAATTGCTAGGCAAAATTGGAGCTTCTGGAGCTGTGAATATTGATTTAGCATGGATTGATGTATGCAAATGTCTAGGATCACTGTTAGCCTATCATCCATTTAAGACAGTCGATCGAGATCAGTTCAGTGAATTGTTTCGTCAATGTCGTGTTGTTTCACAGAATGAAGAACTTATTCTAAAACTTGTAAATAATAATGTTAATAGTAGTAGTAGTAGTAGTCATAAGCAGAGAAAAGCATTTCATCGGAGTACATCTAGCAAAAAGAATTCTGTTGAAAAAAGGAATGGTAGTTTGGAAAAACACGATGGCTGTAATAACGACCTTCAAGAAGACGAGGATGTGACTGATCCATTCAGGTAAGAAATTTTGCTATTCTTTTTCCCCGTTTTATAAATAACAACTTTCGTTTATTGTCATCTCTTTTGTTTTATTAATTTTATTTGAGTGGAACATTCAAAGGTGGAATGGGGTGGTGTGGGTGGGCTTTAAGCTGTAAAGCTTTATTAAATGTTCAGGTGGTAGTGCTTAATTTTTTCTCACAATAGATAGGTTTGTTAACCTCACACCAAACCTACTTACTTACTCTCTATTCCTTTGCTTAATACTTTGCCTATATGATAGTATGTAAAAGTGAGTCGTTGGCTGGAAATTGAACCCAAGGCGAAAAATCTACCGTTATGAGCTGTAATGTAAGATGCTGCTACAGGACTGGACTACGTCAACTCCTAGCTTAGTGATAGGGAGTGAAGTGATAGAACATGTGGACCACTTCACCTATTTGGGAAGTTGTATCAGCACCAACGGATTGATTGGTGACGAAATCTTAGCACGGATCCAAAAAGCTCGGGCTACTTTCGCTAACTTACACCATCTCTGGCGTAGGCGTGACATCCGACTATCAACCAAGGGACGTGTGTACTGCTCAGCAGTTCGCTCCGTCCATCTCTATGGCTCTGAAACATGGCCAATACGAGTTGAGGACATGAAAAGGTTGTCTGATTTTGACCACAGATGTTTACGATCTCTTTCTCGCGTTAGGTGGTATAATAAGGTAAGTAATGTTGACGTTAGGCGTAGAGTGTTGGTTGGGCAAAGAGGGAAAATCAATCGAAGAGGCTATAAAGTTACATGGATTGAGATGGCTAGGTCACGTGCTGCGCATGCCTAACCATAGCCTCCCCCGACGAGCATTACTAGCTGATATAGGTGCAGGTTGGAAAAGAGTAAGTGGTGGCCAAACAAAAACATGGCATCAATCCATGAAACCCTTGACAGTTTAACTGAGTCAGGTAGGGAGATGCAGACTTCCGGGTCGGGGCCCTCGGAACTCTAAGAATCAATGGCTGGAGACAATAGGTGACATGGCTCAAAATCGTTGTCAATGGCTTACGCAGATGCATTCAGTCTCTGTAATCTTTCATATTCCTTTCTACCACTGCTTATTCTGTTTCACTCTTATACTTGTCAAAACTGTACTGATTCTCTTCACTCATTTTCTTGTCTACCTTTGTGTGCTATTTGGAAGGTGGCAACTCGAACTGGTGCACTTCGGTGCCAAGTTCTATGTTGAATCCAGCCAGCCAGCCAGTTATGAGCTTCGATTCGTTTACAGCAATAAAAAATTACCGAAAATACCCACCCATTGAGTTATGAAGAAAACAAAAGACAAATTCAGCGAGGAAAATGTTTTCTTTATCGACGAAATCATCTCATCAGAGGCCGAAAAGTCGTATTTATATTTACCAGAAATGTATAGTAGTCTATTACTGAACTGAGTAATAGAGGGGGCGGCGGGGTGACGTAATTGATATAATTACTCGGAAGTGGCTTTAGAAGTAAAAAATTAAAACTTGTAAATTACGTGGTACTCAACGGCACAAAGATAGCAACTTGATGAGGTTAAAATTGCTATTGAGTGGGAATAAAGGTAGTTGAGTGTCAATTTAACAAGTATGAAAAGGGTGTGAAAATGTACAAACGGAGCATATGAGAGTGATAATAGTGAATTAATTATTAAAGCAAAAGTAAACTAAAATTAAAATTAAAAATTAAAAAAAGGAGAAGAAAACATCAAAATTTTCTACACGGAACGACTAGTAAAGAGGTTAAGACCAAGGTAGGATAAGAGACTGGACAAACTTTTTTTCTGTATACAGAGTTTGGGGTTGTATTGATGAATTCCTAGAGCCTCCGCCATACACAAAAGCCGAAACCTGACGCCCTTTGTACCATTTGGCCTCACCTTGTAGATAATCTTAAAAGGCTATTCTGTTGGAGTTACGTAGCTCGATAATTGAGCTAGTAATTGTTTTGTTTTGTCGTTTTGCTAACCATGTCGGATGATGTTCAGAGATGCGTTTAGAAAATGTGCGCCAAGTTATGCGGCCTATATAACTAGCTCCACACGAGCAGGTGGATTTATAAACACACATTGAATTGGCCCAAAGCGGTGGCAGTTTATCCTTCACACATCCATTGATCATTTGTCGGCTGTAGAAATTGATACTTAGCTCAGCCATAAAGAAGGCTAAAAAAAAATATTTTCAAATGTTAGTTTATATGGATTGGATTGGGAACAAGTTTGATAGCTGCGATTTACTCCTGTCAAATGTAAGATGATGCTACAAGACTGGACTGGACTACATTGACTCACTCCTAGCTTAAAATTACGGAGTGAGGTGGTTGTTGAGCGTGTTGACCACCACTTCACTTATTCGGGAAGTCTATGTTCTGTCTGCCGTTTTAGGTGGCACAATAGGGTGAGTAAGATTGAGGTGAGGCAGCGGTCGATTGATAGGTAAGGAGGGGGGATCAGTTGACGAGGTGGTTGTAAAGCAGCTGCATCAATTGAGAGAGATGGTTAGGACATGCGTTACGCATGCATCCCTAGCCTATCCATCGCCTTCCTTGACAATGGGCAATGTTATCTGACTGACAGGATGGATGAGGTTGGAAAAGAGTTAGCTAGCTAGTGTTGGTCAAAGCAAAACATGGCTTCATCAGTCAGTGAAATCCACAACAGTTAGTTTAAGCCAACCAGCCAGCCAGTCACGTAGGGAGGGAGGTGTAGACGTGCTGACTGACTGATTGGTTGTTGTCCTCGGGATAGTAAGAACCAAATTTTACCAGCATCTGATTGATTCCATGAATTCCTTATTAAATATAATTACGATTGTAAAACAGCTTTCCTTCGGATCAGATCACAATGTGCGCATAGTCTGCTTGATACCATAAATGTGTGATCAAGATCAAGGAAGCAAGCGTTAGTGGATAAAGCTATATACTCCTACCACTACTATTCACATCAAATCTGTAGTGCCAGCCAGCCAGGATGAAGTGATCTAAACACATTAGGATGGTTATTTTGCTTGTTTGGAGTTGAGAGCATCAGTGGCGTACTCGGTTTGACTCTTAGCTCAGTGTGCTAATTCAGTTTGAGACCACCGAAATTCTGAATAGTTAGCTACTTGGGCCGATAAGAAGACTTCAGAAGATTTGGATCTCGTGGATGATTTACCTCTAACGTGCTGTTGGGGCACTGTGTTCCACTCGCAACCTAAGGAAACAATAATAGCAATAAAAATTGGGCCTCGATCCGAAACGGTAATCCGGTGTTTTTTTAAACCAGTTCAACCTGGCTAACTGGCTGGAGAGCACTGCCGTTTGATGCGAAGGGTGTCCAACTACTCATTTCCACTAATTAGTAGTATATAGAGTCATGCATGCAAATTTTAAGGGATTATAACTAACCAACTGATTATTATTATTCTTATTATTCCTTTTACAGGCGACTTCTTCTAGCTCCTCTAATTGAACAAAATAAGAAGAAATCTACCAGCCAACCTGCAGCTGCTTCTTCTTCGTCTACCTCACTACAGTCAACCAGTCTTTCTACATTAACGAACAAGTTATCTCATAAAGCTAAACAATTAGACATATCAGATGAACAATTTATCCAAATGATCTTTGATATTTTAGCCTCTTCTAAGTCAAATGATGAAGTACAAGAAGAGGTGAGATTTACTTTTTTTCAAATGTGAAGATGCTTACTGACTGACACCTCTGGTTGTATATTGTTCCTTTAAGCTCTCAGTGAAACATAGGTCTTCAACAGTACACTTCCATTTTTATCCTTCTCTCAACAATCCTTTATAGCTGGCTGTTTGACTATGCGGAAGCTCTAATCTTCTCCTTTCACGATCTCGTATATGTCACCCTCGAACTGACGCCCAACTCGTCTCTACCCATTTGTGTGTTGCTTGAGGGCCTCCTCCGTGGCCTCTAATGTCACTCAGTGGTCTCCTCAGCTTGTGCCTATCTGATACATCTCCATTTCCGTCAGCATATTTTTGGGGCAATAGGTTGCCGGTTGGTTCGTTGTCTGTCAGAGTTTCTTCTTACTAGTCCTTTCTAACTGACCGACTATCTGATCTTCAGCATGGAGCTGGTGAAGGCATCTGTTGTAATAGTTGTGGTCAGTACCTCCTTGCCTCCCCCCAACCTTCTGTAGACACTGATTTCGATTTTCAAGGCCATTTATCTCTTTCAAAAGGGCTAGTCTACATTCCACTGTGTATTTTTTTACCACTCATATTTCTTAATTGAGTTGTAGGTGATTGATTTAAGAGCCTGGTTTTGCAGTCACCAGGTTACGGGTTCGAGTCCCACTCTACCGAATACTTCAGCCTAGAGGCAAATAACTGGGTAGTATCACCAGCTATCAAGCTATAATAAGTTTGGCTCATGTAGCCTGATGTCAGAAACCTGTGCTCCGGTCAACTGAGCCTAAATAAAAAAACACTGTCTTCATCAGTATAACAAACATATATGATATGTAAGACACTCGAATCGTACAATTCTGCGAAATAATTTGATTTTCAAGGTGAAACTGATTTTGTGGTGAGAACTGCCTGCAAGCCAAAATTGTAGACAACAACTGACGTCCATATTTACGTCCCGAGTTGGGGTCATGGGAAAAAAACACAATAACAAAGCTTAACCTTGAGGAACTCACCAACCAATCACAGCAGACGTAACGTGTGCAAATACGATTGGCAGATGTATGGCTTAACTTTCTAAGAAGCGGTCACTAGCAGTACAGATTAACCTTGAGCAAGAAAACAACCAATCTGAACACGTTACCTGTCTGCTAACAGTAACACTAATAATAATGTACATAAAAATCGATAAGTATCTGTTGATTTTCTTAATAAACGATCTGTCGCCTGGCTGCCCTTGTCTTCTGTCGTTACAATTTGACCGTCTAAGTTGAGTCAAACGGGTTACAGCACTGATGAGCTCTGCCCTCAAACAAGTGACAAGGCCCGCCCCAAGGTGTTAAGATCACCTTGATCTGGCTGACTAGCTAGTGGTGCAAAACTGCTCATCTCAATCAATTAATAAGTAGTATGTAGTTACTATGATTTTCAAATGGTTTGTGGAGTTTTTCCTACATCTTCTAATACTCCTGAATGTATATCCAACATACATATGCCCAGCTTTCCATTTTTTGTATTTCTTTCTCCCTACCTCTCCCCTCCGCAGTTATTCGAATTAATCGGATTGGATTGTGTGGATATTGTCTTCGATCTGGTAAATCGACGGGATGAATGGATAAATGTTTATTTTCCAAGCGATGGTAAGATTTTTGTGTTCTTAAAGCAAAGTACTTGCCATGTAGCTGTTCTTTATATGCATCCCTCCTTCCCTCCCTCTTTCACTCACTCGCTCACTCATTCACTGGTTTCCTGATTTCATTATGCACAAGTACGTGTATTGACGATGATGAGTTTCAAAATGGAACTATGCTCAGAAGTCTAGCAGTTGAACTTGTCATATTCCATGTAGCACACAAAGGTAGGGAGAAATAGGAGGGAGATAGGGATAGGAACATTGAAAACGATGATGGTTTGGTGGGTATGGGGGGTCTCACAAACACACACACACATAGGGAGTGAATGCATCCACATCCTTAGCAATGAATTCGAGACATATCAGCAATATAGCGAAAATATTCATTCAGACATCTATCTACCAATTTAACTGCTCCTGTGCAGTGAGCCAGTTACATAGGCCGTGCAATTACACGTGTTTCTCGTCGAATTTCCGAAAATCACCCTGTGTGGTTAAGTAAAGGACAAACAAAATCCATTCGTAGCGTCATTCTATCTCGTCTTGTGGTTACAGAACACAAGATTGATGATGGTAACGAGGCAGCCTTCAAAGTCATTTACCGCATACTAACAAATCTTAACTTCACCTTAAGAGTTCGTTTACTAAATATTGGAACCCACATTAAGAGGCCTAATTTATGTGTCCAAAAGAAGCTAGTTCAGACATTATCCTTACCTTGGCCATCTAGGTTCCAATGATCCTCAATTTTTGTAGAATTTTCCTAATTTTAGTTGATATTCTCTTTGCTATTATTATTATTAAAGCATCTTTAATGAACTTCAATTCCATTGCGATCTTACTTAACGAATCGATATTATTTAAAAAAACTACTAGTATTGTCATTGACTACTAATCTAGAATATTCTCTGTATATAAACATGCATATATAATTGTAGAGCCAGAAGAGGAAATTATCGAAAAAGATATTCTTTGCCCAATTATTTTGTGTTTTATAGATATCAGCAATAGTTTCTAGCCATTGGTTCTTAGCAGCCCAGTGACTCTAACCAGGCAGTCAACTCCTCCTGATGTAGCTAGCTTAAAGCAACAGTCAAAGTCTTTGTGAATCGATGCCAGATTTTAATTTGACTGCCTGTGTAATTCTTTTCACATCTCACTCTTTGTCAGCTAACATTACTTGTTGAAAGAAGGCGTTGCATTGAAATACGCAACACACATGTCCAAGTAGATATCTCAATGGATGCAACTTTACAACCTCATTGATTGATTTACTGTCCTTAGCTAAAACTCTACGTCTAACCTCGATACCGAATAATAATAATAAAAGCAGCTTTATTCCAAACAGTACTTTTGGTACAAATTTTCAGCACGTAATATTATCATTGAAAATACCTAATGAGTCTTGAAGAAAATAAAAGACAATTCGGTTTTCTTTATCGACGGAATCATCTTCACAGGCTGTACAGTCGTGTTTATATTTACCAAAAATGTATAGTAGTCCATTATTGAGTAATAGGGTAGGGGGTGACATAAGTGATGCAATTACTCAGAAGTGGCTTTACTAGTGAGAATAATAGTTGTAAATTGCGTAGTACTCAACGACAGAAAGGAGGTCCTGGGTTCGAATCCCGATGGGTGCGTATTGCTGAAGAGTCCCAAACTAGGACGAAACAGCTGTCCAGTACTCCCAGGTTTTCCAGTGGTTCTCTAACTGATGTCAGCTCATGATGAAATCCTCCATGCTAAGAAAGGAAGAAAGCGTTAGAACTCCATAATGGATAAGATTTTATTTTGATAAATCACACAGTGTTGTACAGTTATATTAACGGATGACGTTTCGAGCACAAACTATTGCTCATAATCATATCAAGTATCTTATCCATTATGGAGTTATAGTCTACCATAGTGCCCAAGTTTTATACTTATATCAAGGCGTTAGAAGTTTGATAATGTTAAAATTGTTGTTGAGTGTCCATTTAACAAGTGTGAAGAGGATGAGAAGGCGTACAAAAGGAACATATGGGAATGACAAAAGTGAATCAGCTGTTAGAAATAAAAGCAAATCTAAGTCATAAAAAAGTGACATGGAACAATTAATGAAGAGGTTAAGACCAAGGTAGAATAAGAGACTGGACAAAGGTTTTCTGTATACTGAGTTCTGGGTTGTGTTGAAGAATCTCCACTGCCTCTGCCATACACAAATCACGAGACCTAACGCCCTTTGTACCATTTAGTCTCACCTTGTAGATAATCTTGAAAGAAGACTTTGGTGGAGCTACGTGGCTCGAGTTCACCAAGCGCTGGAGAATTGAGCTAATAATTGTCTTGCATTGTCGTTTTGCTAACCATACCGGATAATGTTCAGAGGTGCGTTTGGAAAGTGTGCGCCAAGTTGTGTGGCGAATATATAACTAGCTCTGCAGGAGCAGGTGAATTTATAAACACACACTGAAGTGTCCAAAATTATATCAATTATGTCACCCTCTACCCTATTACTCAATAATGGACTATTATAGAATTTTGGTAAATATAAATACGACTGTACAGTCTGTGAAGATGATTTCGTCGATAAAGAAAACAGTTTCTTCACTGAACTGTCTTTTATTTTCTTCGTGTATGGCATCTAATTTTCTCATTAGAGGAGTAATAATTAAAGTAGAGCATTTACATTGATAATATGTTTCATTAACAATACAAATATAAGGTTAAATTACGTGAAAATATTAACAACAATATAATAATGAACAAAAGGCCATTTATCTAGAGTTCCGCAGTACCTGTCTTACGCTTTTCTTATCCCACAAAATGTTAGCCTGTCGAAGAAGGTATTGTAGAGCTTTTGTACTTAGTCTTCCTAGCATACATACAGTCTTCTACAGTTGTTTCTAATTCTACCTGATGAGATACATATAGAAAGGAGAGAGTTGTGTATGGAGCGGATGGTCAGAGTTTGACAGGATAATATTTGCTAATTTCTTGCAGGAATCTAAGTGTCTATTGCCTACAATAGTATTAACGAGTTGGTTTAATGACACCCCACTTGCCCTACTGACGGCTTTTAATGCCCTTCACAGCATAACAAACAAAGTCTTTCTTGAGTAGCCGGGGAAAGATTAAGTTGTTGGGGAGCAGTAAAGAAGCATAGGCAGAATGCAAGAATTAACAAACTTAGAAAGTAATGACGGAATGGTACCAGATCGTATTTAACTTCCTTATATAGAACATCAAATGAAATATCCTTCTGGAAACTAACATGATTGGTGGGAAGACCAGGACAAATCAGGGGAAATACACAGTCCAAGGTATTTAACACCCAGTGCCATCTGTGATAGTGGAGTCTTGCAAACTTACAAGTTGACGTAAGTCGCGTTTGCGTGTCTGAAAGTGAAATTAACCACCTGACTGATATTTGGAAGGATTAAGCTTAAGAGTGACCATTTGCCGAGGACCACTGACTAATTTCAGATGAAAAAGTTATTCATTTCGGAACAATCTGACTACGAAGTAACCGTCGGCATAGAAACAGTCAGAAAAATCATCGGCACACTTAACAAAATTGACTTCGTCAGAATGCAGCAATTAAGTCATTTAAGAGGACAGAAAACAGAAATGGGGAAAGAACAGCTTCCTGAGCAGCACCTCCTAGAGTAAGTGAAGCAGTGGAGAACTTCCCATTGTAAACAGTGTACTGCCTTCTACCAAATGACACAGCAGGGGAGATAGAACGTAAAAATCTTTTGGTCAAAGGCAGCCAACTGTCAAATATCTTCTGGATGGATGCTCTGTTTTGGTTTGACCACCCCCTTCCTCCCGCCTTTACTCTCTTCCAACCTAATCTCTATGTTAGCTAACCTTATGCGTTGAGGAAGGCGATAGCACTCGGCTTGGTCTGACCATCTCTAGGTTTTTTTGTAAACTAGTCCTTATTGTAGTAACCTTGCATTTTGGAATGGATGGTGAATCAGTATGCTCAAAGTATATCAACCACTGGCCCTCGCTAGATCGAATGACCCATGAATTTCAACTTCTACCAGTGATTGATTTTAGCTCGACCATCAGCCAATATCATTGGTAAGTGTATTTATCCTCACACTCTTGAAAATTAAACTGATGCTCACTATATTGACTGGCAACAGAACGAAGATGCCAGTTGTTCTATGTGAGAAGCGGTGACCAATAGGGTCTGCAAAGTCTGGTGCGTCAGGACAAATACTCGCCGTTGACATTCGCTGGCACGTGATCGCTTGTGCTAAAATCACGAATTAGTAGAAGTGAAAATTCATGAGCGATTGGATTCCATCCTAGTGGTGGTGGTGGTTGAATGGTCGCCTTGTAAACCGGGAGGTCCTGGGTTCAGACTCCGGTATCTGCGTACCACTGAAGAGTCTCGAACTAGGTCGAAACAGCTGTCCAGTACTCTCTGGTTTTTTAGTGGTTCTCTAGCTGGTATCAGCTTGAGATCAAATCCTTATGAACCACCCACTCTTGAATATAAATGATTTGGTCGATTGTGGTCGATTATTAAGGAATCGTCCTTTCCTGTCTTTAGAAGATGTAGTGAGTTACGTGTTCATCATTAGTTTTCTTCATCTAATGTTACTAATAATAATTTAGTTTTGTTCCGAAATAATGCCTTATTACTCTTTTGTTCTCTAATTTTAGATCAGAAATCTGCCGAAGAAGTTAACTGTACTGATCAGGTGTGTAAGCTTAAAATCTGCATAATAATGTACATAAAAATCTATAAATATCTGTTAATTTTCTCGATAAACGATCTGTTGCCTGACCCTTATCTTCTGTCGTTACATTCAGTGCCGCCACCTACCGACAAATGGAAAGCCTATGCTCTGAAGTTTTTGCTGGAGACATACGGATCTTCGGGCAGGACTTCGAGGCTGTTGCGCAGTTGAGTGGCTTTCAAGATCTGTCATGTCTGAGGCTGCTATTTGGAACGCTTCTGGGATGTTGGGCAAAGGCAGCATATGAAAGTGTTAGGCGAAACACCGACGAATGTGCGCCAGGGTCAGGCAAACAGCATACAAACTGGAAGGACCCCACGTGGTCACTTTGAGATGGGTTTACGTAGACACAATCACAAATGTAAACAATGAGAAACAGATGGACGTCAGCGACCGCCAGAATTCCAGACAGCAAGACTAACGAATGAAGTCACCAGAACCAAGAAGACCGAACCAACTTCAGTCGAAAGTCTTTGATGGGGGAACGAGTGTGTGGTGATAGCTGTCTGCTAGCCAAATTAGTAGTCAGCAATTTACGTCAATGTTTACTTCCCAAATCTTGATCATGAGAAAAAAACAAGAACAAAGACTTGGTGTGGGTGGATGCGATTCGCAAATATATGGTCTGACCTTCAAAGAAATGGCCACAAAGAGATGATAGAATAAGTTTCAGCGAGAAAACAACCAATCAGAAGACGCTGTTTCTGTGCTAATAGTAACGCCAATAATAATGTACATAAAATCTCTCTCTCTCCCCCTCTCTCTATATATATGAGCTGACATTAGTTACAGAACAATTGGAAAACCTGGGAGTACTGAACAGCTGTTTCGTCCTAGTTTGGGGCTCTTCAACAGTACGCACTAACCAGGATTCGAACTCAGGACCTGGGTTCATGATGAAGATCCCGTAACCAATCAAATGCCTACAAACTAACACTTGAATATCAATGAGATGCTCACTACCGACTTGCCTTATTCAGGTAGGTAGTTACCTGGGGTTCTAGTGAGAAGTCGTGACCAGTAGGGTGCAGCAGGTCAGGTGTGAGGACAAATACTTGCCGAAGACATTGCCTGGCGGTAGCGCTATGTTGTGAATTGGCAGAAGTTAGAATTCATGGGCTGGCCATTGGATTGGGTCTCAGTGGCTTAATGGTATACGAGCTCGCCTTGTAATCAGAAGGTCCTGGGTTCGAATCCCGGTGGGTGCGTACTGCTCAAGGGTCCCAATCGAGACTGACGAAACAGCTGTCCAGTACTCCTAGCTGGTTTTCCGATGGTTCTCTAACTAATGTCAGCTCATGATGAAAATCCTGTAACCAATCAGATCCCTACAAACCAACACTTGGATATATATATATATATATATATATATATATATATATATATAACTAAACTTTTCAATTGGAATCTGTGATATATTTCAATAATTATTCTACCTTGATCTATCCCTTTTTTGTTTTTGTTTTTGTTGTTAGAATGAAGTTAAAAATGATAAAGGATCAAACGCAGCACTAATTGACCGATTGTTAACTGATCCAATCAGTGCATCAAATAGTATACAGGCTAGAATTGAAGCGAATGCCAGCCAGACAATGGAACGTTTACGTAAAGCTTTAGCTAATCGTTCTACTTCTTCACAGTTGAATACTATGCCGTATGTTTTTGATGCATCAGCTGAACTGCGTAAAACAGTCAACATTGGAGACACTTCAAAGGTAGGTATTAGTGTACTTACTTCTTTTTCATTTGTATTTTACTTAACAAGTAAACGCATAGACAACATTTGTGGTGGTGGAATCCAGGATGTGCATTTCATCCCCCACCCCCACCACTATATTTGGGATGAGTCGTCAGCTAGATGGATGGATGTACCTGCATTCCTCAGTGAGTGGTTGATTGAGTGGTAGGGCTCAAACGCCAAAGCGTTATCCCCACTAGACGAGTCCCAGAAAGGACGAAACGGGCATCTTGGATTCCACTGATAGTCACTATCTACCTAATAACCTCAAGTTAAATAAATCAGACATCGTCGAAGCATCCGAACTAGCAGGTGGACATGTCAACCTGAGGCCCTGAACATTTCGACCCAATCAGTGAGCGAGAAATTCCAAATTGAATTGAATTAAATAAACGCATTGGCATGTTTGTGAAGACATGCTTGGTTGGTGAGTACTAATAAGCACGGTGCCTTTGCTCCTCGACTTTTGTGTGACAAACGTCGTGCCAGGCTGAAATCGACTACAAAATATTGTAAAATGGGAGGCAATGGTGGTGATTAGTCATAATAAACTGGTAGAGTGTGATGATTCTTCTTCTCACCAAGAGTGCTCCTTCCCCTTAACCATCTTGGTTTTTTTCCTTTGCTTATTATTACAAATACTATTATTATTATTCGTCATAATTTATGCCCTTCATGCAAACATTCTCTCAACACTATCGAATTTTTTTCATTTAGTAGTGATATTATCTCTTTTCTCAATATATGCCTCCACCTGTTTCATGTCACACATTCGTTATTTCACAACAAACCTCTCATTGCAGTATTACTGTCTCCTCCTCTTTAATACATACCACTTTTACCAGCCACTCACTCATCTGACACCTTTTATAACCTTGAACTGACTTGTCAATTTTACTACCCCACACTCTACAAATCTGTTATGACTAATCACCATCATTGTCTCCCATTTGACAATATTTTGTAATCGATCTCACACAAATACTACTATTAATTTTGACAGTGCATAACGAATCTGTTATTCTACGTTAAAAATGTATCCGCCGCATAAATGGCCATTATTGTAAGGATAACAAATATTATATTTTATAATTGTAAGAACCTGAAGAGGAGAAGGATGTACTGAAAAGAATATTCTTCGTTCAGATTGACTTTTAATTCATGGGATATTGGAATATTTCACACTATTAAATCCTCAACTTTTTCCAGATTGCCTCCAACTGTTGAATAATAATAATAATAATGATTTCGTACGCCTTTTGTTGTTTCTAGTTGAATGTTCACCGTCGGTTTGAATCAGTAGAAAATGAAAGACTTGGTAAGGGAATATTGTTCGAGTTTGACCACGGATTGATATCACTTAGAGAACTATTGAAAACCAGCCCTGGGGTACTGGACAGCTGTTTCTTCCCCCTAGTTTGGGAATTATTTGCAGTACGCACCCACTACAGGGGTTAGGAACCCAGAACCTTCCGGTTACAAGGCAAGCTCGTATACTATTCGGTCACTGGGACCCGATTCAGTGGGCACCCCATAAATTCTAACTGATGTCAATCCGTGGGCAAACTCGAAAAACAAATTTAACCCTTACAAATCAACCCGTGAAATAAGGAATAGGGGGAGGTGGGTGAAGTTGTCCGGTTTATACATTCAATTAACGATGGCCAAAGTAAGGAAAGTGGCTGTACAAATTCCTTTTGACCCCACAGGTTTGGTTTCTTCTGGTGGATTCCTATTGTTTCAGCTGTGGTATGTAGAAAGCGAACTTGTAAAGCAATATTAAGATTAGTAGGAATGCGATAAAGGAATGTTTATTTGGAAATTGGTATCTCAATATAGCCAAAGTATGTACACCTTATCTTCAACGCACCATTTCCACTGAATCTTCTGTGTTGTGCTACTTCTAGCCTTCCTTCATGTTGTATTTCTTTGTGTTCCTTTCATGTTGTCTCCCATGTATATCCGCAACTCTGTATCATATAATTTCTCTGGCAAAGTTAAACTTTAAGCACCACCAACTAATAATGAGCGGATGACCTCGAACGCACCAATCACGTGAAAGGGGCATTTTTGTGTATGGGAAACATATATTTATGAAAAAAATGCATAAAAACTGTGGAAAGGTGTTAGAGAGGATACCTTCCTCACATTTGTGATAAAAATAGCTCTAAGTTTTAGGTTGGAGTATGAACAAAGTCTAATTCCATTGTGGGTGTTATGCAGTAATACTTACTGATGACGTTTCAAGCACAATTTATTGCTCAGTAAATATTACTGTATAACACGATGTGAAACTTTACCCGCAATGGAATTATACTGTACCACAGTGCACAAGTTCTATTCTTATACTATCAACAGAGGAATTTAACCACATCCTATGCATGCAATTATTTAGGTCTTCTAACCCTAACCCAATCCTAATCTTTCCTAAACCTAACCCTAACGTGAAAATATGCTTAAACTAACTCTAATCTAATTTGAACTAACCCTAATGTCGCCTTTAATAGGTTAACTTAACCGCAACTTGTCCTTGGCTTAAAGCGTAATTTAATCTTTGCGAAACCTAAGCTGAAAAGTGCCAGATATCCCATTTAATAGCATAACACTTCGATGAGCATATTTTATTGATGATGACAACATTATTTGCCAGATTTCACTAACTTGCTCGATGCACGTTTCAAAGTCATTGGTGCGGTCGCACTCCACTGGTTGTTAATGGTGCTTAAAGTTTAACTTGGCCATTTCTCTGACATCAAATGTATTTCCCTGCTATTTGGTGTATTTTTATGCCGATGAACATTTCTTTACGCACATATATATATACTACTGATAAATCTTATCAGTAGCACTCACCACAAGTTGACAGTAATTCCAAAACAAGACTTAGTAATAATAATGATAACTATAACCGAAAAATATCTTCCTAGTCATAGAAAGCTTACATACACTTAGTACTTGAGAAGTTGTCATCTAGTTTACATTTTATTTCTTATATCTATCCCGGCCGATAGCTGCTACCTTGACGTGGTGGTCGGGCTTGCATATCGCAATGACCCAACGAGCTACACTGGCTGGAACTTATGTTCCTGTAGGTCCTACCATGCCAGAAAGGTTGTTTAGATAGCGGTTAGACAAAAAGCAGTTACCCAACCCAATGCTTTGACTCAAAGTAAATCACAAAATATCATGCCGGATCGGCCGAGGCCCGGATTAACAACGACCGCGCTTCCTGCTGCCGTGTCACGGGGCAGAAGTGATAAATATGCTACTGAGACACACCAAATAAAAAAGAACAAACAAAAACAGGCAGTGTGTTACCGGCCTCAAGCAGTGGTGCCCTGGGCTCTGCGGTCACGCAACACTAACCTTTTCTCTATTTCAGGTTCCCGAAGACTAAACCAACTTCCACGGTGTGGGCAGCCGGGAAGTAACAACCGCCCACACACTTCCAAAAGCACACGAAGCCTACCTGAGCATCACTCTCCCTTACTCACATCACCTTATTATATCTATTTTTTTTTTACCTCCGACCATTTAGCTTTTATTGCCGGAGAATGTAAAGTATCAACAGTCGACAATCTGTGATCAAGTTGATTTCCCGTTATCTTCTAAACCACCAGAAGATTTAATCAATGTAGAACGTGTGAAAATTAAGTCATTAGATGAAGTAAGTTCTTGTGTATATTAATATATATATTGCATACAGCGTATTATTATTACGACGGTTATTTATTTTTCCCTTAGACATTTCGAGTGGAACATTAGGGCCCTTTGTTCTATGCATTCATTTTCCTTCTCTTAGCTAGCTCTACAATTATCCATAATATGGCATTTCCTCCTCATCACATGTTCTCCTCCATGTCATCCTCAAAATGGTCGCATTGAGGTTCCAGTTGTAGTCCGCATTGCAAGTGATGTTACTCAACAGTTTCCTCAGTGGAAAACGTCCGTTCAGTTTGTTTCTATTTCCTTTGGAATATTTGTTAGGCAATGGATTGTGTGTAGGTTCGTTGCCTGTCACACTTCCTTGTTGGTAAATCCTTTCTGGCCGGCCATCTAATCTTCACAGTCATCTATAGGTTATGCGGGAATCGTGTCATCCTACTATGGGGTTTTATATTGGTAGCACGGGTTCGTGACCCCACTGGGGATGGTCGAACCCCAACCTTTAATAATTTAAACCCATTGCTACCGAAAATAAAAAACAACTGTAGCTTGAAGCCCTATGTTCTACTCGGAGCAAAATGGAATAAAATAAATTTATGTGGTGGGAAAAGTTTTAGACGTGAAACGAGGAACTTACTGTGTGACAGGAAGTAAGAAAGCAGTTCTTTTTATACTTTCTATCATTTGTCATTATTTCTACTTGAATTTTAATCATACATTTTTATTCTTATTAACAGTGTTATCAATCTGGACTTACCAATAATAAGATGTAATCTGTCTTCATCATATAATGTATTTGCGCGACACATTTCGAACAATCTGATGATACATGGACTTGTCATAGGAATATATACGTATGAAAATAATAAAGAGTTAAGAGGTGGAAAGCGTCGGTGGCACAGCGGTAGAATGCTCGCCAACCATACCTCATGTGGTTCGGGGTTCGACCGCCGGCCGACTGACGCACTCCTCTACATCGCTAAGCAAGTAATAAGACTGGTAAAGAGGGAAGGTTGGGCATGAGGCTAGCAACCTCATCCCTTAAAAATAAACACCACTGCAACCAAAACTTCAAGCTGGCTCTAGCTTGAAGCCCTATGTTCCACTGGAAATGTTAGGGAATAAAATAAGAGGTGAGGACATATTGAAGGTTAAAAAATAACAATGAAGATCAATAAACCGACTAACAGAGGTAAAATAGTACATCTACCCTGGCTGGTATCAAAACAAAGTTTACCAAGGAAGGTGGTTTAGTCTGATGACAAATTCTTGCTTTGAACGCATAAAGGTGCGTTAAACTTCCTAGTTGCCTAGTAGCTAGGGCTTCCACAAACTTTAGGATGCGCCCTCCACCAAACACGTTCTAGGGATAGGTTTAAAAGACCTGTGTCAACATAAACTTTATGTCCTGTCTCCTCTGTAATATGTGTCGCAGTGGAGGAGCTAGGTCTCCTGTTCTCACTATTGATTAATGGGTTTTGAGGATTATTTTTTACTTCTGAAGCCAGCGTTTACTTGCAGAGGTGGATGAGTCCTCCCTATGTGTATGTGTGTCCCCACGTACATTCATATTGGTAAATACAGTGGGTTGTGACAGCATTATTATTGTTATCATTATTACGGTTTTTTGTATGTGTGTGTAGAGATTCTGATTAATTTCACTGTAGAACTTCGTCACGAACCAACATCACTTAAAAGTCATTGATTTCTCTACCGAATCGATTGCATGAATGTTCTCAAGTTGTATTGAGAACTTGTGACCAGTGGTGATGATGGTGGGGGGTCCACCAAGCCTAAGTGAAGTGGAGACACTAATCAAAAACATTGATTGAAGAAGGCATCACTACGTAGCACGAACTGACAAAGTTAAAATTCACGGGTTATCGAATTCTTGGCCGAGGTGTGACTGTGAACAGTCAGCAAACTTAGTCTCGTGACAATCCGATGGTAGGTAGGTTCAGGGTTCGATCCCTAGTGATGTTCAGTGATGGATGTGCACTGTTTAAGAGTGTCAAACTAAGGCGAAACTGTTGTTTTCAGTGCACCCTACTGGTTTTCAATGGTTCTTTAACTGATGTTGCTTAGTGACGATAGTATACATTAAAAATATTATTGTTTTCTTTTCCCTATGATTGTGTAGGTTGGTCAGATGGTATTTCAAGGCATAAAAGAATTGAATTTAATCCAATCTGTGGTCTATCCAACTGCCTATCATACATCAGAGAATCTTCTGGTCTCAGCACCAACTGGTGCCGGCAAAACAAATGTTGCCTTACTGACAATTGTTCATCTTCTACGTTCACATATGAAAGGTGATAATGTATTAGATTTAAAAGCTTTTAAAGTAAGTGATAAACATTCGTGTGTATTTATCATATGAGCAGCAAAAAATTGAGTCAAGTATGAGTAGTTGGGATGAGAACTCCACTGGTCTAAAGTCAGTCTGAGAATCTACAACTGGTAGTATCTGAAGTCTTGATATAACTTGTGCAGTGGGGATGAAATTTTATTTTGGTAAGATTTCACAGTGTTGTTATACGTTAAGTGATATTTACTGATGCCACCACGTGGCACAGTGGTTAGGACTCTTGCCGACCATGCACATGGTTCGAGGTTCGATCCCCTGCCGACGCACACCCGATTTCTATGGTCGGCCTGCAAAATTTGGGCTACCGATATCCATGCTGAAAATTCCATACTTGTACTGAAAATACGGTGTGGCATAAAGCTGTAAGCAAAATAAGAAATATCTGCTCATAATCATATCAAAGCACTACTCATACAGTTTTCTTGCTTCATTTATATACTTGAGTAAAAGTAGATGATTAGGCATTTGAATAAAATCAGTATAGGATAATGTGCATTCGGAAATAATAATATTAGTGTTATCAATTAAATACAATAATATGGGAAATTAAATGTTTTATAGTCAAGTAACTTGTTAGAATGTTGTGATGTGCTTGAATTGAAATATAATTTCTAGATTATTTGTTATCCCCCTCTGATTTGACTGACTGGTGGTAATAATATCTTCCATGTATATCTCTGGCATTTGCTTTGAGTCACTTCTATTGTATGTGTTGAATGTAGATTCACTCAATGAACCAGGATTCAGTAATCAACCCTTGTCTCTCTCTCACTCTCCACCTACCTATATTACTTCTTAGAATTTTGACTCTGTACCAACCACCCTATTGTGTGGTTGTGTGTTAATGCATGCACTGCGCTTGCTGATTGCTTTTTCTAAATTACTTATCTTCTCGGGGTCAACCATTCTAACCTTAGCTAAATTCTTATGTTCCGACAATCTGACTACCCCTGACCTACTAGTTTGACCTATGTAGCTAACCTAACTCACAGTCACTGCAAGGTATTTTGTAAATTATATTATTTGGTTTAATTGGGTCTACCAGGTCTCTAAGCCTACAGAGCTTGTGTCTGAGCGAGTTTGTAGGTTTGATTGCCACCACCCTAATCCCATCGTACTATAATTATTGATAACACTAATATTATTATTTCCGTATATACTTTATCTTCCATTCTGTTTCATGCAAGTCTTATATTGACTTTATTCAAATGTCTAATCATCAATTGTTACTCATGTATATAAATGAAGCAAGAAAGTTGTGTGAGTAGTGCTCTGATATTAATGAGCAGGCATAAATTAAGCTCGAAACGTGGTGGCATCAGTAAATATTACTTACTGCATAAAATTATGAGACTTAGTCAAAACAAAATTTTATCCATAATGGAATTATATGAAGTCTTCATTATTGGAATATCTTTCGTACTCTGGTTGAGGATTGATTAATTATTATTAGATCTGTGTAGTGCGCGGTTTCTTCTTTTTAAAGTGACGATATTAGCAAAATGTGTCGAGAAGTCTCATTAGCCTGAATGTATATGTAGTTGTTGCCGATATATTCCACCCAACCAGGGGATTGTGATGTACCAACTTGTACGAAACCAACATAAATATCCTTCTTCCCATGACACTGCTTCATAGACTGACCACCTCTCCGCGTTTTCTATCCAATCCTAGGACCAGCGAACAGGGAAATTCGTTGCACATGTCCAAGCCACCGAAGTTGGCCTTTCTTAATGATGACACTCAGTGACTGGTGTTCTCCATTATTTCCAAACACACTGCCGGACCCCAGGATTACCCACGTGACGATGTAATCGAATGCGAGCAATTCCACGAAGACAGTGATGATCGATTACGCCGCATATCTTGAGATTGCAGAGGTCAAGTTTCAAAGGTGTATAGCAAGATTGCACACAGATGACTTTTGATAGCTGTGCTGATGTCACGGTGGTACCAAAGGTGGTCCAAATTAGCCTATGCCACCCTAGCTTTCACGATATACAGATAGAGATCTCGTCCATCATACCTCCTACAGTACTCATATAGTTACCCAGATACGCGAACTTATCGACAACTTGAAGCAGTTTACATGTAAAGGCGAGTGCAGGTCTGTCTGTCTGTATTCGACATAGAACTTTGCGCCGATGTGCAGCAGTTCAAGTCACCACACTCCATGTAGCACACAAAGCAAGAGAAGACAGTAGAAGAAATGCATAATAGAGACAGTAGACAGGGATATGAGGCAGAAAGAATAGTAATAACGAAGAACAATATGGTTTCATTGGATAAGTCACAAGGAGTGAATACATCTACGCCAGCCAGCTATCGAGAACGATTTTGAGCCAACCATATCACCAATTGTCTCCAGGCATAGCTATTGGTTCTTACCATCGCGAGGACCCCAACCAGGAAGTCTACACCTTCCTGCATGGCTTAAACTAACTGTTGTGGATTTCATTGACTGGTGAAGCCATGTTTTGGTTTGACCGCCGCTAGGTCTTTTCCAACCTGACCCATCCTGTGTCAGCTAACATTGCCCGTTGTCGAGGAGGGTGATGACTAGGCATGCGTAACACGTGTCCCAACCATCTCAATCGGTGTAACTTCACAGGCTCGTCGATTGATTTCCTTTCTTTACCTAGCACTCGACCGATGCCTAACCTCAGTATTGCTCACCCTATTATACCACTTCACGTGGGAGATAGAACGCAGGCACCTATGATCAAAGACAGCTAGCTAGACTGGTTTTTCATGTCCTCCACTCTCAATGGTCAGTTCTCACAGCCATAAAGGAGGATTGAGCGGACTGCTAAGCAGTACACACGCCGTCTGGTCGATAGCCGGATATCACGTCTACGCCAGAGACGGCGTAAACTGGCATATGCCAAAATAGCCCTCTGTATCCGTACTGATATTTCGTCAGCGATCAACCCGTTGGCGTTGGCTGATGCAACTTTCCAAATAAGTGAAGTGTTCAACGTGCCCTACCACTTCACTCCCTATTTCTAAGCTAGGAGTCAATGTTTTCCAGTCCTGTAGCATCATCTTACATTTGGTGGGTGTGAACTGCAAGCCAAACATTCGTAGATTGCAGCTCAAAGTGTTCAGAAGACTCTGCATTTTGTCAGCGTCCTCGCGTAGAAGGACTCTATCATCTGCATATTCTCAGTCAACGAGATTATTCCCTGATGGTAACAAGTCAATCAATCCCTGAGTCTCTGAAGTCAGTTAGTGTTGAATCCATTAGTACATCTATGATGAAGTTGAATAGAAATAGGGATAATGGGCATCCCTGACGGACATCACTAGTTGTCACCGCTTCAGATGACAACTCGCCGTAAGCCCTCACCTGGCTGCATGAGTTCGAGTGCAGGTACGGGGAGGATTAAAAAGATGTCTAGACCCTTCTTACAATTTTAAATCATAATTTTACTGGATGGTGGTCAGTTTAAAAATGCAGACGTACGAAAGGGGTAGGATGCGAAAATCTCAAGCAGAGGCATACAGATGTTTTCCAGCAGTCTTTTCCAGAAACACAGGCCTTTATGTGAATGCAGATAGCATTATGAAGAAATGTCTCTTTGTTTTCCGGACAATATTTTTATGCTGTCGTTGTTTTTATCCCCTTGAGTTCCGAGTTAAATGCAGATCTCTAACAGGCTAGTGAAAATACAGCGCATAACTTAGCTGTGTTCTTCTGAAGAACCTTTTCAGATGTTATTGATTCCTGTGAATTGCAGTCTTAGGAGGAGAGATTGACTAACTTTTTTGTCAGTTGAGTGGTATGGTGAACTAGACCATATCGGAGATCGATCTAAGTGGTAAGCTGGTTACTTACTAAATTGATTTTGTTTTACTCAAATTTATTTTTAATTTTTTCTAATTTTTCTAGATTGTATATTTAGCACCAATGAAAGCGCTGGCAGCTGAAATGGCTGATACCTTTTCAAAACGTCTCAGTCCTTTAGGTGTACGTGTTAGAGAGTGTACTGGTGATATACAGCTGAGTAAACAAGAAATACTTGAGACACAGGTATGTTGCGTAATCGGTTCTATGTAAAAATGTACCATAAGATAATATGGGCTTATATATGTGTATATTGTAATCTAATGCAGTTCAGTCACCAAGTACATATTTTTCGGGGGTTCAGCGGCAGAACGGTTGCCAGCCATGACACACATGGTCTGGTGTTCGATCCATGGCCGACAAACTCACTGCTAAGCCTTTCTAAGCCGGTAGTAAAGCCGATAAAGAGGGAAGTTTGGGCGTGAGACTAGCAAACCTACCCCTTAAAGCTGATAAGAAACCACTGCCACAGGAACCCCAAAGCTCTAGCCTGAAGCGCTATGTTCCACTCAGGACGTAATGGAGCGAAATAGACTGATGATTCCCTCTGGTAGCTGAGACCTTGGTGACCTGTAGGCTGAGAATGGTCAATGGATTCTCTTCCCCCTCCCCTCCCCCCTTCTGATAACCTAAATCTCCTGGATTCATTTCATTGTATGGGCTTGTTGATGCAAGCTGCCTACGAAACAGTTGTCTAGTGCTTCATAGTTTTCAGAATTCATTTTTCAATTTAATATCGATTTGTGATGAAATCTTCTGTGAATACATTTTAAATCCTTCTACAAACTCAGTCTCTTATGTTGTCATTATATTATTATTCCCTTGGGTTCCGAGTGGAACATAACGCTTCGATTGCACATCTCCACTTCGTCCTATTCTCTGAAGTCCTCTTTAACTGGCCTCATGATTGCCTAAAGGCTTTCACCTCCTCTTCACATGATTGGCTTCATGTCACCCTCTAAGTGACGCCCAACTTGCCGTTTTTCATTCGGATTCTACTCAAGCTTGTGGTTGTATACTTCTGAAGAATTCGTCTCAAAATAGGACAGAACAGTAGTCTACTTCTACTTCTCTCCTGTGATTTCCAAAGTTTCTCTAACTGATGTCCATCCGTGGCCATAACTAATACTACTTTTTTTCTTATATTTTAGATGCTTGTTAGTACACCAGAGAAATGGGATGTTATCTCTCGTAAAGGGACTGGTGATGCTACTCTAGTGAAATTAGTTAAACTGCTTATCATCGATGAAGTTCATTTGTTACATGAAGATCGTGGTGCTGTTATTGAAGCTTTAGTGGCAAGAACATTACGTCAAGTAAGTTAATATTGAGCATTTCTTTTTTCCTTGTTTAACTATTTTTCATTTTTCAAAAGATCGGTTACTGAACAAAAAATATTCACGTTTTTGATAACCTGCTCTTCTTCATCAGGTTCTACAGTTATATTCACATAATAGTGAATGAATGAATTAGTGTTATTAACAACATTAATATTCAAGTATTGGTTTGTAGGGATTTAATTGATTGGTTGCAGGATTTCATCATGAGCTGACATTAGTTAGAGAACCATTGGAAAACCTGCAGGGAGTACTGGACAGCTGTTTCGTCCTAGTTGTTTGGGACTCTTCATCAGTTCCCACTCGCCGAAGACATTGGATAGCGGTTGTGCTATGTCGTGAATTGGCAGAAGTTAGAATTCATGCGCCGGTCATTGGATGGGGTCCCAGTGGCTTAATGGTCTATAAGCTCGCCTTGTAACCAGAAGTTCCTGGTTTCGAACCTTGGCGTTGAGTGCGTACTGATGAAGAGTCCCAAACTAGGATGAAACAGTTGTCCGGTACTCTTAGCTGGTTTACCAATGGTTCTCTAACCAATGTCAGCTCATGATGGAATCCTGTAACACCATTAATGTTGTTTAAATAACATCGAATCAATAATAATAATATCAATGGATTACAGTTCGATAGCACCAACATAACACTACGCTACATTGAATATCAGAGAAATTAGGAAAGATAATAATACAGTGGAGACGTACAGGCCAAGATTGTATGGCCTACCTAAAGTACATAAACTGGGGGTTACAGTTAACACCAATTCTTGATATGCAAAATTCTCCTTACCATTCTCAAGCTAGATGATGGTTAGTGAATATTCTCACACCTTTGCATGAGCAGATAGTGAAATATAGCGTCAAAGATGTATTTGAATTTGTAGACAAAATCAAAGATATTAACATCAAAGATAAAACTATGATATCTTTAGACATAAGATCTTTATTTACAAATGTATCTCTGGTAGAAATAGTTAACTACATATGTGAACAAGTGTATAACCAGTCGATAAATATTGGCATCCCAACAGAAATCCTAAAAGAATTGTTATTTAGGTGTACACTTTGCAGACAAGCGGAGTGGGTGGCGATGGGCTCCTCATTGGGTCCTATTTCGCCAAATTTCCTTCTACGTAAACTAGAAAATGCACCCTCGAACAACCTTATCAGAAAATTCTCATTTTAGTACCGGTGGCACAGTGGTTAGGACTCTCGCCGACCATGCACATGGTCCGGGGTTCGATCCCCTGCCGACGCACACCCGATATCTATGGTCGGCCTGCAAAATTTGGGCTACCGATATCCATGCTGAAAATTCCATACTTGTACTGAAAATACTGTGTGGAATCAAGCTGTAATCGAAAATAAAAATAAATGAAATATGGATGGCACCTGCATTCTTTGTTATAATGATTTGGATAGGAACACAATAATAACTGAATTCAAGGAAGTACACTCTTCTATGGAATTCACGTGCGAAGAGGAATCCCAAAATAGGATTAATTGCCTTCCTAGATGTCCTGCTTACAAGTAAAGCACATGGACAGGACAGTATACAGAGTTTCACGGCTTCGTTCCTCTCCAGTACAAAAGCATCCTCAGCCACAAGATTAGAGCTGTGCTCAGAAGAGGTAATTGAAGATGAATTAAGGAATGTATATAATACCTTGACAAATTCATCAGGAAACATGACTAATAAAGTTGAACAGGACTACTCACTATCCGTAAACAAGAAGCCTTTATACATTCAACTGCAATTTAGGGGCGATACATCCAGCGAAATAATTACGAAGAAGCTAAGAAAATATATTCAAAGAACTGTTAATGCTGGTAAACTACAAGTCTTATTTTCTACACGACCGATGGTGATTCCTTAACTGAAAGACGAAGTACCTAGACTAGACTAGCCACTTCTAATTGTATCTACCAATTCAACTGCGCTTGTGATGGAGCGAGTTATATTGGCTGTTGCTCTAGGAACTTAATTTTTCGTGCTCGCTCGGGAACATCTACCAGTGTGACTAAATAAAAGTGTGGTGAAAACCATCATCCACAGTTCAATATTGAACCACCTGGTCCAAACTGGCCACAAAGCCAACTAGCATTGAAGAATCCTTCTCCATCATCATCTGCCGGGTACCAAACAAATTCCCAAAAACATACTGAAAACAGCGGAGGCTATTGCAATTTTCCTAAAACAATCGGTGCTCCGTGTTTGCAGAAGAAACAGCTCCAGCCAGCCACTACTAGTGCTCTGGCCGGCCTTCAATGGAGACTGTAAATTCATGAATTTGTATTATTATCTTTCCTAATTTGTCTGATATTCAGTGTAGTGCAGTGTTATGTTGATGCTATTGAACTGTAATCCATTGATATTACTATTATTATTACTGATTCGATGTTATTTAAACAACATTATTGTTGTTCATAACACTAATTCGTTCATTATTTTTTTCAAAACTGCTACTACCAGTAGTAGTTAACAGAGAATATTCTTTTCTGTGATTTCTTATTCATAAAGTTCTACAGTTACATGCGTTTATCATAATAACAACTAGAAAATTTTTGTTATAAACAACAACCATCCATCGCCTTTCTCAACAATGGGCAATGTTAGCCGACTGACATGGAATGGATGAGGTTGGAAAAGAGTTAGCTAGCTTGTGGTGGTCAAACCAAATCATGGCTTCATCAGTCAATGAAATCCACAACAGTTAGTTTAAGCCAGCCACGTAGGGAGGGAGGTGTAGACTTACTGACTGACTGGTTGGTTGGTGTCCTTGGGATGGTAAGAACCAATAACAACGGTGGCTGGAGACAATCGGTGATATGGCTGGCTCAAAGTGATCGTTCTCAATGGCTGGGGGAGATGCATTCACTCTTTGTGATTTATAATATCCAATAAAATTCTTTCTATTGTTCTTCGACATTACTATTCTTTTTCCCTCACACTTCTGTTTATTATCTCTCTCTCTCTCTATTGAATCTCTCTTTACTCTGTTCTCTTGTTTTGTGTGCTACATGGAGGGAGTGTGGAGATCTGTGTATTGTTCTCCGTTGAAACCAGTCAGTCAGTCAGCTCAGGAGCAGTTGATTAATTAGATACAAAAAGAGGTGACTAGTCTAGCTACGTCATTTTTCAGTTTTGAAGTCATAAGCAGTCATGTAGAAGCTAGGTAAATTGCAGCTTATTGGCACTAAAAGAGTTCTTTTAATCGATCTTCTCAACTTTTTGGTTATTCTTTTTGCTTATCAAATCACCTTTCAATTGCAGTCACATATACAAATATATTATTATTATTATTACTATTGAATATCATCCGTGGAAAATCAAAGGCGATTGATGAACAGCTTTATTCAGATGACATTATTAATTGTTCACCTGAATCAATATCTTGGTCAGACTACGGGTTTCATTGTTCATTGACACAATTTTTTGTTGTCTCAGCAGTAATAATGCGTCGATGGTTCAATAGTAGAATGTTGGCTAGCCAACACACGTAGTCTGGGTTCGATTCCATACCGATGCACCTGTAAACCGCTTCCATAAGCAACCAGGTACAGCCGAGGGTTGGTAGACTTCCTCGCGCAGTGCTCTCATGCGGTCAGGGCATTCGTAACCTCTGCCAGGTAGGTCGCATTCACTGATTTCACGTGGCTGGAGTTTTTTCTCACAAAAGTGAAATGATGGCTATGAACATCTGGCACCTACAATCGTACTGGTAGACGTGAAGGTGTCTATCTAGGAAGGCTGGTAAACTCAGATTCCAAACCTATGTGGTGTACATGGGCTTCAGAATACTGTATAAGCCTGTTTTGGTCACAGGATACCATGGGAACGTAATTACTGACGACGGGTGATCCACTACCTTGTAGATCGTTCTTCAAGTCAAAGACCCTTAAGCAGTACACACTCATGAAACCCGCCACCAGTTAATGAGTGAATCCACCGCCTTTCAAGTGATAATAAACAGAGCCCGTAGACCATTCAGCTGTAGGGACAAAATCGAATGATTCATAGATTCTAGCTTCTAGTATTTCGTGACGTTAGTATGTGCGTCGGTGGCACAGTGATAGAATGCTCACCAACCACGCAGGTGGTTCGGGGTTCGATCCCCGAAGTCTCTAGCTTAAAGCCCTATGTTCAACTAGGAACGTGAAGGTTTATATATCGATTTATTATTGATTTTTTCTTTTTTTTCAGGTTGAAAGTTCACAAACAATGATACGGCTAGTTGGTCTATCCGCCACACTACCAAACTATATAGATGTTGCTCGTTTCCTTTGTGTTAACTTACAACGTGGTTTATTCTACTTCGATTCACGATTTCGACCAGTTCCCCTTGGAATGTCATTTATTGGTATACGTGGAGCTAATCGTAAAGTACAAGATGTGAATATGAGTTCAGTGTGTTATGATAAGGTTTTAGAACAAGTGAAAAAAGGGGAACAGGTGAGTTTATGCTGTTTAATTTAAACACTTTGTAGGAATGAAACACACCTACACGGTTTATTTATTTTGATTTTTTTTCTTTTGGCTTTCCGAGTGGAACTTTGAAGTTTTCAATTACGGCAGTGGTGTTGCTATTATCATGTCTTACCTGCTATTTTTTCTAAGATTACTGTTGACACTAATAAACTGGACTGAGATTTAGGAGTGTGACTGACGGGAATCGAACCAGAAACTCTAGCTGCGTGACTGGCAAGCACTTCTACCGTTGAATCAGCGGCATAATCAATACATAATGACGGAATTATGCAGGACACCGTGCGTGGGTAGTGAGAAGACAGGAATACCTTGAAGGGATAAGAAGACTCGGAACTTCGTGGATGATTTATGTTGAATGTCATGTAAACTCCAAGATTCATAAGCGAAAACCGACAAGTTTGTAGGAAAGGCTCAGACAGAGAAGGCAGAACTTCAAGTGAACATAGGGAAGACGACAACAAGCACCAATCATTATCATTTATCTTGGCATCAGCGATGAGGATGTCAAAACGAGGATTGTACTTTCTCGGAATTCCGTTCACAGCTAAACATTGCCATGGTATCTCTCGGTCGACGGAATCGAAATGCCGGTAAGTAAGTAAGTAAGCCCATGTTCAAGAATCTGTCGAAGGGTGAAGATATGATCAATACACCCACTTCCTGGTTTAAAGCCCGGATGGTTCTCCCGTGGTTTTCCTCCCGAGCACCGCTTAGTCTACACATGATTATTGAGCCTGCCGAGTGCAGTGGATGTCCACACTTATCCCACAGTAATGAAGATCTGTCTCGCTTTTTTGATTTTGACTGTCTTTGACATCTTCATATGTGTCATCTGTATTTGAAACGATGGTGTCTAGGCAAGTGAAAGGAGAAATCCCATACCTGAACATTAGTCAGGTATGTGTTTGGATCGTAATGCTTACTGTTAAAGACTTGAAAACTAGGATGAAGTAGCTGTCTCCAGTACTTCTTGGTTTTTTTCAAAGGTTCCTTCTGATGGTTTCGGTTATTGATGAAGTCCATGTTACATATACATATTAGTTCCTTGGGTTCCGAGGAGAACGTAGAGTCTCACCAGCGCGTCTCCAGTTTGTCTTGTTCTCTGCAGTTGTCACTAGCTGGCGCCACGACTAACCATAGTCTCCCATTTCTTCCTCACATGACCTCCTAGACACAACTCGTCGTATTCTATTGGGTTTCTACTTGGGCTATGACCTGGAGCACGATGTCACCCAGCGGTCTCCTCAGCATGTGTCTGATCCATCTCCATTTTCCTCGGAATATTTGTTGAGCAATAGGTGTCACGAAAAGGCTTTCCAACTAGTTACAGAACTTTATCAACACTGCCATCTTCACTAGCTCTATACTGAAGATAAAATGGCCGTCTGGCTGGAAAGAATTAGCAACAAGAAACTCTGGCCGGGAACAAACCAACCAGTAACCGATTGCTCAACAAATATGTAGGAGAAAATGGAGATGGATCGGTTGGGCATACATTGTCGAAACCGTTGAATGACATCGCGTGCAATACAGGCCATCACTCGAATGGAATCCAAATGGGAAGCGATGAGTGGGTCGTCGGTGTCAGGGTGACATGGAAGAGATCTTATGAGGATGAGATGAGAGATTATGGACAATCGTGGACCCTGTTGAAGAGGATGACAGAAAATAGAATAAAAGTGGAGATGTGTTGTTGAAGTCCTATGATTGTTTCGTTACATTTTTTCTGCCTATCTGACTTCATTATGGAGCACAAGAAGTTGACATTGAAGTTATATAAAATCCTTATCAAAATCTACAATCTTGAAGTATCATTCAACACCTATGTAGGTAGATATAAATTTCTTGCATTTCATTGTTTGTTTGTTTGTTTTTTATTTTTGATCAGGTAATGGTGTTTGTTCATGCTCGTGGTGATACTTTTAGAACAGCTCGGGGATTACGCACATCAGCACAACAACTTGGTCATATGATGTATTTTCGTAATGAAGATAATTATGCAGTGAAAATGTGTTTAAAAAAGGTTAGTGAGACTGTTTTGACATGGCTTACTTAATAGTAGCATAGTTAGTATCTTATTATTTATTAGTACACTCCGGGCAACATATTTCATAATATGTGCGAAGGCAGAGATACTGTTTGGTTGCGCGCAGGTCCCCCCCCCCTTCAAGTCGATGACTTGAGGTTTGAGCAGCAAGGCAGTGAAGGAGGTACATCAGGTGATCGGTTTTTGTTGAGATTGTTTTTGACTGAAATAAGTTCGTGCATCATTTGACCCTTTCACAGATTGTGGGGAGTGCACGCGAAGTTCGTAGTTTCCGGATGAGGGTTTTTTTCAGCTCCAATAGGGCTGATCTGCATGCCTTCCAGTTATGTTTTTAATGCCGAACGTTCATATTTAGCCTTTCGCAAGGAACACTCCTTCCATTTTTGGCGTACGTGGACTCCAAAATCCGAAAGGCTACACTGGAAACTATGGAAACGCAGCTGCCGACACGGCTCCATTGCCTTATGGATCATACTTAAAGTGAAAGAGTCGGGGAGAGGAATGGCCTTTTAAAACAACTACCTGCTTGAGTCTGAGTGTCTGTGTAAAGGTATCCCAACCCTTGCACGTTTAGGATAATAAAACTTTGCTTTGATTGGATACTAGTAACTAGTGTAATGTGTTTAGTCTTATCTTCGGTGAGGACTGAATTCTATCAGTCAAGCTTGTAATGTGGGCAGCATGCCACTAGGTGGCTCGCCATCATAGTTCACTGTGAATTGTTGGTATTAAATGTTTGGAGGCAATCATCAGAAAGCCTAGGACCTAGGTCTCGTGCTTATCGGCTGGCACTTACCAGTCAACAAGGCGTATCTTCATCTTTGAAAGAACTCAGACTGTTAGAATTCCTCCTGCACCAAAGATAAGACTAAACACATCACAGTAGTTACTGACTAGTACCCAATCAAAAATATCCAATATAGAAGGTCAAACGCAAGCCCAAATAGCTCAGTGGTAACGTCTCTGACTGCAGCACTTGTTGACGCGGGTTCGAATCTCGGAAGGGACATGAGTTCCTTCAGAATTGCAGATACACCTCGCTGACTGGTGAGTGCCAACTAGCACGAAACCTAGGTCAGACTGGGCTTCCTGTGGCCGATTGCCTCCAACCATCTAATATCATGAAATAATTCGCTTTATTCTAAATAGTGCGTCTATCGGCTGGGAATCAGACCTCAGACCATTTGTATGCTGCATCATGGTACACATACTTTATCAAGTTTGCGTCTGAATAAGTAATAATAATAATATTAATAACAGCTAAAGAGAATCTGTTTATCACTGAACTGTTTCTTCTCATTTCCATATATATGGATAGATATTTTTTCTGCATCTATACATATTCTATCGTTTCTGTAAATATTTCATCAAGCTTTCAGTTTTTTCAAGTATTATTTTTGTAGGGATTTTTTTGATTGGTTGGAAGATTTCATCATGATCTGGCATCAGTTAGAGAAACATTGGAAAACCTGCAGGGAATACTGGACGGCTGTTTCGTCCTAGTTTGGGACTCTTCACAGAAGGTCCTGGGTTCGAACCCCGGTGGGTGCGTACTGCTGAAGTAGAGTCGCAAACTGGGGCGAAACAGTTGCCCAGTACTCCCAGGTTTTCCAATGGTTCTCTAACTGATGTCAGCTCATGATGAAATCCTCAAACCTTTCAGTTTTTCTTTATGCACTTCGTGTTTTGCAGTTCTTCTTTGAGGATAATTGTTCAACTGTTTAAATAATATAAAACAAAGGTGTACACCTTGCTACACTGTATTATACTCACAGAAATACCTCTTAACACATTCATGGTCAAACAGAGAGAAGTAACCGTACACTGAAGGAGTGGCTGGCCTCCTTGAAGCGAGGTAATTGGGAGACAGAGCTTCCATTGCTTCTAATAGCACATCGTACCTCCACCCAGGAAACAACGAAGAATTCATCATTTCGGTTGATTTATTGGAGGAAACTGAGACTACCAATATACAGCCAAACCTGGCCCCTCCATCAGGAGTGGCATATAACGAGGTCACGACGCGAACGGAAAGACGCCGTCAGGAATGTCAAATGTAAACAGCAGAAAGACACAAGGAGAGGAGATGCGATGCAGAAAATATTACTTCGGCAATCAAGTAAAGTGTAGAGAAAGAATGGACGCGGGTAGATCTGAGCCAGGTTCACGGAAACTCCTCACGAAATGAGAAGGGCCATACACTGTCACTGAGAGACATAATCTCGTTTATATCATGAAAAGAGGAAATAAACAGAAACGCGCGTTGACATCAGCCAATTGCGGAAATGGATTCAGTGGGATAAGCAAGCCGGGACCAAGGTACAACAGGAAGAGATAGAACCAAGAAGGTCTGAACGGCTCCGTTCGAAACTATTTGATAGGGGGACAAGTGTGGCGTCTTTTACTGATAAGACTTATCAGTAGAATGTGAAGAAACGTTCATCAGTTGAAAAATATCAAACAGCAGGAAGATACATTTGATGTCAGCAAAAGCAAATGGTACAGTTTTGAGGAGATACATGGGAGACGTGAAAGGGACACAAAGAAACACAATATGAAGGAAGAGCAGAAGGAGCAAATGGTGCGTTGAAGATAAGGTGTATATAGAGATACCAAATTGCAAATAAACATTCCTTTACCATGTCTTTCGTACTTTACCGTTACAATCTGACATCTAAAAAATTATTGATCAACTGAAAATTCTTTCAAGTTTGACCATGGATTGATATCAGTTAGAGAACCATTGAAAACCACCAGAGTTTTGCTTGACACCTGTTTCGTCTTAGTTTAGGACTCATCTACCCTATGCATCCACCGGGATTCAAACCAAGAACATTCAGGTTAAAAGACAAGCTCGTAGACTGTTCACCTACACTGACCGGAATCCAACGGCTCATGAATTTTGTTGCTAGCCAGTAACTGACTAAAGTTCGAATATGCGTGGAGTTCTAGTCAGAAGTTATGATTAGTGGGGTCCACCAGGTCGGCGGGTGTGAGAAGACAAATACTTGCTGTTGACATTGACTGGTGGTGGTGGTGAAATCAGGAATCGGTAGATGTAGGAATTCTTGGACTTGATGGTCAATGAGCTTTCCTTGTAAACGGAAGGTTCTGGGTCGAAACCCCAGAGGAGTTTCATACTGTAGATGAATCCCAAACTGGGAGGAAACAGGTATTCACTACTCCCAGATGGTTTCCAATAGTTCCCCAACTGATATCATTCCGTACTCACACTTGAAACAAACAAATCATATCCCTACAAACTAACTCTCCTTGAAAACTGTTTATTCTAATTAGACCTATTTTTCCTTGTAATTGCTTTACGTAGATACAAAAATCCTCGGATTCAGCTATTAAAGATCTAGTTCCAGATGGTTTTGCCTGTCATCATGCTGGTATGCTACGTGTTGATCGTAGTCTTGTCGAAAAGTTATTTGCTGATGGGTATATACGCGTATTAGTGTGTACCGCGACGCTGGCTTGGGGAGTGAATCTCCCAGCGCATGCTGTTATTATCAAAGGTACACGTGTATATAAAGCAGAGAAATCAGATTTTGTCAATTTAGATGTATTGGATGTACTACAGGTGAGTGTATATTTGTTTGTTTGTTTGTGTGTGTGTTTGTAATAGTAATTATTTTTTGCTGTTATGTGTTAACCTGAACGTTGTCGTACCATGCATGGTTGTCAATGTGTTAATGTTGGAAAAACACCGGTTTTTGCCGGAATACCGAAATTAAACAACGTTGAATCTCGTGAAAGTAGTTGCATGGGTGACCGTTCGGGAATACTAGGTGTTGTCGGATTTCGGCGTCGTCGGTGGTGGTTCAGTGGTAGAATGGCTTACAAGTCACGCACGTCGTCTGGGTTCCACGAGGGAACCAAGCAGGCTTTAGACCAGGAATATGGTGTATTGATCATCTCTTCACACTTCAACAGATTCTAGAACATACTGCACTGATCAAGGCACTGTACTCGAACTCATGCAGCCAGTTGAGAGCTTGCGGCGAGTTGCCATCCGGGAATAATCTCGTTGACCTAGAACATGCAGATGATGTAGTCCTCCCACCTGAGTGAAGACGCTGACAAAATGCAGAGTCTTCTGAGCACCTTGAAGAGCTGCAATCTGCGAATGTTTGGCATGCAATTCGCTCCCACCAAATGTAAGATGATGCTACAGGACTGGAAAACATTGACTCCTAGCTTAGAAATAGGGTGTGAAGTGGAAGACCACGTTGACCGCTTCACTTATTTTGGAAGTTGCATCAGCCAACGTCAACAGTTTGATCGCTGACGAAATCTCAGCACTGTTACAGAAGGCTCGTTTCACATATGCCAGTTTACACCGTCTCTGGTGTAGACGTGATATCTGGTTGGCTATAGACCAAAGCGGGGATGTACTGCTCAGCAGTCCACTCCGTCCTCCTTTATGGCTGTGAGACCTGGCCATTGAGAGTGAAGGACATGAAAAGACTGGCCAGCTGTCTTTGATCCTAGGTGCCTGCGTTCTGTCTCCCGTGTGAAGTGGTATAATAGGATAAGCAATATTGAGGTAAGGCGTCGAGTGTTAGGTAAGGAGGGGTGGGAATCAATTGATGACCTTGTGAAGTTACACCGATTGAGATGATTAAGATATGGGTTAAACATGCCTAGCCTAGCCATCGGCTTCCTTGACAACGGGCAATGTTAGCCGATACAGGGTCAGGCTGGAAAAGAGCTAGCGGCGGTCAAACCAAAACATGGCTTCACCAGTCAATGAAATCCACAACAGTTAGTATAAGCCAACCACGTAGGAAGGTGTAGACTGGCTTCCTGGTTGGTGTCCTCACGATGGTAAGAACCAATAGCTATGCCTGGAGACAATTGGTGATATGCCTGGCTCAAAAACGTTTTCGATGGCTGGCTGGCCCAGATACATCTACTCCTTGTGACTTATAATTTCCAACAAAACTATATTGTTCTTCGATATTACTATTCTCTTTGCCTCATATTCCTGTCTACTGTCTCGATTATGCATTTCTTTTTACTTTCTTCTTCTTCTCTGGTTTTGTGTGCTGAGTGAAGTGTGGCGAGTCGAACTGGTGCACATCGGTGCAAAGTTCTATGTTGAAACCAGACAGACTGAGTTCCAATCTCGTCCGATGGACGCACTGCTAATCTTGCTGAGACAATTATTAGTCTAGTAAAGACAGAAGGTTGGCTGAGAAGAACATCACCGCTAGTGAAAATTCGAAGATATGAAGCTTGACGGACCATCTCAATGTTCTACTAGGCACGCAAAGGAATGACAAAAAAGAGTTTTTTGTTCAGTTGAAGTCCTAATGATGGAATTCAATGATAATGATAATAGCACAAGGAGTGCTGGACAATTGTTTCATCTTACTGTTGGGGTCTTCAGCAGAAGGTATTCATGAGTCCACTGGTGATCGACCGCAAGACATTTTGGTTCCTAGGCCAAGACCGTTAACCTTTCTTAAGCCATTTGACCTAGAATCCAGTCACTATTCTAGCGCGACCGCTAGTGAGTACTTGTCTTCGCACTCGACTTGGTGGAACTCCACTGGTCACGACTTCTCAGATAGAAGAAAGAACTCTAGACAACTTCATCCGGTTATCAGTCAAAAATTGACAGAAGTTAGAGTTCATCGGTCATTGGAGTTTGCCTCGTAACCTGAATATCTTAGGCACAGACTAATAAAGAGTCTCAGACTAAGACGATACAGCTGTGCCTAGTACTCCCCCCTGGTTCTCTAACTGATATCAATCCTCAGTCAAATTTTATATTATTATTATTATTTCCTTTAGTTCCTAGAGGAACATAGGGCTTCAGCCTTGCGTCTCCATTGCGTTCGGTTCTCTGCTAGAGTTTTCACCTGGCTCCAAGTCTGCCCACACGTTTTCATCTCCTCCTCACATGATCTCCTCCAGGTCACCCTTGGACGACCAACTCGTCGCTTCCCTTTCGGGTTCCACTCGAGCAATGGCTTGTCTAGTGATGTCACTTGCTGGTTTCCTCAGAGTGTGGCCAATCCATCTCCATTTCTTCCTGCCTATTTGTTTCACAATCGGTTCCTGGTTGGTTCGCTCCCAGAGATCTTTGTTGCTGATTTTTTCTGGCTGGCCATCTGATCTTGAGTATTGAGCGAAGACAACTGTTAATGAAGGTCTGTAGCTTGTTTGAGGTGCTCTTTGTGACACGCCAAGTCTCTGATCCGTATAGTAGTACTGACTTCACATTGGAGTTGAAAATCCCGATCTTATTTTTGACGCTGAATGATGTTGACCTCCACACAGACTTGAGAGTAATGAAAGCTTGCCTTGCTTTCTCGATCATTGCTTTGATATCCTCGTCAGTTCCGCCTGTAGTTGAAACGATGCTTCCCAGATAGGTTGGTAGGTAAAAGAGGTTGTTTCTTTCAGGTTCGTTCCATTTATGCTGTTTGCTGTCCGCTGTTGTTGCTGTGGCTGTTGGTGTTGGCCAGGAATCTTCATCACCTCCGTTTCCTCTATGTTCACCTGGAGTCCTATCTTTGATGCTTCTTCTGCCAACTTGTTACTTTTCACTTGCATATCACCAGTTTGTGGGAAATCAGACATATATCATCGGCGAAGTCCAGATCCTCCAAGTTCTTTGTGTGAGTCCATTTTATGCCTGTGTCCTCATCGCCCGCTGTCTGTCGCATTATCCAATCTACTGCAATCAGGAAAATCATTGGCGATAGTAGGCAACCCTGTCTTACTCCTGTCCTCACTTCGAAGGGTTCCGTAAGTCTCCCGTTGTGGATTACTTGGCATGCAGCATTATCGTACAGCTGTTGGATGAGATGTATAATTGTCAGTGGCACCCCGTAGTAGCGAAGTAGTTGCCAAATCACCTCTCGATCGACGCTGTCGAAGGCCTTTTCAAAGTCGATGAAGTTGAGATAAAGAGGTGACTGGTCAAATTTTAGAACTTGCATTAATTATCGATTAGGCTTCTTGTGTATTCTACCTGTTTCTGTTTTCTTTTCTTTTTAAATTCCTCCAATGGCATTTAGATATTTGGTCGTGCCGGTCGACCACAGTTTGACACATATGGTCAAGCAACACTGATCACTACTCAAGATTCTTTAGTGCATTATTTACGCTTGATAACAAATCAAGGACCAATTGAAAGTACTTTACTAGCTAACCTACATGATCATTTGAATGCAGAGGTATGTGAGTATTTTTTAAAACTATTGATTATTACTATTATAATTATTATTACTGCTTACTGGAATATACTACTGATTAGACTGATGAGTAGTTTGCCAACACTTACAGTCAACCATTTAGTGTTTGCTAGCCTGATCCAAACATCGAACAACTGTGCCGCCTATTTTGTAGTTAAGCTCATTAGAAATGAACATCAGGTCAACTCAGCTGAGAATCAGTTCAAATGTGGTAAAACTGTAAATATCATCAGTCGTACATACTTCTCCACACAGTTACTGATGACTGCAGTTGGTTAGACGTTTTCTGTCAATTCCTCCATCAAAATAACGTAAAAGTAGAGAGATATGCAGAATTTCAACTTAATGTGTATAGGTAGTGTCAGCATAATATAAATCTTTAGAGTTCCGCGTAGAACATCAGGCTTCAACGGCGTATCTCTATTCCATTCTGTTCCCCTCAGTGTAATGAATAAGCCTAACTCGCTGTTTCCCATTTGAGGTTCACTCGAGGGTTCGCCTGCATGTAATGCTACTAAAATGGTCTTGTCAGGGTATTTCCAATCCATATCCATTTCCTTCTGCATATTTTTTGGGCCATGGGTTGTTTTTGGTTGAAACGTTCCCGGAGTTTTTTGTTAGTAATTCTTCATATTTATTTATTTGTATTATTCCCTCGGGTTCTGAGTGGAGCATAAGGCTTCAGCAACACATCTACACTTTGTTCTATTTTCTGCCGTCCTCTTCAGTTGGGACCACGATTGCCCATAATCCCCCATCTCCTCCAACACACATGATCTCCTCCATGTCACACTCACACCCGCGACTGACTCATCACTTTTCATTTAGATTCCACTGGAGTATTGGCCTGCATTGTCCGCGATTTCATTCGACGGTTTCCTCAATGTATGCCCTGTCGATGCATCTCCATTCTCTCCTACATATTTGTTAATCAGTCGGCTCTCGCACAAATTATCGCTGCTCATTATCATATCAAGTCACTCACACACACTCACAAAAGTTGTGTGAGTGACTTGATATGATTATGAGCAATAATTTGTGTTCGAAACGTCATCAGTTAGTATTACTGTATAACATTGTGTGATTAATTCTCAAAATAAAATCTTATCTATAATGGTTTCAGGTTGATGAAGGCGTGTCTGGCCTTTCCGATTCTGGCTGGATTGACATCTTCATTCGTTCCCCTGGCCTGTAGTTAAAACGATGCCTCCTAGCTGGATAAGTGAAGGAATTAACCTCTGTCAAATTCCTCCCGTTGATGGTGATTGCTGCTGGTTGTTGTTGTTCTTGTTGGTGCGTGGTTATCTTCATCACCTCCATCTTCTCTATGTGTTCACCTGGAATGCTGTATTCGCTGCCAGCCTCTTCTGCCAGTCTGTTGGTTTACGCCTGCCTGCATGCCTTCGAGTTTGTGTGACATGAAACATAAATCACCCACGCGCGAAATTCAGATTTTCTAGAGTCTTCTTATCGGTGGTCCAGCGTATTCCTGTCTCCTAGCTCCCACAGTCTTCCGCATATTCCAGTCCACTACAATTAAGAATAGTGGACAGCCAGCCTTGTCTTACTCCTGTTTGCACTTCGAACACTTCTCTGTGTTTTCCGTGGTGGATCACCTGACACGTGGCATGCTGTAGTGTTGAAGTAGTTTCCAACTTACTTCTCAGTCAACACTTTGGTTGAGGCCTTTTCGAAGCCGTTGAAGTTGAGGTAGACAGAGGTTTGACTGACATTCTATGCTTTGTTCGATGATTATGGAGCGTAGAGTTGGCATTTGATCAGCACATGATTTGTCTTTCCTGAATCCAGCTTGTTCCGGTGGGCGGAGTTCTGCATCCAGTGCGTATTTTGTTCTCGCCAGGATGAAATCCTTCATGACTATCTGAATTTCAGTGTAGGGTAAAGTCAGCTGTTGATGAAATTATCCTGTGACCTGTTTGGTACTGCTTTTGTTGACACACTGAGTCTCTATGAACCATACAGAAGCACTAGCTCGAGTCTTGTTCTTTGTATACTGCGTGCGGTAGATTCTTAGACTGATTTCAAAGTAAATAAAGATCTGTTTCGCCTTTCCAATTCTGCCTTTGGAATTTTCATCCGTCATGTCTGTAGCTGAAACCATCTCTCTGGCTTAGATAAGTGAAAGATATCAAAGCTAGCTGAAATCAGTGTGGAAATCTACTGTATTCAGTATAAAGAACAAGATCCGGACTTTCAACAGTAATGTCAAGTCAGTCAGTGGTTGTATATGATTCAGAGATCTACCTTCACAACCTCGATACTGAAGATTGGATGACTGGACAGAAAAATTTAGCAACAAGGCACTCTGATTGGACACTAACCAGTAACTAGTGTGATGTGTTTAGTCCTTTCTTTAGCGGAGACTGAATTCTATCAGTTAAGTTTGCAATCTGGCCACCATTCTAGGTAGCTTGTCATCACGGTACACAATTGTGAGCCCGAATAGCGCAGTGGTAATGTCTCTGGCTACAGTACTGGGTGACGCGGATTCGAATCTCAGAGAGTTGGGACATGAGTTCCTTCAAGGTTGCAGATACGCCTTGTTGACGAGTGCTAACTAACACAAAACCTAGGTTGGCGGTTTCCTGCCGATTGCCTCCAACCATCTTATATCAACAAGGATCTCTGACAGACAACGATTCAACCAAGAACCTGTTGCCCAACAAATATGCGGAAGAAATTCCAAATGGACAAGACATACGCTGATGTAACCATTGAGTATGTGATATCACAAGCCAAGCAAACCGTCGAGTGGAACCTGAATGAGAAACAGCGAGTAGTTGGCCTAGAGTTCGAGGGTGATATATGCAGAAGATTGTGTGAAGAGGAGATGAAAGCCGCCTATGGAAAGTCGCGAAACCAGTTGAAGGGAATAATAATGGTGTAACGATAGGAGACAAAGGCCAGGCAAAAGATTGTTTATTGAGAAAATCAAGAGGTATTTATAGCTTCTTATGTACATTATTGTTAGCGGAGAATCAATGTCTTCTGATTGGTTGTTTTCCTGCTGAAGGTTATTCTGTTATCTCTTTGTGGCCGTTTCTCAGGATATGAAGCCATATATGTGTGAATCATATTTCCATACTTTAACTCCGCTGTGATTGGTTGATGATTTTCTCAACGTTAATCTTTGTTATTGTTTTTCTCATGACTCTGATTTGGGACGTAAACATTGACGTAAATTGTCTACAATTTTGGCTTGCAGGCAGCTCTCACCACAATAGTACTAATAGTGTGATATATCTTATCAAATCGTTCTCAATGGATCAGGTCGATATTACTTACAGTTTATATAGGGATACGAGTATATAAAATATTAACTTTGAGTTAAAAATAATAGAGAGAAGACCAGTAGGTCAGAGAAGAGTCTCTTTTGGCGAGTTCATTTTCACAGCCGTACAATCGTATATATATATATATATATATGGTTATTTTGCATGTGTGTGAGTGTGTACATTAAATTTGTCAAACGAAAATACAATTAGTAAGTTTTCGGTGGAGTTACGTAATACAAAAAGCGTTCAGATGAATTGGATGTTGATATAAGAGGGTAGTAACAAAAGTGATGAGTTGTCACAAACGATTGTTAAAGAAGAGTTCCATAATAACATGAATAGTTTGATGAAAGAGTTGTGCTCAGGGTATACATGGAAACAAAATAAAGTACGGAATTGCGTAAAAGTTTTAAGTAGTTAGAAAAACAAGCAAACAAACAAAAATTAAGGCACATCAACAGAGTAGCTACCATGATAGTAGAAGTGGATGAATAATTTTCTTTTGTATGCAGAGTTCTGGTTCTTCTACTAACTGAATGGCTAGGGATTCTGGAATGCAAAGAAGATGGAAACGTATTGTCTTTGGCAGGTTATTCTTCACTTTGTAGATTATTTTGAAGGAGGCGTTTGTTGAGGTCGAATGACCAGTGTTGACGAGATGTTTGACTATTGCACTCCTCAAACGGCTACTACTTCCTTTCTGCAACCACGCTGGATAGTGTTTTTTGACCCCTTTTGATGGGATGTGCGTCGAATGACCGATGCACCTGACTCTACAGCAACAGGTGAACTGGTATATACACATAGAAGTGGTCACGTGCGGGATCTTGTCTTTTGGGCTTCTGCAGATCAGTGGTAAACTGGAGAACACTCTTGCATTCCTTTAAAACTATTGCGTAACTCCGTAGGTTATTTTGTTTCCATCTGCACCCTGAGCACAACTCTTTCATCTAACTATTCATGTTATTATGCAATGAATTCGCCGAAAAAAGGGTCTCTTTGCTGAACTACTGGTATTCTCTCTATTGATGTTCATCAATTGTAGATAATAAACTTGTTAATGAATTTATCTGCTGAATTTTTAAAAATCTTTTTTTTTCTTTTTGGTATGGGGGTGGCGTTGGGTGATCTTACAGATTGCTTTAGGTACTGTCTCAAATATTGATGAAGCTGTCACTTGGTTGAGTTATACCTACTTATTTATTCGTTTAAGACAGAATCCTCTTCAATATGGATTAACTACAGCTATACTCGAAGTAAGTGCCTCTTTTTTTGTTCTTTTATTTTTTGGTTTTGATTATCCTTCACCTCTCTTTGTCTACTACATTTTATTTCTTAATTACTGTAAACATTAAGTCTACTTTTTTAATTCGATAAATGCAAAGACGAGTATTCTGTAATAACCGGAACTACGACCTAGTAGACTTTGGGGGAATACAAGAACAACAACAACGATAAAACCGCCGGGCCGCAAAAGGACAGAAGAGAAGACTGGACGTTGGTAAGAGAGCTCTTACTATCTCGAAAACAACAGTCAAAAAAAGGTGGACAGCGCTTGCGTATATATTTGTGTATATGTTTAAAATGACCTTGAGAAGCATTAATGTCATTGGTGAATTATGACAGTGAACAACCAATAGGATTTCAGAGGTCGTCATTGGGCTGAGAGGAAATTAGGCCTATAAATCAATAAGTGGAGCGAGAGAATTACAAACAGACATGTAAAAAATAAGGTCTTGTAAGATTACTGAAATCTTTCAGATTGACACAATTGTAGACAAGGAAAACCAGTGGTGTACTGGTGCTGTTGGTGGCTTGATGATAATATGTTCGCCAAATAACCATGCCAACAAGTGTCCAGATTGTTTCTTTTTACTATCCAGTGATAGAAATTTGCGCAGAAAAGTAGTAGCAGTTCAAGTTACCACACTCCATGAAGTTCGTATAAAGATGAAAGGTTGAGGCTAACATGAGGCTAACAACCCCTACTCCTACTATTGCTACTGAAAGTCTAAAGCTGAAGCTTCTTGGAAGCCCTCTGTGTTCCACTTCGAAGGCAGAAGATTGAAATATAATAATAATAATTATGTAAACTCACTGATGATCCATATTTTCTACACACACACACACACTGGCTAATGTATCCTATTCACTTATTGTAAACAGTTTAGGTCTGAAGATTTAAGGATTGTTGTGAAACCATTCAAAAGCCTGAGGTTTTTAGTGAAGTGGAATGCGGATCTATCATTTTGATTTCGTGTATTTGATTAGCTTAGTAATAATGTATATGTAATTCACTCAGCCCTTATGTATCAAGTGAAACATAAGGTCACAGCATTATACCTTTGCCACCACATACAGCTAGATAGCTAGCTAGCTTCAAAGGTCTATCTACAAGCTTTCATTTCCTCTCCTCCATACATGATCATCTCCATATCATTCTTGAGCACCAAACTCATCGCATGTCATACGCGTCCCAAACGAAAGCTGCTACCTTGACGTGGTGGTCGGGCTTGAACACTGCAATGACCCAACAAGCTGTACTGGCTGAGACTTATGTCGCTTAAAGTCCTACCATGCCAGAAAGATTGTTTGGATAGCGGTTAGACAAAAAGCAGCTACCCAATCCGATGCTATGACTCAAAGTAAATCACAAAATATCATGCCGGATTGGTCGGGGCCCGGATTAACAACGACCGCGCTTCCTGCTGCCGTGTCATAGGGCAGAAGTGATAAATATGCTACTGAGACACACCAAATGAAAAAAACAACCAAAAAAGGCCGCGTGCCACCGGCCTCAAGCAGTTGTCCCCTGGGCTCTGCGGTCACGCGACCAACTTCCACGGTGTGGGCAGCCGGGAAGTAACAATCGCCCTCACAATCCGAAATGCATGCGGAACCTCTCTAATCCTCACTCATCTTTGTCTTCATCTTCATCTCTATTATCTTGCCTTCCTTCTACTAATGCAACTCCTCTACTTGATGGCTCTTTACTTCCTCTTCACTCTGTGTGCACTGAAAACGACGGAAGCCAAAAAACCACCATCAATAGTCTCCTAAAGCCACTCTACCAATTTCATATAGGGGCATTTAATGTTAGGACACTTTGCCAAATAGGACAACAAGCATCACTAGCCAAGACTCTGGCATCCCGAGCCATTGATGTATGTTGTGTTTCAGAAATAAGCAAACAAGTGTGGTTATTCACCTAACCCCACCTGGCCAACAGGATGAATCTGCAAAATTCACCTTAAGGGTGTCAGGAGATGAGACGGCTAGCTCACGAGAATTAGCTGGTGTTGGGATACGCGTCCCCTTACGATAAATGTCTAGTGTGATTGAATGTCACTTGAATGAATTTCTGATCAGTAGTGCATCATCAATTCATATCAATTTCCTTTCACATCAGCCTCAATGAGCTGATCTCTGACGAAATCTCAGCATGAAAAAAAGGAGGTTCCTGTGACATTTCGCCAAATTATTCCATCTCAGGAGTAGGTATAATATTCGACTATCGATCAAAAGACATGTGTGCTGGTCAGCAGTTCATTTCCTCATCTTTTGTGATTGTTGACACACCTGGCCATTGAAACTGAAAGATTTGAATAGGTTAGCCGTCTTTGTCTCTAGATGCCTGCTTTCCACCTCCTGTGTTAATTCCCCTGGTGGTATAAAAGGGTGTGCAATATTGAGGTTAGGCATCGGTCGAGTGCTAGGGGTAAGGAGGGGAAATCAATAGACGAGACTGTGAAGCTACATCGACTGAGATGGTTAGGACATGTGTTACGCATGCATCCCTAGAGATCCATTACCTTCCTCGACAATGGGCAATGTTAGCTAACATAGGGTCAGGTTGGAAAAGAGTTAGCTAGCTAGTGGCGGTCAAACCGGAACATGGCACCAGTCAATGAAGAAATCCACAACAGTTAGTTTAAGCCAGCCAGCCACATAGGAAGGTGCAGACTTCCTGACTGGTTGGGGTCCTCGGGATGGAGACAATTGATGATATGGATCATAATCGTTGTCAATGGATGGCGTAGATGCATCCACTCCTTGTGACTTATAATATCCAATAAAACCACCTTGTTCTTCGTTATTACTATTCTTTTTGCCCTATATACCTGTTTAGTGTCTCTATTTTGCATTCCCTTTTACTTTCTTCTTCTTCTCTGACTCTGTGTACTACATGGAGTGGAGTGTGGCGACACGAACTGGTGCACATGAGTGCAAAGTTCTATTTTGAAACCAGTCAGTCAGTCAGTCCTGTGTTAATTGCTATAAGAGGGTGAGTAATATTGAGCTCAGGAACCGATTGTGAAACAAATAGGTAGGAAGAAATGGAGATAGATTGGCCATACTCTTAGGAAACCATCAAGTGACATCACTAGACAAGCCCTTGAGTGGAACCTGGCCGAAAGGGAAGCGGCGAGTTGGTCGTCAGTGCAAGGGTGAGGGTGACTTGGAGGAGGTCATGTGAAGAGGAGATGAAAACGTGTGAGCAGACTTGGAGCCAGGTGAAGACCCTGGCAGAGAACTGAACGCAATGGAGACGCCCGGCTGAAGCCCTATGTTCCTGTAGGAATTAAAGGATACAATAATAAGAATAATAAATAATATTGAGCTTAGGCGTTGTGCGTGTTAGGTAAGGAAAAAATGTGAATCGATTGTAGATGGCTAAAACATGTGTCGTACATACATAACAAACCATCTGCTTTGCGCCAGTAGCTATGTTGCCATGGTTTGCAGTGAGACCGAAACACTAACATACACCACTGGATCCAACCACACTCTACGGCTCATATACACCACATAGGTAAGAAATCGTAGTTTTCCAGCTCCCGCCAAAATACACCTACATCTCCACTGGTTCAGTTTCACTTTTGTGGGGCACAGCTTTGTCGCGTGAAGGTAGAGAAAGTAGGAGACTTACGTGGCGTAGATTGTGAAGACGTCACAACATGTGAATATTTCAAGAGAAAAACGGAAGTGTACTGATCCTCAGCCGTACCGGTTCCTTTACGGGGGTCTGGTTTAGTGAATTTATTGTTTTTTTGTACTTATTACTTTATACAATATTTATTTATTGATTTCTTTCTTTCTTCCCTTCTTTCTTTGTTTTTTTAATTAGCGTGATCCAGATCTGGTCGAATTTTTAGGCCGTGTTATCCGAACTTGTGCTACTGACTTAGATTCAGCTGAAATGATCCGTTATGAACCAGCTACCGGTCAATTGGCTTCAACAGATCGTGGACGTACAGCTAGTTTATACTATATACGTTATGCAACTGCTGCAATGGTGAAAGATGCTTTAGAGCCGACAATGATGATTCCACAGATATTTACTATGCTTAGTGAAGCAGCGGAATTTGCATCAATGAAGGTTAGTTGGAAAAGAGAGATAATTCAATAAAAGAATCATTATGATGAAATCCTCCATGCAATCGAACAAAAATCCCTACAAAACCAATATACTTGAAAATTAATCTGATGCTCACTAGCTAGCGACTGGCCCTATTCAGGCTGGTAGTTATCTGAGGTCCCAGTGGGAAGCCGTGACCAGTAGGGTACAGCAGGTTGAAAATGAGGCAGGCAGTAACTCATCGAAGAAGACATTGCGAAATGGTCGCGCTATGTCGTGAATTGACACAAGTTAGGATTCATGCACTGGCTGGCCGTTGGTTCGGGTCCCAGTGGCTCAATGGTCTGCGAGTTCGCCTTGTAACTAGAAGGTCCTGGGTTCGAACCTTAGTTGTGGGTGCGTACTGTTGAAGAGTCAAAAACTAGGATGAAACATCGGTGCAGTACTCCCAGCTGGTTTTCCAGGGGTTCTCTAACTGATGTCAGTTCATGATGAAATCCTCCATGCAATCAAAGAAATAAAAGTTTACTAGGGAACATTAAAACAATTAGTCCCTTTGATAAATTTGAATAAGGCATTTAGAAGAGTGCGTCGGTGGCATAGCGGTTAGGACGCTCGCCGACCATGCCCTTGGTCCGGGGTTCGATCCCCGGCCGGTGCACTCCTTTACCTCGCTGAGCCAGAAATAATGCTGGTGAAGAGGGAAGGTTGGGTATGAGGCGTGCAACCCCATCCTGTAAAATAAACACTGCTAAAGAAACTTCAAGCCACTAGCTTGAAGCCCTATGTCCCACTGGGGAACGTGAAGGAAAAAAAATATAGAAGAGAAATTTCGCGAGATGATATCGCCATTTCGTAGTTTCTTTGCAACCGCTTTACGACTGAAATGGTTTACAATAGTAAAATGAAACAAAATGCATGATAATTACTCAGTTATATAAAAAAACGAAAGTACATGCTAATGACCAATCATCACATTTAAATAGGTCAAGGAGTCAGTCCATGGTAGGCGAAGGTTGAACACATAGTTTAGGATGCATGTGATTAATCCAACAAAGAGCTTCCATCACCTTCAATAACCAACCTTGAATTAGAGTTATGTGGTGAGATGATTTTGAAACAGTCATTAATATTGATTTTGTGACCTGACATTAATAAGTGTTTTGCAATGGATGACACTGGATTTCTATATGTTTTAATAAACATTTTGGAAGATTTTTTTTTCGACCACGACATTGGAACATTCTATTGGTTCTACCTGTATAGGTGTCACAGCAACCGCAGGTGGCCTTGTAGATACATTTTGAAGTAGAGTCCACAGAATTTCGTCCTTTAATCGTGTAGGCACAGGGATCGAAAATGTCCAGGATGTGTGGGAAAGAGATGTGGCGTAGAATGTGTGAGCTTGATGGCTGACCGAAGTGTTTGAGCTAGCTATCAACCGCATAATCTGGTCACTCTTGAATGTTAGGTTAATAAAGATAGCTTTCTTTAGTACAGAAGCTGTCTTTTCTAGATGTGATCTATCCTTGCTGTGACAAGTGATAAAGTTTTCTGGATAACCATTACCTAATAAAACTGAATGTATGTGTCGAAACTCATCCATTGCTGTGTCACTCGTACATATTTTTCGAGCCCTTAAAAACAAAAATTTCACTACCCGACGTTTCTACTGGATAAGAAGAAAACTGATGAAATGAAGATATTGTCCACTCCATGTCTGTTTACGAAAAATAGATCGCTTAATCGGTCCATTGTCTCTCCTAGTCGTTGAGATATCCAGGAAACCGAGTTTGCTATTTGATTCGAGTTCGGAAGTCACTCGGATATTTGGATGAATATGATTAAATTGAGGAAATAAAGTTTTCAATAGATTTACTATTATTACCAATAATAAGTGTATCATTCACATAACATTTATATAGCATAATTTCTCCAAGCATACCTTGCATCTGTTTCTCCAATTTCGAAATGTATATATATATGCATATATATATATATATATATATATATGTATATGTACCCAAGAGGCCACCCCACCGTAACTCCATCCTAAACTATGTGTACAAAAACAACACACTTTTTCTTTCGCCTCCCGTGGACTGACTACTTGACCTATTTAAATATGATCGTTTCATATAACTGAGTAATTGTCATGCACTTTATCTCATTTTATTATTGTGAACCATGTTAGCTGTAAAGCAATTGTAGAGAAACTATGAAATGACGATATCATCTGACGAAATTTGTTTTCTAAATGCCCTTATTCAAAAATATCATTACATCAACAGTAATCAGTCACGGGTGGTAATTTTCATTCCATAAGCGTCTAGGTACCAGAATGATGGCTAACTAGACGGACTACGTAGACCATTTACTCACTTGTACCAAAATCCAATGGCCCATGAATTTTGATGCTCGTTAGTGACTGGCTACAGGATAAATTCGTCTGGAGTTGTAGTAAGAAATCGTTACCAGTGGGGTCCACTCAGTAGTCAGCCGGGTGTGAGGACGAATGCTCGCCGATGATATTGGCTGATGGTCTCAATAAAAAATCACGAATTGGTAGGAGTTAGAACTCATAAACCATGGAGTCGGGTCCCAATGAGTGTGAATGGTGTACGAGCTCTCCTTGTAACTGGAAGGTCCAGGGCGAGGAATAAGATTGTTATTTGAACTTTTTGTATTTTTAATATATTTTTCTGTATAAATGTCCAAACCAAGTTCACTTTTAACAGTTTGAAAAAATTGGGCATTGGGTATATGATATTCATCATAATAAAGGTGTTTTGTATTCCTCAATGGATGAAAAGCAAAACGATATTGTTGTTTTTACTGACGTTCCGCTATTTAATGCTAATAGCTTTATCAAAGTATTATTAAACCAGAATTTACAAAATCTCAGCATATATATAACAAAGAGTTAGGCTTAGAGAAAATAGACTTAGGTCGAGTTAAGAGGATATATTGAAAGTCAAAATAACAATGAAGATCATTAAACCAAATAGCAAAGGTAATAGTACGTCTGTTATGGTATCAAAACAAAGTTTACTAACTTGATCATCGTTCCTCAGTATGGTGTCATTTTTCGGTGTCAAATTGGCTAATCGGTACAGATAACAAAATCAGGTGTAGATTGTTGGATTTGATAAGTATGTAAAATTATAAAATAGTGTGTGTTTATATAATGATATTGCTTATCACATGTCATTCTAAATCCTAAATTATTATTTTTGTTTTTACAATATTGAATTCTATCGTATCATTATTATATTTATTTTTATTTAAACGCAGAAAAACTTGGTATAATATGGCACCAAGAAAGATGCGCCACACAATATTGTGTGAGGGCTGAGATACTGCCCGGGCGCCCAGACCGAAGCAGGTGGTTTTCCTAAGGGATCACTCCCGAGCCTTTGACTTGGAGTCTAATCCGCAAGGCAGCGGAGCAGCGTCATGAGCTGCGTTCCCATGGTTGCCGGTGACCCATATGGGTTCATACGCCATTTGATCCGATTGAATTCTGGAGCCCATGTACCCCATGGTAACTGCTTTTAGTCTAACCGCCATCCAAACAACCTTCCTGACATGGTAGGACCTGCAGGGACATGAGTCTCAGCCAGTTTAGCTTGTTGGGTCACTGCGGCGTTCAAGCCCGACCACCACGGCAAGGTAGCAGTTATCGGTCGGGCTATCATATCAAATTTTACACCATGTTATATAAGATTTTATATTAGCCTAATAATCCTATAATTATGCATCCCTTCCCAACATCTATACACCTTATGTATTATCCTATATATGACATTAATTGTTCCGCTACTTGACATTAAACTATGATTATAATCACAAATATTTTAATTTCATTTCATACTACTATTATAATTACTTTATGTATTCACACCTTTGACCTAATTTCCTCACCGGATATAATTTCTTAAAATAGAACCATCTATATACGATTGTGCAGCTTGATAATGAATTCGTTGTTGAAAAGAGTTTATTCGCTGATGAATATTGTCTTCTTAATGCTACAATGAGAATTATTAAATTATTAATTAGGTATTTTTAGAATCCGATTGAAACCGTTTTTACTATCCATTATCTTATATATGTATTTCTTTTGTCCCGTCTATATATTTAGGTTCGTGAAGAAGAAGGCACAGAACTTGTTGATATCAAAAATAGCGTCTGTCATCTGCCTATACAACAGGCTGGTACAGTTGATACAGATGTTGTGGCTAAAGTCAATGTCCTATTACAAGGTTATATTAGTCGACATATGCCTAGTTGTCATTCCCTGATGTCTGATATGAATTTTGTTCAACAAAATGCTGGTCGACTAGTTCGATATCTATTTGAAATTTCATTACGTCAAGGTTGGTCACAATGTGCTAGTATTACACTGACACTAGCTAAAGTAAGTGACGTTTTGTTTATTGATTTCATAAACATTCTTGTCACCTTCAGCGTATTATTATCTTTATTATTATTACTATTGCTATGTGTAAAACTTCGGCACTGTGGTAGTAAGTAATTCCATATTAGTTTGTTTTTTAGATATATCACACAGTGAGTGTAACAGTATTATTTACTGGATTTATTATTTACTGTTCATAATCATATCAGTTGTAATCACACGACTCTGAAACTTGAGTTTTATAGTTTTCGTTGTTCTCTCCTATTTGTCGTCGTAGGGGTAGTAGAATTTTCCAGATATCCGGCCGGACAGGTGATGAATCATTCCTATTACATGTTTTCGTAGTTGATTCGATAAACAAAGCTTCTGTTATCAATCTCTCCCTATACCCTGTGACATTAGATTTTAAAACTGTCATCTTATCCCATCCCATCATATTGTGTGGTTGTGTGTAACTGAATGTAGTGCTATAGCTGAACTATTCTCCAGATTTCTTCTCTTATTCGGGTCAACCAATCTAGATTTTGCTAAGTTTTTATGTTCAGCTAGTCTGAATGCCCCTGTTCTATTAGTTTGACTTATGTATTTGACCTCACTGACAATCATTCCAGCAGGGTATTAGATAAACTAAATTGTTTTGTTTTAAAGGCTCCACCGGATTGATCCTTTAACCGACAAAACTTGTTTCTAATTGAGTTTGTGGGTTTGAATGCCATTTTGATTCCTGCCTAGTTAAGAATTCTACGTAAGGTTTCCGAGGTTCCTTCCTTGTATGGAATTACTACTGATGATTTAGATTCCTTATTGTTGGTGTTGTCTTGAGCATATTTGACATGCATGTCGTCATCAACACTACTGTTATTATCATTGCTATCGCTACTATCATTATTATTTTATTTTTACGTTTCCTTACATGTTTCCTGACTAATTTATCCGGGTAATTATTAAGTTTCAAGGCTACTTTTATGTGTATCACTTCCTGTCTTAGATTTTCCTTGATACTATTTTGTTTTTGTGCCCTATTATTTAAACATTTCACCAATCCTATTTTTACTGACATAGGATGAGATGATCGGAAGTCTAAATATCTGTTTGAGTGTGTCGGTTTCCTGTAAATACTATTGTGTGTTTAACTTCCCATCACATTTCCTTTTTACGCTGCAATCTAACATTGGGAGCTCCCCTTCCTGATTTTCCAATTCATAAGTGAATTGAATTGCCTCCACTTTTGAGTTAATGTGTTCGAAAAGTCTATCTATCTCTTGTGTTCTAAGTACAGTGAAGGTGTCATCTACATACCTCCACCATACTTTTGGGATGGCGTTGAACGTTTCAATCGCTATACTTTCCCACTTATCCATGAATATATCTGCCACAACTGGGGATATTGGTGATCCCATGGCAACTCCTTCAGTTTGTTTGTATATTTTCCCTTGGAATTTAAATACTGTGGAAGTCAGGCATAGCTGTACTTTATCGAATCAACTGCAAATACATGTAATAGGAATGATTCATCACCTGTCCGGCCGGATATCTGGAAAATTCTACTACCCCAACGACGACAAATAGGAGAGAACAAAGAAAACTATAAAACTCAAGTTTCAAAGTCGTGTAATTATAATTGATGATATTATTATGAACAATAAATTTTGTTCGAAACGTCATCCAGTAAATAATACTGTTACACTCACTGTGTGTGATATATCTATTAAACAGACTAATATGGATTTACTATTGCTCCCTTGGGTTCCGAGTGGAATAGGGTCTCAACAGCACATCTTTATTTCATCCTGTTCTGTGCAGTAGTCGTCTTTATCATAAGCCCTCATCTCCTCCCCACAGGATCTCCTCCATATCACTGTCGAACTCACACGACCAACTTGTCGTTTCGCATTCAGGTATCACTCGACTATTTGTCAGCGTGTGTTTATTTAATCCGTCGCCATTTTCTTCGGCATATAGTTTGGTTTGTTGCACTGTACAGTTCCTTGTCGCTAATCGTCTCTAATTGACCATTTGACCGTCAGTATTGAGTTAGCCAAAGAGGTTATTGTTGGTAAAAGTTTGCAGCAGGCCAGTGGAAATGCTTTTAGTTGCGCACACCAAGTCTGTGAGCGGTAGTCAGAAACACACTGACTGACTTGACATTAGTGTTGAAAGTCCGAATCTTGTTCTTTATGCTGAGTACAGTAGATTTCCACATTGATTTTGGCATAATGATAGTTTGTCTTGCTTTTCTCATCGCAGCTGCCTTTGACACTCACATCTGTGTCGCCGGTAGTTGAAACAAATCGATCTTGCATTGATACGCGAAGGCAGTGACATCCTTGAAATTTCTTCCATTGATATAGGGGTTGGTGCTTATGGTGGTAGTTGGTTGTTCGATATGTTCATCAGCGTTGTCTTCTCTCCTCTCCAAACTTGTGTGTTTTCCCCTGTAGTAGATCTTCGAATTTGTATCCACACTAGGCATAAATCGTTCGCAAAGTGCAAATTTTCTCTTCTATAATCTTCTCGTTCCCCGGATGTCTTCACCTTAGGTTTCACGGATACTTATCAATGATTTAATTCAATGCTACATTCCCTTGCGTTTTTGTTTTACTTTGTTGGATACTATTGACAAGTTTTTGTTAGTAGTATTTTGTGTGTGTGTGCCACGTTTTTGGCAAGAGTTTTGAATATCTGAGAAATGTGATTATATGACGAAGACGAAACACAGAAGATCTTTGCGTAAGATAACATAGAAAACATATTTCTTTTGGTATTGGATAGTTGGCTGGTTCACTGCTTGCCAGAATTCTATTGTTTGTCATCCTTCCTAGACCTGGCTATCTCATATTCAGGATGGAGACAACAAAGGCGAAAAGTACTGATGAAATGTTCGTAGTATCCTTTTGGAACAGAGTGGATTCAAGAGAAACAAGTCATGCATTGATCAAATCGCAACACTACGTATCATCATTGAACAGAGCTTGGAATGGCAGTCACACATCTGTCTACCTCAACTTCATTGACTTTGAAAAGACCTTCGACAGCGCAGCGTTGATCGAGAGGTGATTTGGAAACTACTTCGCTACTGCTGGGTGCCGCCAACAATTATACACCTCATCCAACATTTGTACAGTAATGCTGCGCATACCAAGTAATCCACAACGGGAAACTCATGGAATCCTTCGAAGTGAAAACGGAAGTGAGACAAGCTGGCTGCTTACTATCTACAATGATTGTGGTACACTGGATATTGCGTTAGAAAGCGGCGGGCAACGATGAGACAGGCATAAAATGGACCCACACAAAAGAAACTTGGAGGATCTGGACTTCGCCGATGTGATAAATATGTCTGATTTTCCACAAACTGGAAGATATGCAAGTGAAAAGCAACAAGTTGACAGAAAAAGCATCAAAGATAGGACTTCAGGTGAAAATAGAGAAGACAAAGGTGATGAAGATCGCTGGCCGACAGCAGCAGCGACCACAGCAACAGACAACAATCAGAATAAATGGGAGAACTCTGAAATAAGCAACCTCTTTTACCTACCTACCTACCAACCTGGGAAGCATCATTCCAACTACAGGTGGAACTGATGAGGATATCCATGCGCGAAGATCGGGAAAGCAAGGCAAGCTTTCATTACTCTCAAGTATGTGTGGAGATCAACACTCAGCACTCAGCATGAAAAATAAGATCCGGATTTTCAACTCCAATGTGAAGTCAGTGCTACTATACAGATCAGAGACTTGACGCTGCGTCACGAAGGGCACTTCGAACAAACTACAGACCTTCATCAACAGCTATCTGTCTTCGCTCAATACCACTCAAGATCAGATGGCCAGCCAGAAAAGATCAGTAACAGGGAGGATCTCTGGGAGCGAACCAACCCAGCAGAAACCGATTGTGCAACAAATATGCAGGAAGTATCGGAGGTGGATTGCACATACTTGAGAAAACCATCAAGTGACATCACACGACAGGCTATCGCTCGAGTGGAACCCGAATGTGAAGCGGCGAGTTAGTTAGTCGTCAGTGCGAGGGTGATATGGAGGAGGTCATGCTGAGAAGAGGAGATGAAAGCATGTGGGTAGACGTGGAGGCATGTGAAAAAAACGTTGGCAGAGAACCGAATACCGTGGAGACGTGCGGCTGAAGCCCTATATTCCTCTAGGAACTAAAGGAAACAATAATAATATCCTGTTTGAAATACTATTTCGGTGAAGCACACAGCAAGTCTCTGGACTATATAAAAGCGGTGTCTGACTAACTCACTGACTTGACATCAGTGAGATTAGTAGATTTCCCCACACATATGGTCCTCTCCTAAGTGGTAAGGATGTGCGGGATGATTGGATATGGAGCTAGCTACTCTCTACTGGAAAATTAATCGAATCTCTAGAGGAAACAAAACTTCCAAGCTATATTGCCTAAAGTTCTGCATATCAATTTTTCTTTCTTTCTTGCTTTCTCATCACAGATGTTTGAACAACGACTATGGGATGGACAAAGTCCATTATGGCAATTTGTAGAAAATGGGAAACAAAGATTAATTCAACGTGTTGAAGAACTTCACCTATCAATTGATCGAATACGTGAAATTGATGTCAATGAATTAGGTAACGTTTTATTCGAAATTTGTTGATTGTGTGTGTTTTAAGTATACATTTCATGAATAACCTTCATGCGGACATTATTGATGAAAACGAAACAAGTGATTTTCAACGAAGAGGCTATTTCTGACGAAGTTATTTTCAATTTTTACAACTTTACAATTGCATTTATTGAAAACACTTAGTTCCCTTTATGAATTTAGACAAAGCAATAAGAAGACGTAATTTGTCTGAGTCGTGTGATGTGTATCTTTGCAAACATATATTCTAACAATCTGATCACACACGGACTTGTCATAGGAATATATATATATATATATATTTATATGAATCGGTAGAAGTTAGAATTCATGAGCCATTGAATCGGGTCCCAGTGGTTGAAAGGTATACGAGCTTGCCTAGGAACCGGAAGGTCTTGGGTTCGAACTCCCTGTAGTGGGTGCCTACTGCCGATGATTCCCAAACTAGGCTGACGAAACAGCTGTCCAGTACTCCCAACTGGTTTTCAATGGTTCTCTAACTGATATCAGTCCGTGGTCAACTCGTAAAAACAAAACTAATCCTTACAAACCAACCATAGAAAAAATATATATACGAAATTAGTAAAGAGTTAAGAGGTGAGAAAATAGACTACTTAGGTCAAGTTAAAAGGACATATTGAAGGTCAAAATAACAATGAAGACCACTAAACCAAATAACAAAGGTAATAGTACATCTACCCTGTCTGCTATAAAAACGAAGTTTACCATGGAAGGTTTAGTGTGATGACGAATTATTGCTTTGAACGCATGAAAGTGGTTTAAACTTCCTAATTGCCAGCTAGGGCTTCCACAAACTTTAAGGTACGTCCTCCACCGAACACGTTCTATGGAAGTGTTTAAAAGATGTGTGAACCTCGATTTTATGCTCTGTCTCTTTAATATGTTTCTCAGTAGATTAGCTAGATTGTTTATTCTCACCATTAATGGGTCGTGGGTATTCTATTTGCTTCTTAAGCCATTTAGGTATATGCTTTGAAGATAGCCGTTACTTTCAGAGGTGGATAAGTCCTCCCTCCTATGTATGTGTGTCCACACGTACATTCAAACTGGTAAATACAGTGGAATGTAACATCATTTTTCGCATGTTCAACGGGCTTAGGTGGATTATGATATTAACAGCAGCGTTCAATCTTTGTCTAGTTGTCAAGCTGCTATTATCCCCTATATATGCGGTAGCTTGATGTACACATCTTTCTTAGAGGCTAGTTGGAGAATGAGTCTTACTGTTCTGACTAATTAATATATCCTGATGAACTTGTCTGGATAATTGTTATCAACCAGAGTGTGTGTCAACTTTCTTTCTTCTTCATCAAGTGTGTCTTCAGTGCATATTCGTTGGATTCTACTAAAGAGGCACCTCGCTCACTAAGGCTCTGTTGTACCGAGCAGGGCATAAACTGTGATAATTAAGATATTGTCCTGTTCAGATAGGTTTTCTGTAAATGGATCGTTTTTATTGATCCATCAAGCCGTTGACTAAACAATACATCTAGGAAAGATGACAAACAATTATCTGCCTCTCCTACAGACATAATTGATATTCCTTTCTGAACTTCATTCATTCGATTTAAAATTGAGATGGCATAACAAGGCACTTATCACTGATAATTACAATATCATCGACATACCTTCTATAAAGTGGCACATTTTCGATTAAATCCTCGGATGAACTCTCAATGTACGACATATAGATATCGGTACAAAAGAGCCTTAGTAATAGTGATATGCAGTCTAGGAGAAAAGAGGATAATAATTACAAAGTTAGTTGAAATATTGTGTGATTTGATCGTCCACCAGGGATTTTCCGAAGGAATTTTTCGTTACAATCATATTTTACATGTCTGAGTTGGTTTTTACAGTCGCGTTGGTATTAGGATCTCATATCTGACTTTTTCCAACCCTTACACCGATTCCAGAGCGAAGGGGGCAGTTGGTCATTCGTCCCATGGAAATGCTGTACCTCTGTTCCCTCCGTATTCATCAATAGTGTTGTATGACTTCACCCCTTCAGACTCCTCACATAGTAGTGTTAGCAAGTTATTCACTACGAGGGTAAACTGCCCTTTAGTTTAATCTCTATCTAAACATTTTTTCTGATGTCGTAGTAGTATACAGGGAGAAGATTATTATTATTCCCTTGCGTTCCGAGTAGGACATAGTGCTTCAACAACACACCTCCACTTTCTTCTGTTTCCTGCCGTCCTCTTCAGCTGGGTCCACGATTGACCAAACTCTCTCATCTCTTCCTCACAAGATCTCCTCTATGTCACCTTTGCAATGATGACCCACTCGTTGCTTCCTATTGGGATTCCACTCGAGCAATGGCCTGCATTGCGTGTGATGTCATTCGGCGGCCTGCTCAATGTGTATGCTCAATCCATCTCCACTTTCTCCTACATATTTGTTGGGCGATCAGCTCTCGCCTGTAGGTTTGTTCATCGCCAAAGTTTCTTGTTACTAATTCTTTCTGGCCATTTGATCTTCAGCATGGAGCCAGCCAGGGAAGTGTGCAGCTGTTGATGAAAGTGTGCACTGACCTGTTGGTAATCCTTTTCGTGATACGTTGACGAAGTTTCTGACTCGTATAGAAGAACCGACTTCGCATTGGTGTTGAAAATGAGAATCTTGTTCCTTATACTGAGTGATGGCAGCAGACTTCCAAACTGGTTTTATTTTTTATTTTTTTTTAATTTTTGATTACTGCTTGATTCCACACAGTACTTTTAGTAGAAGTATGGAATTTTCAGCATGGATATCGGTAGCCCAAATTTCGCAGGCCGACCATAGATATCGGGTGTGCGCCGGCAGGGGATCGAACTCCGGACCATGTGCATGGTCGGCGAGAGTCCCAACCACTGTGCCACCGACGCACCAGATAAAGGCGTATGTTGCCTTTCCGATTGCGACTTTGACATCTTCGTCCCTTCCGAATGTAGTTGAAACGGTGCTTCCTACTTGGATAAATGAAGGAAACGATCTCTGTTAAATCTCTCGTTGATGGTGATTGGTGCTGGTTGTTGTTGTTGCCGTTGATTGGTTATCTTCATCACCTCCATCTTCTCTGTGTTCACCTGGAGTCCTGTCTTCGCTGCCTACCTGCTTCCTTAGCCAGTTTGTTGGTTTTCGCTTGCAAGTCTTCGAGTTTGTGTGACATTAGAAATATATCATGAGCGAAATTCATATCTTACATAGTATTGTCATCGGTGGGCCAGCGTACTCCTATCTCCTAGCTTCCCACAGTCGTATGCGTAATCCAGTCCACCACATTTGGGAATATCATCGTGGGTGATAATAGGCAGTCTTGTCTTACTCCCGTATTCACTTCGAACGCCTCGCTGAGTTTTCGGTTGTGTATCACGTGACACTTGGCATTGTCATATATCTGTTGAATGAGGTTGAAAAAGAACTTAGGTAAGCCATAGTACTGAAGGGAGAAAATAAGAGGCTTTATTAAGGAAAAATATCCTATGCATTCCTGGCTAAGTCAAAGGAGAATAAATTCTTCCGATTGGTTTGGTTGGCAATTGGCTCCGGAATTAAACGAACTGTCTAACTGATAAGGTTATTTTATGTCCACAAACGTCAATTAAACAATAAACATTTTGAGCCTTTTTTGCAGTTAGCCATTGACTCACTTAAAAGTCTTGATTTCAGTTGTTTTTTTTGGCTGCTTCCTATCCATCTGCATCACACACCCCACAGTGGAACATGCAGGCATTGAATTGCATCTCAATGACAATAGATTGTCAGTTTAGTAGTAGTGTGTTGAGGGCTAGCTGCAAGCCGGAAATTGTAGATAGCAACTTGCGTCAATGTTACGCCCCGAATCGGGGTCAGATAAAACTATAACAAAGCCTAACCTTGAGGAACTCAACAACCAATCACATCAGACTTAATGTGTGCAAATATGATTCGCAGATATATGGCTTGACTTTCTGAGAAATGGTCACAAGCAGTGCAGAATAATCTTCAGCAAGAAAACAACCAATCAGAAGGATTTGCTTCTCTGCTAACAATAATGCTGACAATAATGTACATAAAAATCTATAAATATCTGTTAATTTTCTCACTAAACGATCTGTTGCCTGACTGGCCTTGTCTTCTGTCGTTACAGTAGTGGCAGTAGTAGGTACCTATGTCCCACATCAGTACTACATTCTATTCATTCTCTCTCTCTCTCTCTGTATTGTATCTTTTTCTTTTCAGCTTTCTTATTTCACTATCAAGGGAAAGAAGGTGCACGAGAGATCAGCCGATTAGCTTCATATTTGCCTAGAATTCAATTAGATGTTGAATCACAACCGATTACACGGACAATACTTCGTGTAAAATTAACTCTTCAACCTGATTTCACATGGTCGAATCATATACACGGTTTACAACAATCCTATTGGGTATGGATTGAAGATCCTGATCAAGGTGTAATATTTCATTCAGAATATTGGACATTGAATAAACGTATGGTAAGTTGACATTTTCATCTGTTCATTTAAAACTTCAAAACAAAAGCATGTCACTGTCTTCGTTTGTTTTATTCCTTTACGTCCCCAGTGCTGGAACATAGGGGGCTTCAAGCTAGAGCTCCTTTGAAGTTTCGGTAGTTGTGGTGTTTGTTTTTACGGGATAGGGTTGCTAGCCTCACATACCAAACCTTCCCTCTTTACCAGCTTTATTACTGGCTTAGCGAGAGAGGTAAAGGAGTGCGTTGGTCGGTCGGGGGTCGAACCTCAGAACAAATGCGTGGCTGGCTAGCATTCTATCGCTGTGCCACCGATGCACATGTTACTGTCTTTATGTTACCTAATGAAGAACTTTGTAAGTCCATAATATTTCACAGTATAAGCAATTTATTTGGTTACTTGTGGCTTGAAGTGGATGGATTTCATAGAGTAGATATCACCATCATCCCACTTCGGTACTCGTCAGCTGTGCATACGTTTGCATCTTGAGTGAGTGGTAGTCTTCCAACTGAGACTCAAACCTTGTACACCCTAGTGTCAACAGTTCTTTTGATTACAGCCAGAATAACAGTTTGTACAGAATAAAATGGTGTACTGTCATTGACTGACTGACTGACTGCTTTCAAAACGTAGAACTTTGCACAGATGTACAGCAGTTTGAGTTGATACACTCCCTCCATGTAGTATGAAACGACGTTTTGCTTTGACCGCCACTGGCTAAGTGTTTACCAACCTGATGGATCCTATGTCAGCAGCTAACATTGCCCATTGCCGAGGAAGGTGATAGCCAGGCATTCTTCACACATGTCCTAACCACCTCAATCGATGTAACTTCATAGTACTTTTATTAATTGTTTCGTCTGCTTCTCATGTCTGCTGTGTTACAGCCTAAATAAATGAATTAGTGAAGTTTGCGTACAGAAAAAATTTCAACATTTAGTGATAGGAGATTTCGAACTTAATTAACTGTACTCAGAAAGTTACAGTTATACATAAATTATAACCAGGACGTTCAAGTTTTAAACAATATTAAACAAACGGGAATTTCGATCAAGTACGATTGATCAGTGATACATATCCATTTTTATTGATTTATTTATTAATCAGGACTTCAAGTTTTGGTTTGTAAGGATTTGATTGATTGGTTACAGGATTACATCGTGAGCTGATATCGGTTAGAGAACTATTGGAGAATCTGCAGAGAGTACTGGACAGCTGTTTCCTCCGTCCGAGTTTGGGACCAGTAGGGTACAGCAAGTCGGGCGTGACGACAGATACTCGCCGTAAACATTGTTTAGTCATCGTGCTATGTTTTGAATTGGCAGAAACTAGAATTCATAGGTCATTGGTTCGGGTTCCAGTGGTTTAGTGGTCTACACGCTCGCCTTGTGACCAGAAGGTCCTATGTGCGGACCCATGTGGCTGCGTACTGATGAAGATTCTCAAAACTGGGACGAAACAGCTGTTCAGTACTCCTAGGTTTTCCAGTGTTTCCGTGACCGATGTTAGCTCATGATGAAATCCTGTAACTAATCAGGACTTGTCATGCACCAGCTAACATTACACCTTCACGTCTGTTCAAACTTTTGGGATTCACCCATTATGTATTACTTAGTGCGATTAATGAGTAGTATAGTTCTATTTATATATCCTTATATTACTAACTATTATTTTATTGTTTTTCAATCACCCATGTTTCTTTTGCCTTCCTCTTTTGTACATATTATAGTACAGTACAAAAACACCTCAAGTATTAAATTTTACTATTCCATTGTATGAACCTTATCCAAATCAATATTTTGTACGTGTTCTCAGTGATTGTTGGCTTGGTGCTGATTCTACATGTCCAGTGTCATTTAAACGTCTTATTCTGCCTAGCAGTGATCCACCACATACAGGTAGGCCTATATGTATGTATATGTTGCTAGTTATGCGTTATTATTTTTACATATTAAATCGACTTGGAAGGATGAGAGTCTGAACAACTTGGTACGGTCTGTGGTTGGTAGATTCGGGTCTTCCTTTCGAAATGTTATCAAGCAACCAAGCATTTATGGCCCCTTCCAGACAAGTCTTATTCACTACCTTCACGCGGCGGAAGGAGTGTTGCTCACAGGAAAGTGAAAGGGGGCGGATGCAAACGTCTGGCGTGTACAACCTAACCAGTGGACATACATGTCCGCCTAGGGAAGCTGAGAAATCCTGATTTCAAGCCTTTGTGGTGTGTAAATGGGTTCCAGAATCCTAAAGAATCGAATTGCTTATAAATTTGGTTTGTTCACCATCACAACCATAGGAATGCTGCTTCACTGCCGTGTAGATAAGACGTCAAGTGTAAGGCTGGGCAATGGGAGTGTTCTCTTAAGGCAACCAACTGCTTCAGTCTGGTCACCCTGACAGTAGTATCCCAGCCCTGTGGTGTATCTCTTGGCGCCCATAATGTAACAAGTTTGCGCTTTACTACTACTACTACTAATAATAATAATGATAACAATAATAATAATAGTGGGTTTTTTTCAAACAGTATTTTCGATTGAGTTTGGAAATCTTACCATGTTATAGATTATTGAATCTAGTGTTCTGGGCTAAACACTTCAAAAGACTTCTAAATCGACCTCCACCTACAACATCCCCAATAATACCAACAGAGGAAGCAGAACTATCAGTGGACATCAACCCTTCGACGAGAACAGAAATCCTGAAGGCAATCAAGATGCTGAAAACTGGGAGAGCAGCAGAACCAAACAGAAGCCTCGCAGAAGTATTGAAAATGGACTCTGAGACAACAGCGGACTTGGTGACACCACAACTGAAGAAAGTGTGGAAACAGGACAAGAATTCTGCGGATTGGAAGAAAGGCTCCTTATTCAAGTTGCCAAAGAAAGAGGACTTAAGTCAATGCAGGAACTGGTGCGGCATTATGCTCCTGTCCATCCCAAGCAAAATACTAAACCGCATCATCCTGGAGTGAATCAAACAAGCCCTGGGTGGAAAATTTTGACGGGAACAGGCTGGATTCAAGAGAAACAAGTCATGCATCGATCAAATCGCAACACTAAGAATTATCACTGAACAGAGCTTAGAATGGCAGTCACCTCTCTATCTCAACTTCATTGACTTTGAAAAGGCCTTCGACAGCGCAGCGTCGATCAAGAGGTGATTTGGAACTACTACTACTACTACTTCGCTACTACGGGGCACCCCCAACAATTATACACCTCATCTAACAGATGTACAATAATGCCTTGCATACCAAGTAATCGACAACGGGAAACTCACAGAATCTTTCGAAGTGAAGACGGGAGTAAGAGAAGGATGGCTGGCTGCCTACTATCTCCAATGATTTTCCTGATTGCGGTCTGTAGACTGGATAATGCGACAGGCAGCGGGCAATGAGGAGACAGGCATAAAATGGACCCACACAAAAAATTTGGGGGATCTGGATTTCTCTGATGATATATGTCTGATTTCCCACAATTTAGAAGATATGCAAGTGGAAAGCAACAAGTTGGCAGAAGAAGCATCAAAGACAGGCCTTCAAGTGAACATAGAGAAGACAGAGGTGATGAAGGTTCCTGGTCAGCATCAACAACAGACAACAATCAGCATAAATGCAACAAATCTGAAAGAAGAAACCTCCTTTACCTATCGACCTGGGAAGTATCGTTTCAAACACAGGCGGACGGAACTGACGAGAATATGCAAGCGCGAGGATTGAGAAAGCAAGACAAGCTTACATCTCTCTCAAGTCCGTGTGATGATCAACATTCAGCACTCCACATGAAAAATAAGATCCGGATTTCCAACTCCAATGTGAAATCTAGTCAGTGCTACTTACTATACGGATCAGAGACTTCGCGCCGCGTCACGACGGGGATTTGAACAAATTACAGACCTTCATCAACAGCTGTCTTTGTTCAATACCACCCAAGATCAGATGGCCAGTCAGAAAAGATGAGAAACAGGGATCTCTGGGAGTGAACCAACCCAGGAGGAACCGATTGTGCAAGGGATATGCATAAAGAAATGGAAGTGGATTGTGGCCATACTATGAGAAAACCAGCCATCAAGTGACCACACACTTCCACTCGAACGGGAAGCGGCGAGTTGGTCGTCAGTGTGAGGGTAGCATGGAGGAAGTCACGTGAAGTTGAGATGAAACCATGTGTGCGGACGTGGTGGCAGGTGAAGAAAATTTTGGTGGAAAACCGACCGCAATAGATACGTTCGGCTGAAGCCGTATATTCCTCTAGGAACTAAAGGAAATAATAATAATATATCATGTGATGTAATGCTTTCAGATCTGAAGTATGGTATAATCTCTCATGATATTTCCTTTTTGTCCCTACGAAATGAGCACCTGCTAGTTTAAAAGTCAATTGAAAGTGTCCGTGAGTACATTTTAGCACCTCAACGACACAACTTGATGGTTAAGACAATAAGAATTAGAGAAAATGCAATGCATAATGTTGGGTAGAAATTCAGATAGCCTAGGGATTCAAGCAGGCTGCCAGCGTTAGCAATGGATAGGATTTAGAATCTGTAAGTTCATTGGAATCCATTCCAAAGGCTGAATGACTTATGATCTCCTCATATAACCCGAAGGTCCTACGTTGGGGCCTGATTGAGTGAGCACTTCTGAAGACTTCTGAACTAGGACGAAACAGTCTTCTAGTTGCTGTCTATACGATGTCAGCTCGTGATTAAACCTCTGGCCGATCATATGACTGCAAACCAACACTTGATAATTCAAGCGTATTATTTTAACGACAGAAGACAAGGCCAGCCAGGCAACATATCGTTTATTGAGAAAATCAACAGGTATTTATAGATTTTTATGTACATTATTATTAGCATTATTGTTAGCAAAGAAGCAACCTCTTCTGATTGGTTGATTTTCTCGCTGAAGGTTCTTCTGTCATCTCTTTGTAGCCGTTTCTCAGACAGTCCGTTGATATATTTGCGAATCGTATCCACCCACGCTAATTCTACTGTGATTAGTTGTTGAGTTCCTCAAGGCTGAGCTTTGTTATTGTTTTTTCTTATGACCAAGATTCGGGACGTAAACCACATTATTATTTTAAAATTACATATCCCTATCTAAACCTCGCTTAATTTACTAACCGATAGTAATAATCCCGAGTAAAGGGCGAGGTTGGGCTTATGTCTGGGTGGCTAGCAACCTCACCTCCTTGAAAACGACGAAAACACCGCCGCTGAGTCTGTGGTGTCCTAAAGTTCTGTATTCCACTTAGAACTCAATACATTATTATATTCTAATGGCGAATATTACTCACGATTATTCTACCTATCCTTTCTTTTCATATTCCTACAGATCTCCTTCGATTACAGCCTTTGCCTATTACAGCATTGAAAAATTCCAATTATGAATTATTATACAATTTTACTCACTTTAATCCAATTCAAACCCAGCTATTTCATACACTGTATCATCAGAATGTTAATGTGCTGTTGGGTGCACCAACAGGATCTGGGAAAACTGTGGCTGCAGAACTAGCTATCTTTCGTGTTTTCAATGAATCACCTAAACAGAAGGTTAGTATTTTTTTCCGTAGTCTTCTTTTTTTGCTGGCTTCACAATTGCCCATTAGCTTTACTCTCATCTCCTCCTCTTCACGTGATCTTCCACGCCCCCCCCCCAAATGTCACCATTCTACTCCCAACTCTTCGTTTCCTAGTCGGGGGTGACGCGCCAAGTTTCTGATCCATGTAGAAGAATTTACTTGACATTATTGTGGAAAATTCGAAATTTGTTATTTTGTTGTTGAGTTCAGGAGATTTCCGAACCGATTTCAGGGAGATGAACGTGTTTGTCTTGTCTTTCGGATCCTGGTTTTTACATCCTCTTTGATGCCATGTGCCTGTAGTTGAAAGGTGCCTAGTTAAGGGAAAAAAGTGACCTCGTTTAAATGCTTCCGTTGATAATAACTAGTGCTTGTAGTAGTAGTAGTAGTTCTTGTTGTTGTTGTTGGGTGTCTTGATCACTTCTGTCTTCTGTGTATTCGAATTCACATCTAAGTATGCTTTGAAGATGTTGCTCAGTAGAGCAATGAAAGCTTCGCAACCAAACCATCCAGCTCAGAGAACACAACCACACCAAAATTAAGCTTTTAGAAGACAAATTCCGCGAGATGATATCGTCATTTCGTAGTTTCTTTAAAGCCGCTTTACAACTAGCATGGTTCACAATAATAATAAAATAAAATGCATGACAATTACTCAGTTATTTAAAAAAAATCAAAAGTACATACTAATGACCAATCATATTTAAATAGGTCAAGTAATCAGTCCATGGTAGGCGAAGGTTGAAGTCTATTGTGTTTTGTACACATAGTTTAGGATGTATGTGATTAATCCAACAAAGTGCTTCCATCACCTTCAATAACCAACCTTGAATTAGAGTTATGTGGTGAGATGATTGTGAAGCCGTCATTAATTAATATTGATTTTGTGACCTGACATTAATAAGTGCTTTGCAATGTGATGATGATGGATTTCTATTCAGATTAATTGCATTGGGATTTTCTATTTGTTTTAATAACCATTTTGGAACATGTTCTTTTTGACGACGACATTGGAACATTCTATTGGTTCTACTTATATAGGTGTCACCGCAACTGCAGGTGAACTAGTAGATACAGTTTGAAGTAGAGTCCACAGAATTTGGTCCTTTAATCATGTAGGTACAGGGATCGAAAATGTTCGGCATGTGTGGGAAAGAGATGTGGCGTAGAATGTGTGAGCTTGATGGCTGACCGAAGTCTTTAAGCTGTCAACTGCATAATCCGGTCACCCTTGGATGGTAGGTTAATAAAGATAGCTTTCTTTGGTACAGAAGCTGTCTTTCCTAGATGTGATCTATCCTTACTGTGACAATTGATGAAGTAGGTTTTCTGGATAACCATTAGCTAATAAAACTGAATGTATATGTCGAAGCTCATCCATCAATGTGTCACTCGTACATGTTTTGCGGGCCCTTGAAAACAAACATTTCACTAGGGAACGTTTGTACTGGATTCACTCGAAGTGTTGGCAATATGTTTGGTTTTAGCCTGCACATTGAGTTTATGTAACATTATGCTTAAGTCTTTCACGAAGTTCAAATATCCCGTAGTCTTGTTGTGTTGTCAGCCAAACGTATTCCTATCCTCGTGCTCTCTCTTCTCATATTCTGCCGAGTGGTTCAGTCTACCATAATCAGGAATATTGTCGGTGACAATAGGCAGCAGCCTTGTCTTACACCTGTCTTCACTTGAAAGGCATCCCTAAGGTTTTCGTTGTGGATCACTTGACATGTGACATTATCGTATATAGCAGTCGAATGAGGTGTCAAACCCACATCAAACCGCTGACCATTCAGCCACTGAGACAGAATCCAGTAGTGCGTGACTAACTGGCTGCAGGACAAAGCTGCTTGGGAGTTCTGGTGAGAAGTCGTAACTAGCGCAAGGTCCACAAAGTAGCTGGGTGTGAGGAAAGATACTCACCGAGTTGATGAACCACCGGATTTTGTTCTGATAGCTGAATGTTCGACAAGCCCACCTTGTCACCTTAAGGTCTTGGGTTCGACCCTTGATGAACAGAGTTATGCATGAGTGTGTGCGTACTGCATAAGAGTCTGAAACTAGGATGAAACAGCTGTCCAGTACCTCTCGTTTTCAAATGTTTGGCATTTATCATAAAATATTCCTTTAAATATATCTATATATATCACCTTGTCTCATTTCCTACTGCAGTGTGTATATATCGCTCCATTGAAAGCACTTGTACGTGAACGTATTGAAGATTGGAATATTCGAATTGGTCAAAAGTTGAAGAAACGGTAAGCGTGTTTCTAAAGTGTGTTTAAGTGTAATTGTTTTATGTGAAAGTATGTAACTTGAAAGGCTTGATTTCACAACCCCTGTGGTTGGGTGGGTTCTGTTGATGAGTCCGAATTTAGGACGAAACAGCTGTTTAGTACTCTCCAGGTGGTTTTTTCAATAGTGATCAAACTTGCAACAGATCAGATCGCTGCCTACTCACTCTTGAAAATTAATCTGATGCTCTCTTTTGATTGGCTACAAGATAAAGTTGACTAGAGGTCTAGTGATGAGAAGTCGTGACCAGTGGGATCCCTCCCCCGGCCGGGAGTGAGGACATCTCCGATGATATTGGCTGGTGGTCGCGACACTAACTATCACAGAACGATAAATAAGTAAGGCCAGTGTAGGAATGAAGATTATCATACTTTATTATAGATAAGATTTTATTTTGATAAATCACAGTGTTAAACCATAAGTAATATTTACTGATGACGACGTTTCGAGCGCAATTCACTGCTGCTCATAATCATATCAACTCACTCACACAATTTTCTTGCTTCATTTATATACATCAGTGAAACTGACGATTAGACATTTGAATAAAATCAACTGTATGAGATAAAGTACACCCGGAAATAATAATATGGTTTTATCAATCAAAATAAGTAACTTGTTGGAATGTTATGATGTACGTGAATTCAGGTAGAATTTTAAGATTATTTATTATCCTCCTCTGATTTGACTGACTGGCGGTAATAATATCTTCTATGCATATCTCTGGTATTTGCATTGAGTCATTTCTGTTGCATGTGTTGGGTATAGACTATAGCGTTTATAAAAAGCCAACGTATCCTAATAGATATTTAGACTTTAATTCATCTCATCCGTTATCTGTAGACGCTGGCTTTTTCTTAACTGTCCAACAAACCGAGCGATAGCACTAAGTAGCACAAAAATGACCTAAATGATGAAATGAAACAGATAGAAGAATAGCTGGTTGCTGTTAAATAAATATCCTATAAAATTAATTAAGAATATCAAAAAGGTCAATAGCAAAATAAAAATAATGGCGAAACTAATAATTATAACATAAATAAGAAAGAATATAAGGAGGGGACATCTGAGACCCTACGCAGGATTCTGAATAAAGCAGGAATTAGAGTGGCATTCAAACCTACACAATCACTCAGAAACAATCTCTGTAGACTAAAGGAGCCGGCGGACGCAATTAAACAAAATAATATAATTTACAAAATACCTTGCAATGACTGTGAGTTAAGTCAACTGCATAGGTCAAACCAGTAGATCAGGAGTGGTGAGATTATCCGAATATAAGAAGTTGGCTAAGGTTAGAATGATTGATCCCACGAAGATAAGTCATTTATAAAAAAAACTCAGCAATTGCACTGCATGCATTAGCACAAAACCACACAATAGGGTGGGAGAGGGTTAAGATTCTCAGAAGTAATCCATGTAGGTGGAGAGAGAGATTGATTACTGAATCCTGGTTCATTGAGTCTACACCCAACACATGCAACAGAAATGACTCAACACAAATACCAGAGATATGGAAGATATTATTACCACCAGTCAGTCAAATCAGAGGAGGATAATAAATAATCTCAAAATTCTATTTCAATTCACATACATCACAACATTCTAATAAATAACTGTTTGTAAAACAGTCTGCAAGGAGGGGATCCCAATGAGTTCCTATGCATAGAAATTGTCATATTTTATTTAGAACACGAACTCAGAACATTAGGATGCTCCATAAAGAAATATGTAAGGAAAATAGAGTAAGAATGAATAAGGGGCATCATCCAGAAAGCAACCAGTGATACCTCTCGAGATCATTCAACAGTCATCACTTCATGTCTCTTTCGGCATGTTCACCACTGATTGGGACTCTAGGTCATATGTGGTAACCTTTCGAGTCGGTGGACTTGAACTACCTTCCGTACGCGAACCAGGAAGTCATGGTGTATCAACTGATGCTAAGTTAACACAAATATCCTTCATCCCATGGCACAACGTTATAAGATGACCACCTCTCTGTTTTATCCATCCATTCTTAGGCCTAGCGAACAGACAGATGCGGAAGCCTCTGGTGTATCATTCGTAGCACATGTCGAAGCCACCGACGCTGGTATATCCAGCGTCTAGTAAACTTCACCGTGCCCAGACACACTGATGGGCCTCACAATTATGCACACAATGATGTAGAAGCAGCGATAATTGAATACGCAAAGGTGCTACACATCCTCAGCTAGTAGAGGTAGTTGGGTCTCATAGGCGTAGAGCAAGACTTCGCACACTGAATCATTGTAAACCCGACCTTTGACAGTGAGGCTGAGGCTAACGACGTCGCGATGGGGCCAGAAGTAGCCTAAATTGGTATGTGCCACTTTAAAATTCTCGTCCGTCACACCTCTACCAACAGTCATAGAACAACCTAGATATATATGTACTTGTTTGATAACCCGAAGTGGTTCACTAGCAAAGGGGTTTGCAGGAACAGTCTGCTGCATAAAAATACTATTTTTAAAACAAATGTAAAGAACTGTGATTTCACTACTCTAGATTACATTATATTTTTAGCGCTTAAGCTCCAAATTGTCTAAGTAGGTAACGTCGTGAATCATCGGATAATGTAAGTGGTTCAGTGTCGTATTTTAGTATTCTTTTTGTTCGAGTTTATTTTCACATTTCAATACAGCCATGCATTTCCTCATTTCTGCCTAATTCCATCTTGTGGTTTTGTTCACATAGGGTTGTTGAATTAACTGGTGATGTAACACCTGACATCCAGCATCTATTACGTTCTGATTTAATTGTTACTACACCAGAGAAATGGGATGGTATATCACGTTCATGGCAGCATAGATCATATGTTCGTCAAGTCGCTTTAATTGTTATCGATGAAATTCACTTACTTGGTGAAGAACGTGGTCCTGTTCTTGAAGTAAGTGTATCTTATCCCTTTTTTGTATTTGATGATGTCGCTGTTTTTTTGAAACGTGGTAAAGCAACGGGACCTCAGAATGACTCTAGAGGTATTGAGGAACAATGGTGACAAATTGCTGTCTGGGTTAGCTAAGATATTAGACAATGTTTGGGATCGAGAGATAGTTCTGTTGGACCGGTGTAATTCATTGATTATCCCGACAAGTCTTGATATGGTAATCATAGAGGAATTAGCTTGACTGATATGGTATCTAACATCCTAGACTGAATAATAATGCGTAGACTAAGTGGTGCCCGGGTGGCGCAAACACGAGAGAACCAGGCAGGCTTTAGACCAGGAAGAGGGTGTATTGATCATATCTTCACCCTTCGACATAGGCATGCTTACCGGTGTCCAACAATTGTTATATTTCTTGACCTAACGACGGCATTCGATTCTGTCGACCGAGAGGTACACTCTGGCAATGTTTGGCTGTAAAAGGAATGCCGAGAAAATACGTTGCACTGATCAAGGCACTCTACTCGTACTCATGGAGCCAGGCGAGACCTTATGGCGAGTTGTCATCTGAACTGGTGACAACTAGTGGTGTCCAACAGGGATGCCCACTATCCCCATTTCTATTCAATTTCATCATAGATGTACTGATGGAATTAACCCTAACTGATTTCAGCGACTCAGGGATTGACTTTTTGCCATCAGGGAATAATCTCGTTGACTGAGAATATGCAGATGATATAGTCCTCCGAAGATATGCAAGTGAAAAGCAACAAGTTGGTAGAAGAAGCATCAAAGATAGGACTTCAGGTGAACCTAGAGAAAACAGAGGTGATGAAGATTCCTGGGCAACACCACCAACAGCAACAACAACAACAGACAACAATCAGCATAAATGGAAGGAACCTGAAAGAAACAACCTCTTTTACCTACCTACCTAGGAAGCATCGTTTCAACTACAGGAGGAACCGACGAGGATAGCAAAGCAAGAATCGATCGGAAAAGCAAGACAAGCTTTCACTACTCTCAAGTCTGTGTGGGGGTCAACAGCACTCAGCATCAAAACGAAGATAAGATCCGGATTTTCAACTCCAATGTGAAGTCAGTCAGTGCTACTATACGGATCAGAGACTTGCACTGCGCGTCATAAAGAGCATCTCAAACAAACTACAGACCTTCATCAACAGTTGTCTTCACTCAATACTCAAGATCAGATGGCCGGTCAGAAAAGATCAGCAACAGAGAGGGATCTCTGGCAATGAGCGAACCAACACAGCAGGAACCGATTGTGAAACAAATAGGCAGGAAGAAATGGAGATGGATTGGCCATACTCTGAGGAAACCATGAAGTGACATCACTAGACAAGCCATTGCTCGAGTGGAACCCGACGGAATGGGAAGCGGCGAGTTGGCTGTCAGTGCAAGGGTGAGGGTGACTTGGAGGAGGTCGTGTGAAGAGGAGATGAAAACGAGTGGACAGACTTGGAGCCAGGTGAAAACTGTAGCAGAGAAGCGAACGCAATGGAGACGCACGGCTGAAGCCGTATGTTCCTCTAGGAATTAAAGGAAATAATAATAATAATAGTCCTCCCAACTAGGTGAAGACGCTGACAAGCACTACTACTTGATATGAATGAGTAGTATACAACTACTTATCTCGGTTAATCAGTAGTATATAGTTCTGAATATTTTCTTTCAGGTTCTTGTTTCACGAGCTAATTACATCGCAAATCAACTCGGCCAGTCTGTTCGAATAATTGGTTTATCCACTGCTTTAGCTAATGCCCCCGATCTGGCGGCTTGGTTGCATGTACCATCTACAATGACGTCTATCTCAGAAGTAGCCTCTATATCAGGTGTAAGCTATGGTTTGACAGGTAGAGGTTTATTCAACTTTCGACCGTCAGTTAGACCAGTCCCGCTGGAAGTTCATATTCAAGGCTATCCTGGGAGACATTATTGTCCACGTATGGCTACAATGAATCGACCGATATATCAAGGTGAGTAGTAAAACTATTTCATGTACTCTTATTTGTGTGTTTTTGTTGACTAACAACTAACTAACTGACTGACTGACTGATTTGGGATATAGAACTTTGCTGCATAGAAGTGGGCACTAGCACTTCAAGTTGTCACACTCCATGAAGCACACAAAGGCAGAGAAAAGAGAAAGAGACAAAGGGATTCAAAAGGACCAAAATAAGTAGCAAATTGAAGTAGGAAGAATATAATTAATATGGGAAAACATTAAGGTTTTGATGAATATGAGAAATCACAAAGTGTGAATGCATCCGTGCTCTCGATGACGCAAACTGAGTCCTGGGTCACAAACTGGTTGCATTCCTATTTCTCAAACAGAATGCAGTACACTGTATACAAAGGTAAATCCTCCTCTACTGTGCTCACTGAAGCTGGTGTCCCCCAAGGTGCTGTACTCTCCCCACTTCTCTTTTCTTTCTTTCTACATGACTTGCCATCTTCAAATGACATTAATTTTGTTAAATATGCTGACGATCTTATTGTACCTTTGCCCGTCAAGTGTCAAAGTGACTGCTCCAAACTAAATGACTTTTTATCGGAAATCAGCCAGTGGTTCAAACAAAACGGTCTTACTTTAAATCCCTCTAAATGTCAAACAGTCAATTTCACCTTTAGGCATAAATCTGACCTAAACAAACTGGTTAGCACTCACGAGGTGTGCAACATAGATGGCACTGAAATAGAGACCAAATTGGAAATTAAATATCTTGGCGTCATTCTATCTGCTGATCTTTCCTGGTCGTCTCATATCTTGATGATTTCTAAGAAAATATTCCGTCTTACCTTCTACATCAAGAAGTTAAGACATTCTGGAATAACCCAACCCTTACTCTTACGATTCGTTAACTCTCGCATCCTGCCTATTATTATGTTCCCCCTTAGTTTTTCCAGGGCTACTGAAGAAGGACTATATCTTATTACGTAGGGTGTTAAAGGTTGTCAGCAGGGTAAGCAATGTGCCACTTAACCAGCTTGTTAATATTCTGGTTGACAGGCACTTGGACTCATGTGAAAAATGGGGCTAAATCCATTTTATCTAACTCACACCACCCTCTTCATTCACAACTCTCCCCTTGCATCTCATCAGGCAAAACCAGAAGCCTATATAGAAAACTATATGCTCGCACCAGCAAGTACAAAAACTCAACCATACCCTACTTAGCTCGTGTTCTGTGCGATAAAGAAAGCATTAGGCGTGAAACTTATAACTTATTAAATAGTCAGTAGAACAATTGGATCTCGTCTTTCCAACTCATATCATTTATAGGTACAACGTTTTCTTTCTTTCTTTCTTTCCTTTCTCTCTCTTTTTTTGTTATGTGCTGTTTTGTTTCTCTCTTCCTTACAAACTCTACTTAAAACATTCTTCTTCGTTCTTTCACACTCTGTATATCTCGACCTTTTTGTTACCGCTTACGCCAGTAAATATGCTAGCGTCTACTTTTCTAACACCTTCAAACATTCTGTTCACTTTTGGCTTTGCTACCGATATGCTAATATGTTGTTGTCAAAACTAACTGAGACTACCCATAATCTATGTAGAATTTTATTTATTGTTAATGTACAAACTGGATGCAATACTGTAGTGAAAATGCTGAGAATTCCATTCTGTATCACAAGTACTGTTTTGGAATAAAGCAAATTATTATTAATAATAATTTTGAAACGTATCACACATTGTCTCCAGCCGTCATTGGATTTTACCATCCCGAGGACCCCAACTAACCAGTCAGTTAGGAAGTCTACGCTTCCCTACGTGGCTGGTTGGCTGGCTTAAACTAACTTTTGTGGATTTCACTGACTGATCCATGTTTTTGGTTTGACCACCACTAGCACCTCTTTTCCAACCTCACCGATCCTGTGTCAGCTTTAACAATCCCTGTTGAGTCAGGTGATATCTAGGAATACATAACACATGTCTCAGCCATCTGAATCTACTAAGCTTCACAACCAACTCATCGATTGACTTCTCCTCCTTGCCTAGCACTCGACCGATGCCTGACCTCAATATTACTCACCATATTATACCACTTAACATCTATGGTCAAAGACAGCTAACCTCTTCACGCCTTCCACTTTGAATGGTCATGTTTTAGAGTCATAATGCAAGACGAACGAAAAACTGAATAGTAAACACCTCCTTTGATTGATAACCGGATACTGTGTCTACTCCAGAGTTGACGTAAGTTGGCAAATTGCACTCGCTAGTCGTTGGTATGCCTGCTAAGATTTCGTCAGCAACTTCTTTCAACCAATTCACTTCCACTAAGAGCCGATCACGCACATGGTCCGGGGTTCGATACCCGGCCGACGCACTCCTTTACCTCGCTAAGCCAGAGATAATGCTAGTGTAGAGGAAAGGTTGGGCATGGGGCTAGCAACCCCATCCTGTAAAATAAACACTGCTACAGAAACTTCAAGCCACTAGCTTGTAGCCCTATGTTCCACTAGGGAACTTGAAGGAAAAAAAGAGCCAGTCGCTCAACAAATATGTAGAAGGAAATGGAGATGAAATGATTGGACATACGTTGAGGAGGCCATCGGGGTTCGAACCCAGGACCTTCTGGTTACAAGGCTGGCGAGATCGTAGAGCATTAAGCCACTGGGACTCGACTAAATGACCAGTCCATGAATTCTAACTTCTGCCAATTCACGACATAGCGCTACCACCAGGCAATGTCTTCGGCGAGTATTTATCCTCACACCCGCCGACCTGCTGCACTCTACTGGTCACGACTTCCCACGAGAATCCAGGTAACTACCTACCTGAATAGGGCAAGTAGCTAGTGAGCATCTCATTGATATTCATTGACATTGGTTGTTCCTAATTCTTTCTGGCCATTTGATCTTCAGTATGCAGTCAGCCAGTGAAGGTGACAGCTGTTGATAAAAGTCTGCAGTTGCCTATTGGAAAATCCTTTTCGTTACACGCTTGCCAAGTTTGTGAAAATGTGAATCTTGTTACTTATGCTGCATGTACTCACAATGGATATGAGGGTGTATTCTAGCTCATCGTGAATTCCATAGTGAATCTCATTTTCATATACACCATTGTTTTATATTTCACCTTTATTTTTAACCAACAGCTATTCGCAGTCATTCACCGACAAAACCTGTACTAATATTTGTATCAAGTCGTCGTCAGACTAGACTAACTGCATTAGATTTAGTTAGCTTTGTTGCAGCCTCTGAAGATTCTAAATGTTGGCTACACATGAAACCAGAAGAGGTAAGTTTTGCAACCTTTTTGATCTATCGTTTATCTATTTGACATATTTGCTAGATTAGTTCTACGGCCTCTTTTGACTCCTCTTAGTTTATTTAAGATTACAGGGATAAGATGCTGTTGTCATTATTCTTTGACGCCTATAAAACCTAGCCTCTCCAAGATAATGATATGCGTCTGTCGTCGCTATCCCCGTGGAATTGCTTGCTTCCGATGTCATCATCGCGTGCGCATAAGTAGTTCTAGCGTCTGCGAGTCTGTATTATTTGGAGATGATGGTGATTACCGATCATTGAGTGCACGCACCGTCATATTGTACCTTCAGCTTCGGTGGTTTGTGCACATGTGCTGCGAATGTTGCTGTTCGCTAGCCAATCCTGAGACTGGATGCAAAAAGGTAGACAGTCGGTCATCCCAAGAATTAATTATTAATGTAAAAGCAAAATAATCATTGGAAATGAAAAGAATTTATAGGGGACGATTACTGGTGAGGTTAAGACCATGGTAGAATGAGAGACTGGACAAACTTTTTCTGCAAGTAAAGGACCCAATGGTGACCCCATTGCCACTCCATCCATCTCTCTGTCTATAGAGCATGTTGTTAAACTTGACATTAGACAGTGAAAGTGCATCTCCATATTGGTGAATCGGAATACCCATGTCCAAATTATTATCGTCGATGACTTTACATTTACTGATGACAACGTTTTGAGTACAGTAATTAATTTATTGCTTTTCATAATCATCATGTCTGTACTGACTGTAGTAGGGAAGTAAGATGATGAAGGTGATATGGGTAAAGGAGAATGCTGCTCAGGAGGACTTTGTGTGGGCGGTTGTTACTTTCCGACTGCCCACACCGTGGAAGTTGATTGATTCTTGGGGTACCTGAAACACAAAGTGAGTTACTGTTGCGTGACCGCAGAGCCCCAGGGGACAACTGCTTGAGGCTGACCAGTCACACACGGACTGTATGAACTGATTTCTTGGATTAGTTCCGTAACCGGCGGTTACGGTATGTCGGGGGTATGTCGGGGTGTACAGTGTTTGTGGTCTCTCCAGTATACACCCACCAGGAGGGTTTGAACACACAGGACCTACTGGTGACAGGGCAAGCTAGTAGACCGCCATTCAGCCAATAGGACTCTCGACTCAATCTCCCATGAATTCCAACTTCTGTCATCTCGCGATATATACATATACTTCTCACTACAAAGTCGTCCGTCTATGCACTTGGCTTTGTAACCGGAAAGTGCTGGCTTCCAACTCATGTGAGCTCGTTGAACAAACCTGTAACCATAATGAGATCTCTACAAAACAACAGTTGATAAGTTTATTTCTAACTGTTTCCCTTTAACCTCTTTCTATCTCTCTCTCTCTTATTTAGATGGAATTAATTTGTGAAAATATACAAGAAGCAAATCTCCGATTAACTTTATCCTTTGGCATTGGATTACATCATGCTGGTCTACAGAATAAAGATCGTTCATTAGTTGAAGAATTATTTGCAAATCAAAAAATTCAAGTAAGGTAGTCAATTGTTTGAAGAATTCGTTTTCGAAAATAATGTAAATGTTTCTATGTTTTTTTTAGTGTATTATATAGCGTATTGAAGCTGCGCAACAGTTCGCTCTGTCCTCCTATATATCGCAGTGAAACACAGCCACTGAAAGTAGAAGATTATGAAAAGACTAATTGTCTCTGAGCACAGATCTTTGTCTTCTATCTCACGTGTTAAGTGGCATGATGTTATTATTATTATTGTTTCCTTTAATTCCTAGAGGAACATAGGGCTTCAGCCGTGCGTCTCCATTGCGTTCGGTTCTCTGCTAGAGTCTTCACCTGGCTCCAAGTCTGCCCACACGTTTTCATCTCCTCTTCACATGACCTCCTCCAAGTCACCCTCACCCTTGCACTGACGACCAACTCGTCGCTTCCCTTTCGGGTTCCACTCGAGCAATGGCTTGTCTAGTGATGTCACTTGATGGTTCCCTCAGAGTATGGCCAATCCCAGAGATCTCTGTTGCTGATCTTTTCTGGCCATCTGATCTTGAGTTTCGAGTGAAGACAACTGTTAATGAAGGTCTGTAGTTTGTTTGAGATGCTCTTTATGATGCGCAGTGCAAGTCTCTGATCCATCTGTATAGTAGCACTGACTGACTTCACATTGGAGTTGAAAATCCGGATCTTATTTTTGATGCTGAGTGCTGTTGACTTCCAGACACACTTGAGATTAGTGAGAGCTTGTCTTGCTTTTCCGATCCTCGCTGCTTTGATATCCTCGTCAGTTCCGTTTGCCTATAGTTGAAACGATGCTTCCCAGGTAGGTAAAAGAGGTTGTTTCTTTCAAGTTCCTTCCATAATATAGTAAGCAATTATAAAGTTAGGAGACATGTTAGGTAGAGAAGGTAAGTTGATCGATGTGGTTGTGAAGGTGAATCGATTGAGGAGGTGGCTTGGACACACCTTTCTCAACAGACACAGTGTTAACGGACATAGGATTAGATTGGAAGAGTGGTAGATCCTCGAAATTTTCAGAACGAGTGACAGCAGACTAGTGATGATGTGTGGTTCAAAATCCTTGTCATTAAACCTTCATGTTCCCCGTGTTACTATTCTTTCTTCCTCACATCATTATTCCCTTTGGCTCCGAGTGGGATATATGGCTTCAGCAGCACAGCACACATCTCTGTTCCCCTTTGTTCTCTATAGGCTTTTTTTAGCTACCTCCATAATCGCCCAATCGGGTTTTGATTTTCTCTCCACATGATCTTCTCTATGTCATCCTTGGGACTCACACTCAAGTCGTCATTTCTCAGTTGGGTGCCACTCGCAGCCTTACATGTGACGTCGTCACTCAGTGGTCTCCCCAATGCATGTGTATGTCCAATCCAATCCCAATTTCCTTCCGCATATCTGTGTAACGACAGAAGACAAGGCCAGTCAGGCAACAGGTCGTTTATTGAGAAAATCAACAGATATTTATAGATTTTTATGTACATTATTATTAGCGTTATTGTTAGCAGACAGGTGACGTCTTCTGATTGGTTGTTTTCATTCTGAAGGTTAATAATAATAATAATAATAGTAATAATAATAATGATTTACTTTATTCCAACAACAGTACTTGTGACGCTGAATGGAATTTTTAGCATTAATCACAATATTGCATCTAATTTCCTCAAATTATAAATAAAAATTAATCACACAGAAAATTTCCCACATTTACAATAGGGGTAATGTCAAAAACATGCAGCATATAAAATGGAAATAATAATAATGATAACAGCTAAGGTAATAATAATAATACAAGTGGAAATTGCCGTGGGCTTGTTTCACACAGTATTGTCGATGCGGTATAGAAATCCTAGCATGGTAACAAATATTGAATATAATGTTCTCTTTACATGATATGGTGAGGGGAATAACAAAGATTACAGCAGTCACAGAGATAAGTTGGTGTCTGCAATTATGAGCGTAAAACAAAGAAGCAACAGGACCATGAATATAATAGAAATCATAAAAGTAAAACTTGAAGGTTTATGAGGATGGATGGAGGAAATCTTTTATTTTCTAGTTGAAAAAAGGTTAGTTAATTCTTACCTGACACTATTTTCATCACATAAAATACGTGCCAAGTATGGTATCATAGAATTCTTATACTTAGACGTGCCAGCATACAGTTTTCTGAAGTTACTTCTTGTTCTACCTGAGGAGATGCAAGGTGAAAGCTGAGGGTGAAGTGGATGCTCCAAGTCAGACGAAATCCCTCTAGCAAATTTACTGCACGAAGTCAAGTGCCTATCGACAACGACGTTAACAATGTAGTCCACTGAGACACCACTCACTCTACTGACAGTCTTCAGCATTCTACGAATTGTGACATAGTCCTTTTTAAGCAAACCAGGAAATAATAAGGGTGAACAATAAAGAAGAATAGGTAGGATGCAAGAATTTATGAACTGTAAGAGGAGTTATACCCGAGTGCCTTAACTGTCATCTCTTTCTTACCGTTTCTTAGACAGTCCGGTCATATATCTGCGATTCGTATCCGCCCACGTAAAGTTTACCGTGATTGGTTGTTGAGTTTCTCAAGGTTAAGCTTTGTTCTTGTCATTCTTTTCTCATGACCCCGATTTGGGACGTAAACATTGACGTAAATTTCTGTCTACCACAATTTTGGCTAGCAGACAGCTCTCACCACAACAACCTGAGTTTCAGCATGGAGATGCAGCTGTTGACGAAAGTCTACAGATAATCTATCTATTAGAGTTAATGCTGAATAGACTTTATCTTTATTCTTCAAATCTCTAACTCTGTTTGCTTGTTTGTTTATTTGTTCTTTCTTCACAAAAGATTTTAATCGCCACTTCCACATTAGCTTGGGGTGTAAATTTTCCAGCGCATTTAGTTATTGTCAAAGGTACTGAATATTATGATGGCAAAACAAAGACCTATGTAGATTATCCAATAACTGGTAAGTGATCATTTGTGAGGTTTATTGTTTTATTATTATTATTATGCATGCGTGGGACCAAAATGTCCAGTCTCTGTTGCGGCATGTCAGCTTCTAGTACAGACTAACAAGATGATTATTCGGTTGCTGCTGGCGACTAGCAGTAGAATCCAAGATGCGCATTTCGTGCGGCTGATGAATCCCAAATAGGACGAAATAGCTTCTGGTTTCCAAAATGCTTCTTTAACTGATGAAGTCAATTCGTGGTGAAAATTGTAATCTTCCAGTGAGAAGTCATGACTAGTGCGGTCCACTAAGTTGAGCGTGAGGACAGGAAATCACACTGATTGTAAGCGCAATATCGCTTGAAATGAAGTCACGCGTAGATAAAGGCTATCCCGGTCCAGAACAAACAAGAAGCCGGTCACTGTTTCTACGGTACTATTAATAAACAAATCAATAATTATATATATACAACAAACCTTAACGGTTTCAAGAGCATAACGCTTAACAGAAAGCAAGGTACCGCTATCAGAGCGGAATAACGTTAAAGCCGAAATTGCGAACTAGCCGGAATCATACACGACTGTTCAGGTAAGCAGTCAGTAGAAGAATGGACCCAAGTAAGGCAGAACATAGAACAGAGAGCGGTTAAGAGATAGACAGAGCATAGGCACAAAGAGAGAATTTAATTGGCTACCTAACCAGGTAGGCTGATACAGATGAAGATCAATAAATAAGATAAACTCTACAGAATAGTACAGAGTAAGACATGGGTCAGCAAAAATAAGAGTTCACAAAATTCTCTGATTGAGTCATGAGTTCAACGGTCTGACTAAACGGATCGATGTAAAAGCACACACACAGTTCATTAAACAAGGTGGGATAGACACGTTAGGCATGGATAATCGGGTCGCAACTACGCTGGGTTGATCCGGGACAGGTTGACTTGATTCAAGGATGGGAATTGAATTGATCTTACACTGATGACATTGACCAGCGGTCGCTCTATATAGCCCAAATTGGCAGAGGTAAGAATCGGTAGGCCAGTTACTGGATTCTGCCCCAATGGTTGAATGATGTACAACTTTGGCAATTTTAACTTGAAGGTCTTGGATTCGAGTTATGGGTGCCTACTGATGAAGAGTCACGAAGAAGGAGGAAATACATATCCAGTAGTTTCTAGTTTCCAAGTGTCTCTTTTTCAACTAATTACCATAAAAGTTATAATTGCTTGGTTATTTGTCTGTCTTTAGTATACTATATATGTTTTAGTTACCTGGTTAGTTTATTTTATCCGCTGATGCAACTAATCAAATAAGTGGAGTGGTTAACACGCGCTCTCTACCATTTCACTTCCACTTCTTTAAGCTGAGACTCAGTGCAGTTCAGTCCTGTGGGATATCTATCTTGCATTTACTAGGAGAAAATCGCATGTCAGATATTTGGAGATTGCTGCTCTTACTTAGTGTTGAGAAGACTCTCTGAATTTTATCAACCCGTTCACCTAAGAGGAAAATAGCATCCACATACTCTAAGTCCACAAGACTATTTCCCGGTGGTAACAAGTCAACCCCTTGAGTCGCTAAAGTTAGTTAGGATCATTTCCATTAACCTCCAAAGCCTCAGGATGGTCGGGGGTGGGTGCCTTGCGCTGCGGGTTGGCCACCCCTCCGCACACCTCTTGAAATGCTCCCATATGACCAGGCGTCTTACATAGCCTCTCCTGAGGAAGTCCTACTCACTGCCTTCACGTGGCGGAGGTGTTTTTCACCAAAGTGAGAGGGCGAAAGCGGATGCCCGGCGCTCTTCACCGGGTTGACTGTCCATTGGATGACAGTCTAGGGGAGATGGCTAAACCCTGATTCCAAACCTCCAACGACTGGCGTATGAAGCTCACTGGAGCTCACCGGCAGACGTATGGACAAAGGGCTTGTTGGATGTCCTGGATGTCTGGCCCCATTCAAAAAGGCGTATGAACCGAACTCCGGTCACTGGCTGCCAATGGATAGTGGACTCCCTACTCCACTCCTACTGCCTTGTAGGTCACACTTGGTTGTGTAAAGGCTGGAGCTGCACTCTCAAACTAAAGGCCGAGCGATTCTGGGGACATCACTCGTATCAAATTCCCATGAAACTTCATGAACTCTCTTCATCAGATCGCCGCGCCTGGGCAGCGATGATTCGAGATGTTCATGTAGCCGGCTCATCCTCCTGTAGGAGATAGCCGAAGTAAAGTAAAGTAAAGTAAGTAAGTAAGTAGTAAGTACATATATAATGAAATTAATTAAACAAAAATAGGGGGACAGTGAACATCTCTGACGTGGACACCGCTGTTTGTCATCACTTCAGATGACCTCTCTTGTCTATAAGAGCTCTAACACTACGGTGTGTCATCACTCCTTGCTGACACCTTTGCTCACGTTTGATTGCGGATTGAGAGAGAGGAAGAGAACCATCAGGGAGTACTTGACACAGATGCTCCTCTTCCAAGTATAGAACTCTTCATCAATTCGCGCTCTCCATGGGTTCGAGTCCAGGACCTCCCGGTTATAAGTCGCGCCCACTGACCATTCAGCCACTTGAGTTGGAATACAATGTCTCATGAATTTTAGTGCTCACCAGTGACTGGTTACAGTATGACGTTGCCGGGAGTTCTAGTGAGAAGTCGTGATCAGTGTGGTCCACTAGATTGGGTGTGGTAGGACGAATTGTCGCCGACAACATTGGCTGGTATTCGTGCTAAAATCACGAATTGGTAGAAGTGATAGTTTTTTTTTCTTGAATTTTCTACTTTATTATTTATATACCAATAGATGTCCTTCAGATGATGGGACGTGCTGGACGTCCACAATTCGACGATCAAGGCAAGGCTGTAATTATGGTACAGAATTCAAAGAAAACCTTTTATAAAAGATTTCTGTATGAACCATTCCCTGTTGAAAGCTACTTAATTCATGTGCTACCGGATCATTTAAATGCTGAAATTGTAGCCGGTACAATAACAACTATGCAAGAAGCATTGGATTATTTAACATGGACATTCTTTTTTCGACGTCTCTATTCAAATCCATGGTAGGTTAAATGTTTTGTGAATTCAATAACTTCATTTCATTTTATTTTTAAGGATTTATTTTGCCGGGAGTGTTTGTCATAAAAGTGTACGGCTGGCGCTTACAAACGGACTGGTGAATGATATACTAGTCTACCTAGGGGAGCTGGAAAAACCCTGAATGGATTGAATGACTTATGAACTTGTTTTTGTTTTAACTGGAAATTATGGGGACGTAGTTCCTGACTCTGCTCTACTACCTTGTAGATGAGGCTTCAGGTCAATTTCTCAGGGTATGGTCCGTGTAGACAACCACCTACTACTACGTTCTGGGTGTCCAGGTAGTATCTCAGCCGTGGAACAATAAAATTTTGTGTGGCACATCTCTTGGTGCCCACGATGTCTCAAATTTGTGTTTTAATAATGATTTGTCTTCATAGATATGTCACTAAGATGTATGTAAGATACGCACATTATTTGAACGTTGTGTTAACTGCGTTATGCGGAATAGATATCTCATGTTATTAGATAGTTGGAGGCAATCGGTCACAGGAAGCCTTGCCTGACCTAGGTTTCGTGCTAGTTGGCAAGGCGGATCTGCAACCTTGAAGGAACAACTCATGTCCCTTCTGATGGCGAGCTACCTAGAATGGTGGGCCACATTGCAAACCTGACTGACTGATAGAATTCAGTCTGCACCAAAGAAAGGACTAGACACGTCACACTAGTTACTGACTAGTGTCCAATCAAGATATCTCATGTACCAGACTATCTGACTCACAATTAATTATTCTGTGAGACCTGAATAGTTTCAGCTGAACTGAACTCTGGCACCTACGGGGGCTGTAAGTTGAGTTCCTGTAGCCAATAAATCACAGTGGATAGATCGATTCTTTCCAATGGATTGCATAATTTCAATAAATAATAATGCCGATTTTAATGGTCTCACTGGTTGAAAAGTATATAAGTTTGATTTGTGATCTGAAGGTCATGGGTTGTATCCCTGGTGGTGTCACGAGTTCGCGTGCTGATGATGAGTCCCGAATAAGAACGAAACAGCTGTCTAGTACTCCTTACTGGTTTTCAATCTATGACCTACTTGAAAATTAGTCTGAAGTTCACTGATGACTCTAACTACAGGATGAAGTCGTGACCATTGGTGTCTACCAGGTCGGGTGTAAGGACAAATACTCGCAGCTAATGATTATTGTTTGGTGCCAGTAGCGCTGAAAGTCACGAATTGGTAGAAGTTGGAATTCATCAACTTGTCATTGGATTGAGTTCCAGTGGCTGGAAGTATGGTACAAGAGCTCTCGTGGTAACTGTGGAAGGTCCTGGGTTCGAACCCCCTGTGGTGGATATGTTCCTCTGAAGAGTCCCAAACCAGGACAAAACAGCTGTCCAGTCTTTCTATTTAATTATTATTATCATTATTCCTCATTCATGTATTACTTCTATACATTTATATTTCCTTATTTCAGTTATTATGGTTTAGAGGATTGTGAACCGCAATCAGTGAATACCTTTCTATCAGGTATTATTACATCAGCATGTCAACAACTGGCTGAATCTTCATGTTTACATAAAGATGCAATTTGTGAACAAATGTTAGTATCAACACCACTTGGTCGATTAGCTTCTTATTACTATCTGTCACATTTAACTATGAAATTATTTACAAGTACAATTCGACCAACATCAGATGTACATGAACTACTGAAAATATTATCAGTAAGTTTAAATTCTTTATTGCATTACCACATTTGTTGTCATTATCGGATTGATTTTCTGGTGTAGAGTAGTCTCTGGTCCCGACCTGGCCTAACATCCCGACCGATAGCTGCTACCTTGACGTGGTGATGGTCAGGTTTGCACATCGCTATGACCCAACAAGCTACACTTGCTGGAACCAATGTTCCTGCAGGTCCTACCATGCCAGGAAGGTTGTTAGGATAGCGATTAGACTAAAAGCAGTTACCGGCTTAGTGTGAGAATCTTTTTTACACTAAGCTGGGGGGTCTGTGGGCGAAGTCGTACTGCTGGGGAACAGGGATATAACAGCAGTGAGGTGTTTCCCTCAGATGACCAGCATGCCAGCCAGCTATGCTGTCTCTCCACTCTGGAGAGAGGGGGTTAGAAAAGGTCGACCCCAACAATCGTACATCCTGACTTACCCCACCTACGGTGGTCCGTAACCGGCGGTAAGTTTACTAATACGGAACCAAACCAAGAAACCAGTTCATACAGGCCGTGTGTGACCGGTCGGCCTCAAGCAGTTGTCCCTTGGGCTCTGCGGTCACGCAACACTAACCCTCTCTCTGTTTCAGGTACCCGAAGAATCAGGCAACTTCCACGGTGTGAGCAGCCGGGAAGTAACAACCGCCCAAACACTTCCAAAAGCAGACAGACAGTTTTTCTGGGAGTTTGACTGACTAGTACAACTAAGCGATCAGTTTCTGTAAGTATGATGTGTGTTGTTACATGATTGGCAGAAGCCTGTACCTGCAGTCATCCTTGCAGGTGAATTGCTTGAAGTTATCGATAAGTTCGTGTATATCTGGGTAGTTGTGTGAGTGCCACCGGAGGTGTAACGGACGGGATTTCTAACCGTTTAATGTAAGAAAAACCTCCAAAGCCTCAGGATGGTCGGGGGTGGGTGCCTTGCGCTGCGGGTTGGCCACCCCTCCGCACACCTCTTGAAATGCTCCCATATGACCAGGCGTCTTACATAGCCTCTCCTGAGGAAGTCCTACTCACTGCCTTCACGTGGCGGAGGTGTTTTTCACCAAAGTGAGAGGGCGAAAGCGGATGCCCGGCGCTCTTCACCGGGTTGACTGTCCATTGGATGACAGTCTAGGGGAGGTGGCTAAACCCTGATTCCAAACCTCCAACGACTGGCGTATGAAGCTCACTGGAGCTCACCGGCAGACGTATGGACAAAGGGCTTGTTGGATGTCCTGGATATCTGGCCCCATTCAAAAAGGCGTATGAACCGAACTCCGGTCACTGGCTTCCAATGGATAGTGGGCTCCCTACTCCACTCCTACTGCCTTGTAGGTCACACTTGGTTGTGTAAAGGCTGGAGCTGCACTCTCAAACTAAAGGCCGAGCGATTCTGGGGACATCACTCGTATCAAATTCCCATGAAACTTCATGAACTCTCTTCATCAGATCGCCGCGCCTGGGCAGCGATGATTCGAGATGTTCATGAAGCCGGCTCATCCTCCCGTAGGAGATAGCCGAAGTAAAGTAAAAAAAAAAGTAAGTTATCTAAATACATCGGCTTCAGAGGCTTGTATATTTGCTACGAATTTCATTCTGGAAACCCGTGTACCGGTCTCTATTTGCTATTCCTCGGACTAGATGGAAAACGCGGAGAGGTGACCACCACCTGCCTATGACGTAGTGCCGTGGAATGAAGAATAGTTTGTGTTAGCTTAGCATGAGCTGGTACATCGCAACTCGGCGCGAGGGTAAATCATCGTTTTACCTACATATGACACAGATGGTGTTGATTGTGTCTAGCTTGTGACGAAATTTACACTGAATAAGATCAATGTGATGAAGACATATATTCACAGTCCATCTTCTCCGACTGGTCATCTGATCTTCAGTGTGTGTAGCCACCAGTGAAGGCAGCCGCTGATAAAAATGTCTGCAGTAACCTGTTTGACTCGTGCACGAAGTCTCTGAACCATATCAAAGGAGTAACTTGACATTACTGTTGACAATGCGAATGTTGTTCCTTATGGTGGTTAGTGCAGTAGGTTTCCAGACTGATTTTACAGTATTGAAGGCATGTCTTGCTTTGTGTTTCCTATGACATTTATCTTCATCCGTGGTGTTTATAGTTGAGACAATGCTCCCTAGATAAGTGAAAGGAGTGATTTTCTTCGAATTTCTCCCGTTGATACTGATGTATACGATGGATCAATCATATCTTCACTCTTCAACAGATTCTAGAACTTAGGCATACTTACCGGTGTCCAACTGTTACCATATTTCTTGACTTGAAAGCGACATTCGATTCGGTTGACCGAGAGGTACTATGGCACTCTACTCGAACTCATGCAGCCAGGTGAGAGCTTATGGCGAGTTGTCATCTGAACTGGTGACAACTAGTGGTGTCCAACAGGGATGCCCACTATCCCCATTTCTATTCAATTACATCATAGATGTACTGATGGAATTAACTGTAACTCATTTCAGCGACTCAGGGATTGACTTGTTACCATCAGGGATTAATCTTGTTGACTTAGAATATGCAGATGATATAGTCCTCCAAACTAGGTGAAGATGCTGACATAATGCAGAGTCTTCTGAACACCTTGAGCTGCAGTCTGCGAATGTTTGGCATGCGGTTCGCTCCTGCTGTCAAATGTAAGATGATGCTACAGGACTTAGCTGGACTGCATTGACTCCTAGCTTAGAAACAGGGAGTGAAGTGGTTGTTGTGGAGCGCGTTGACCGCTTCACTTATTTGGGAAGTTGCATCAGCCAACGCCGAGGTGTTGATCGCTGATGAAATCTCATCATGGATACACAAGGCTCGTTTGGCATTTTACCTGCCAAATTACGCCGTCTCCAGCAGTTCACTCTGTTTTCTTTTTAATGGCTGGGTGTGAGACATGGCCACGGAAACTGGAAGACATGAAAAGGCTGGCTGGCTGTCTCTTATCATAGGTGTCTGCGTTCTATCTCCTGTGTGTGTGTTAAGTGGTATAATAAGGTGAGCACTATTTAGGTTGGGCGTCGGTCGAGTGCTAGGTAAGGAGGGAGGGGAAATCAATCGATGAGGTGGTTGTGAAGCACCTGCATCAATTGAGATGGTTAGGACATGTGTTACGCATGCATTCCTAGCCATCCATCTCCTTCCTCGACAATGGGTAATGTTATCTGACTGACATAGGATGGTTGAGGTTGGAAAGGAGTTAGCTAGCTAGTGGTGGTCAAACCAAAACATTGCTTCATCAGTCAATGAAATCCACAGCAGTTAGTTTAAGTTAACCACGTAGAGAGATGAAAACTTCCTGGTTGGTGTACCCGAGATGGTAAGAACCAATACCAATGGCTGGAGACAATCGGTGATATGGCTGACTCAAAATCGTTTTCAATAGCTGGCGCACATGCATTCATTCTTTGTGATTAGTCATATCCAATAAAGCTGTACAATTCGTCCACATTACTATTCTTTTTCCCTTACTCACACTTCTGTTTATTATCTCTCTCTCTCTCTATTGAATCTTTCTTTACTCTCTTCTCTTACTTTGTGTGTTACATAAAGGGAGAGTGGCAACTGGAACTGATGCACGTCTGTGCAAAGTTCTACGTTGAAACCAGTTAGTCAGGATTCCTGTCTTCTCTATGCTCACTTCAAGTCTTGTCTTCGCTGCCTGCTTCCAGATCTTCTGGAGTCTTCTTGCTAGCTCAACGTGTTCCTGCCTTCTCTCTGCCTTTCCACGATGTGTTGCGTAACCCGACCTCCCTCCCAGAATCAGGAATATTATCAGTAGTATTAGACAGTAGCCTTGTCTTACTCCGATCTCACTTAAAACGCATCTCTAAGTTTTCTGTTGTGAATCACTTGACATGTGGTGTTGTCATACAGCTGTTTAATGAGATTGAGAAAGGTTTGAAGCACTCTGTAGATCACTGACCCTCCCCTGCCATTCCATGCGGTCTCACAGATTCTTAGCGTTACCATAATGTTTCTTCTTGTCTCTTCGAGAACATTGTTCGGACATTCCATCTCACCATGCCTACCTGCTGACTGGTAGGCTTTCACCAGCCTGTAACATTCTGTCGCTCCGATTTCAGTGAAGAATATGTGTTTGTTTCTGATCTCTTCTCTTTTTTTGCTTTGAAGTCTCTATAGAGCGACTGGATTGACTTTCCAGGATAGGATCGCTAGACCGCGTGTCGAACCTTCCCTCTTTTTCGGGGCGTAGGACCCAGTCATTGTTATAAAGAGAAGTTCGTATCTTCGGTATATTTGTAACAACAGAAGACAAGGGCCAGGCAATAGATCGTTTATTAAGGAAAGTCAACACATATTTATAGATTTTAATGTACATTATTGTAGATTATTGTTAGTAGACAATACAGTCTTTTGATTGGTTGTTTCTCACAGAAAGTTAACCTTGCATCTCTTTGTGGCTGTGTCAGATCATCTATATGCTAACTGTATCCGCCTACACAAAGCCTTTGTTCTCATTTTCTCACCACCAATATTGGGGACATAAACATTGACGTGAATTACTGTCTACCAACTTTGGCTAGCAGCTAGCTCTCACCAGATATTTACTTCCCCCTTAATGATAATAGTTCTCTTTCTCTTATTTTTTTCCATCCTCCTAACTTAGAATGCTCATGAATACTATTTATTACCTGTTCGACATAATGAAGATGAAATGAATAAACTACTGGCGAATCAATTGCCACTACCAGCTATCGGTCCAATGGATTCACCGCATACAAAAACCCATTTGCTATTTCAAGCACATTTTTCACGTATTGAAGAGTTACCAATTGTTGACTATAAAACAGATACACGTTCTGTACTAGATCAAGCGATAAGAATATTACAAGTAAGTAATACGAAAATGCTTTATATTATTTATAAGACATATAGTTTCCTTATTATGCATCGCTATTTTTGTTTTATTCCATTACGTTCCCAGTGGAACATAGGGCGCCTTCATCAAGCGAGGTAAAGGAGTGCGTCAGTCAGCCAGGTATTGAACCCCAGACCACATGAGGCGTCGTTGGCGAGCATTCTACCATTGTGCCACTGACGCTACACATCGCTATGCCTCTTGTAAACAAACTATGATGGACATTGGTATTGACGCCGTCAAGATTTGTTCACTGTTGTTGTAAGCGCAATATCGCTTGAAATTAAGTCACGCGTAGATAAAGGCTATCCCGGTCCAGAACAAACAAGAAGCCGGTCACTGTTTCTACGGTACTATTAATAAACAAATCAATAATTATATATACAACAAACCTTAACGGTTTCAAGAGTACAAAGCACAACGCTTAACAGAAAGCAAGGTACCGCTATCAGAGCGGAATAACGTTAAAGCCAAAATTGCGAACTAGCCGGAATCAGACACGACCGTTCAGGTAAGCAGTCAGTAGAAGAATGAACCCAAGTAAGGCAGGGCATATAACAGAGAGCGGTTAAGAGATAGACAGAGCATAGGCACAAAGATAGAATTTAATTGGCTACTTAACCAGGTAGGCTGATACAGATGAAGATCAATAAATAAGATAAACTCTACAGAATAGTACAAAGTAAGACATGGGTCAGCAAAAATAACAGTTCACAAAATACTCTGATTGGGTCATGAGTTCAACTGTCTGACTAAACGGATCGATGTAAAAACACACACAGTTCATTAAACAAGGTGGGATAGACACGTTAGGCATGGATAATTGGGTTGCAACAACGCTAGGCTGATCCGGGACAGGTTGACTTGATTCAAGGATGGGAATTGAATTGATCTTACAGTTGTCAACAGACGAACGAACGAAGAGAAAGATATTCAGGTGTTGGTTTTACAGGGATTTGATCACATCTACTGACATCATTTTGGAGAACAAACATTCATTGGGAAATCATCACTTCAAGAAAAAAAATTAATCGAATGCGCTCACTCATCATTAGCGTTGACTATTTGGCTCTATATACAGGAAGTTCCATAGAGTTTTCAAGTGTGAAATCGCAACCAATAGGGTTCATCAAGTCAGGCAAGGTAAGAGGAGAGTTATTTGCCGATGACAATGACACTGGTTGGCAGTTGCGCGAATCAACAGAAGGTGGAATTTATGAGCTAATGGATCGAGTCCCAGTGACTAGATGGCCTACGATCGCTTACCTTGTAACCGGTAGGTCCTAGGGTTTTAACCTTGGTGTGGTGTGTACCAGTCAACATCAGTTAGAGAGATCATTAAAAATCGTTAGGGAGCACTGGACAGCTGTTTTGTTCTAGTTTGGGACTCTTCATCGGTGTGCAACCAGGACCTTGCCGGGGATCGAACCTGGAGTCGCAACGAAACCAAGGTCTTTGACCATTCAGCCATTTAGGCCGGTGGCATTCAATTCTAACTTTGTTAACTTGTTGTGATACAGCGTTGTACTCACCAGTTCCTTCGATGAACATTGACTTCACCTTAACATGGTGCACCCTGCTGGTCACGACTCGCCACCGTAGCTTCGGCAAATTCATCAAGTGGCAATTAATATTTAGATTATAGGATTTGTGGATTTTATTTCAACTGTTATACATTCGTCCCAATCGAATATCAATTGGAAAGATCATTGAAAACCATAAGGGAGCACTGGATGGCTGTTTCGTCCTGTTTTGAGACTCTTCAGTGGTGCCCACTCAACGGGTCATTGAATTCTGACTCAACGGGTTTGATCTCGTTGCTACCTGGATGTCCCATGGTTCGATCCCTGGTAGTGCGGTCGGAGGTGCACACTGATGAAGAGTCCCGAAATAGGATGGAATTGATGTCTAGTGCTCCATCTCTAACTGGTGGTTGATTCGTGACGAATTCCACAGTCTAAACGAATTAATTGTCATACATACTGAAGAGGGTGTGAACTGTAATCTTCAAGTGTTGTGTATTGCAAGGATTTAGTTGATTTCAAGTTTGACTGATCACGAACTGACTTCATTCTGACAACTATTCAAGAAAATCAATAGGGAGTATTAGGGGATAGCTTTTTTGCCCTCCTTGTTTGGGACTCTTCGAAAGTACACTTCCATGACCCCACAAGAGAGAGAAGGATAGAACCCAAGAACTTCAGTTTTACTAGGCGACCTCGTTGACCGTTCATAATTACTCACTGGGTCAAGAATCCAAATGAAATAGTTCATAAATTCTAAGATCAATCGATTCACAATTTCTTTTTATTTATTTATTTATTTATTTATTTACATCATTTTCTCATATTTGTGTTGTATTCACTCCTACTACTATGTTGTTTCTGGGTTGTTTTGTTATTCTTTTTTCTTTTAATTTTACTTCTTTACTAGGCTATGTTAGATGTTAGCGCTGAATGTGGATGGCTTCGTACTTGTTTAAATTGTATCCTATTAATGCAAATGATTACACAAGGATTATGGGTTGAAGAATATGGTAGCAGTCTTTTACAATTACCGAGAATAACACGTGAACATTTAGATTATTTCAGGTAGAAATATTTATGTTTGATTAACAACTGTTATTATTATTATTATTATTATTATTATTATTATTGTTACACATTATTATTATCCCCTTGGGTTCCGAGTGGAACATAGAGCTTCAACTGTCTGTCTGTCTGTCTGTTTTCAACATAGAACTTTGCACCGGTGTGCAGCAGTTCAAGTCGCCACACTCCCTCCTTGTAGCACACAAAGCAAGAGAAGAAATGCAAAACAGAGACAGTAAACAGGGATATGAGACAAAAGGAATAGTAATAATGAAGAACAATATAGTTTCATTGGGTATTATAAGTCACAAGAAGTGGATGCATCTGCGCCATCATGGAGAACGATTTTGAGCCAGCCATATCACCGATTGTCTGCAATCATTGGTTTTTATCATCCCGAGGACCCCAACCAGGAAGTCTCCACTTCCCTACGTGGCTGGCTGGCCTAAACTAACTGTTGTGGATTTCATTGACTGGTGAAGTCATGTTTTGGTTTGAACACCATTAGCTCTTCTCTAACCTCACCGATCCTATGTCAGCTAATATCGCCCGTTTTCGAGGAAGGCGATGGATGGCTAGGCATGCATGCGTATCACATGTCCTAACCATCTCAATTGATGCAGGTGCTTCCCAACCACCTCGTCGATTGATTTCCCCTCCGCACTTAACCTACCACTCGACCTTTGCCTAACCTCAATAATACTCACCTTATACCACCACGTGACACGGAAGATCAAAGACAGCTATCTCGCCTTTTCGTATCTTCCACTTTCAATGGTCATGTCTCATAGCCAACTATAAAGGAGGACAGAACGAACTGCTGAGCAGTACACACGTCCTTTGGTCGACAGCCAGCCGGATATCACATCTAATAAGCCAGAGATAGCGTAAACTGGCATATGCGAAACTGGCCCTCCGTGTCCGTGCTGAGATTTCGTCAGCGATCAACCAGCTGGCGCTGGGATGATGCAACTTCCCAAATAAGTGAAGTGGTCAACGTGCTGTACCACTTCACTCTCTATTTCTAAATTAGGTGTCAGTGTAGTCCAGTTCAGTCCTGTAGCATCATCTTACATTTGGCGGGAGAGAATCGCATGCTTCAATAGCACATTTCCACTTTGTTCTATTTGGTGGTGTCCTCTCCAGCTGGACCTAGGATTGCCCATAATCTCCCATATCCTCCTCGCACGACCCACTTCATGTCACCCTCTCACCGCCGACCCACTCGTCACTTCTCATTGGGATTCTATTCGAGCGATGGCCTGCATTGCACGCGATGTCATTCGACGGCCTCCTCAATGTATATCCGATCCATCTCCATTTTCTACTACTTATTTTTCGAGCAATCTGCTTTTGGTTGGTTTGCTCCCCGCCAGAGTTTCTTGTTGCTAATTCCTTTTGGTGATCTGATCTTCAGTATGGGACCAGTGATGAAAACTGAGAACACAACTACATCAAAATCATCCACCTGAGCTACAAATCTTCTCCATCATATCTAAATCCAGGTCTTCTAGAGTCTTCTTATCGATCGTCCAGAGTATTCCTGTCTACTCGCTCTCCACAGCCTTTATTCAATACTTGTGTTAATTGAAGGAAGAGTTTGTTTGTAGAGTGTTGATTTGTCTCAAGTTCAACCATGGATTGATATCGCTGAGAGAATCATTAAAAATCACCAAGGAGTACTGGACTCCTTGGTTTCATCTTATTTTTGGAATCTTCAGCAGTAGGCGTTCATGAGCCCACTGGCAGCTGACCGCAGGACTTTGTGGTTTCTAGGCGCCAAGACCGTTGACCTTTCTTCAGCTACTTATGGAGCCAGGTAATGTGACAACTGCAGGGAACAGGACGGAATGGATATGTGTTGTTGAAGCCTAAGGTGTATATTTTATATTTCCATGACAATTAACTCCTGCCCCCCCCCCCAAATTATGACTCTTACTGGCCACCCGATCACCTAAAATTTTCCTTCCCTGTAATTCAATATTTTGAAAATGTAATGTCTCGTTTTACTTTTGTTTCTTTCAGAGGAAATCATAACACAAATATAAATTCGCTACCTGAACTTATTGACTATGTTGCATCATCACCTAATCGATTAGATTCTATGCTACGAGGTCAATTAGAACCAAGTACCATTAATCTTGTCAAACAAGTAAGTTTTAATTTGATTGTAAAAAGAGGATTGAGGGTGGGTGATTAAGCCTGTGTTTTTCTACACTTCATTCACGAATATTAATATATGTGTAAAACTTGGGCACTGTGGTAGTAAGTTATTCCATATTAGTTTGTTTATTAGATATATCACACAGTGAAGAAACAGTATTATTATTTACTGGATGACAAGGTTTTGAACACAATTCATCACTGTTCATAATCATATCAATTATAACCACACGACTTTGAAACTTGAGTTTTATAGTTTTCTTTGTTCTCTCCTATTTGTCGTCGTAGGGGTAGTAGAATTTTCCAGATATCCGCGTGGACAGGTGTTGAATCATTCCTATTACACGTATTCTCCTCAGTTGATTCGATAAACAAAGCTTCTGTTATCAATCTCTCCCTCCCTCCACCCTGTGACATTAGATTTTGGATTAATGATGACACCAACAATAAGGAGTCTAAATCATCAGTAGTAATTCCATACAAGGAAGGAACCTCGGAAACCTTACGCAAAATTCTTAACAAGGCAGGAATAAAAGTGACTGGCATTCAAACCAACCACAAACTCTATTAGAAACAAGCTTTGTCGGTTGAAGGATCCTGTGGAGCCTTGAAAACAAAACAATTTAGTTTATCTAATACCCTACAATGATTGTCAAATCCATACGTCAAACTAGTAGAACAGAGGCAGTCAGACTAGCTGAACATAAAAACCTAGCAAAATCTAGATTGGTTGACCCGAATAAGATAAGAAATCTAGAGAACAGTTCAGCTATAGCACTACAACACATGCAGTTATACACAACCATACAATAGGATGGGATGGGATAGGATGAAAGTTTTAAAATCTAATATAACAGCAGGGTGGAGGGAGAGATTGATAACAGAAGCTTTGTTTATCGAATCAACTGAGGAGAATACGTGTAATAGGAATGATTCAACACCTGTCCAGACAGATATCTGGAAAATTCTACTACCCCTACGACGACAAATAGGAGAGAACAAAGAAAACTATAAAACTCAAGTTTCAAAGTCGTGTGATTACAATTGATATGATTATGAACAGCAATAAATTTTGTTCGAAACATTGTCATCCAGTAAATAATATCTGTTTCACTGTGTGATATATCTAATAAACAAACTAATATGGAATCATTCACGAATAGTCCAAGTTGAATTGTGTTCAGTATGATGACAAGACAAAAGAACACCAGTGAGAGTGGTTCACTAGTAGAATGCTCGCGAACCATGCCATACGTGGTCCGGGTTCGATCCCTGGTTGACGGATGCACTTCCCTAAACCTCGCCTAGCACAGTCAGTAGTCGGCCGGGTATGGAAGGTTTAGATTTATGATAAATGCGCTGTCGAGTGAAGTAGTAAAACTCTTCACACCATTCATCATTTCTTAAAATCGAGGAATATTTGTTCCGATTATTAATAGTTTCTTTTTCCTAACTTCAATCAAATGGTTAGATGGTTGGAGGCATTCGGTGGAAAGCTATGGACCTAAGTTTGGCACTCACTACTCAGCAAGATGTATTCTGCAATCTTGAATGACGAACTCATTTCCCTTCTGAGATTCGAACCCGACTTACCCAGTGCTTCAGTCAGAGGTGTTACCGCCTAGCTATCAGTGCTCGCTGCTGATAGAATTCAGTCTACACCAGACGAAAAACTAGGTTACTACCTAGTATCCAATCAAAGTATCCACTACAGTCCTATAGGAGGTCATTCACGACCCGAAATATCTGAGTAGTAACGTCTCTGACTTCAGTCAGCACCGGGGTACCCGGTTTCGAATCTCAGAAGGGACCTAAGTTGTTCCTTGAAGATTGTAGATCCACCTTTCTGCATGGTGAGTGTCAGCCAACAGGCATGAAACCTAGGTCTAGATAAGACTTTTTGCCGATTACCTCCAACCGTGTACCAACAATTCGGAGTACCTAGCTTGTTGGTGATAGCCACGACATGAATGACACCAATCTATGGAGTGATTTGACCATATTTGGTTTGAATTTTACTACATTTACAAAGTGTGAATTGCTTCATATGTGCGTTGAATCCTACGATAACAATAGATGAATGGTCTACAGGCTCGCCTTGTAACCGGAAGGTCTTGGTTTCCTAACCCTATCTATGGGTGCGTACTGCTGAAGTAGAGTCCCAAACCAGGATGTAATAGCCGAATCCAGTACTCCCTGGTGATTTTCCAATGGTTCCCTGACTGATATCAGCTCGTAATCAAACTTGTAACCAATACCTACCAACGTTTGATAATTGATCTGATGTTCACTCACTAGTGATTGGCTCTATGCAGAGGGAGTTACCTGGAGTTCCAGTTAGACATCGTAACTAGCATGGTCCATCAAGTCAGACTAGTGGTATTGGCTGGCAGCCGCTCTCTTTATCACGGATATGACGTTGTTTGTTAAGAGAATTAAAGTACAACGGACTGGAATGGAACCTGGATGACCACGTGGTGGTTGGAGAAAATTTTACTATGGAACCAACCACAGAGGCACTTAGCCGCCTATAGTGAAGTTGGTGAAGTTCAACAATAGCGTCCCAGGAGTGCGAACGCTCCAATGACCTTAAACGCATGCTAGTCGTTGGCTAACGGCACCTGTCATTATCATATCTGAAATATCAACGCTATTCGCCTTACAGCCTAGCAGAAAATTTCACGCAGATCACGTTTTTAGGTACTGTTTGGACAATGTGCTAATAGCTTGTTAGGGTTAGGATTAGGGTTAAGGTAAGTATCTGGGTTAGGCTTAGGATCAGGGTCATAATTAGGGTTAGTGTCAGGGTAAGGATTAAGTTTAGGGCTACGATTAGGGATTGATTTGGAATTGATCACATTTATTTTAATTTGTTTTATTATCCACATTTTCCTGGTAAGTGGTCGTCGATCCACTTACTGGAAACCATAGTAATTCAACCGAGGGCTTTTGGGGAAGACTGCACAGCAGGATAAACAGTTCACAAAAACAGCTCATCTTCAGTCACCTCGGTGAATACACGTACAGAATCTAGTCTAACTTAGCAACTGATACTCCTCATTATAACTGGGACGTGTTTTTAAGTCATTTAGTCAGAGAAAGATACCCTGTTCAATGTGTTTTCATGCATTTTCTTGTAGATATACGTCATTTTTTTTGTGCAAAAGTCACTTACTTTTTAATGATTGTTCGGCTGAAGGTCACTTGTGCGTTCGCATCCCTTGGGACGCTGTTGTTGAACTTTGCTGTGAAGTCTTCTTCTTCTTATGTAACTTTGTAATGATATTTATTATCTCATAATTTCATGACAATAATAGCCTCATGATGACAGATACTTTTACCCTCATTGTTCAGTAATGTTACCTAATCACATCTAATCACATTTTATATTGCCTCTGTGTGTGTGTGTATTCCTCTCCTTAGGCAGTGAAACGTTTTCCTCTGATTGACATTCACTCATGTTTAATTGGTCCAAATCCATCCTTATCACCTCTACAGTCAACAGTTAGAGAATTTATCATAAATAATAAAACTGGTCAAAGTTCAAATTGTTTAACAGTATACTCTGATATAGAATATGTTCTGCGTATTGAATTACTACGTTCATCGCTTGATAATGAATATTATGGAAATAAAGTAAGTAAGCAGTTGTTTTTTATTTCTTATTAGTTTGTGCGTACTACTTACTGACAAGACTTATCAGTAGTATATAGGCATGCGTTCATCGGAACAAAAATATCGGAGAGATAAATTTGACGTCAGTAAGAGAGAGAAATGAACTAAAGAAGACAAAGAGACACAATACAAAGGGTGGGGGCGGAAGAAGTAGGACAACATGGGAGATCTGTGCAAACGACGATTTCATATATGGTATACATAATTTCCCTATATCTGTGTATATCAAAATGCAAATGAATAGCCCGTTACCCAACCACTCTCGTGTGTCTTTCCGTTACATTTTTAAAGGAGGTGATCTCCACGCACCGACAGGGCTGTCACATGACCATCAATCACAGGCACTAATCCTCTACTGCACCACACGGGGACTTCTGTGTACTGGGTTTCCCTCTTGGGCCGATCCGCCCCTCTTTTGTCGACCCGGACAACTCGCCCTCTGACAGGTCATCCATATCACCGCCATGCTTAGCGTGAACGCCCGGTCAACATGGACACCCATATGCCAGAACTCTCGGTCCCGCGAAATCCCTCCCCTGGCCTCCAAGTAGCTGGATTACAGGTGTACGCCACCATACACACAACTGGGTAGCGACACGAAATGTAACTGTAGAACACAAGATTGGTTATTTAATTCAATTTTAGATTTTCCCGTCGACTGATTGGACCGAAGTGCCCGGTCTCAGGTTGACATGTCGCACTGGGTACTGGGTTCGAGCCTCGGTGGGAGCATCACCACCCACTGGGGAATACAGGTACATTCAGCGACGAGTCCCGGACAGGACGAAATGCGCATCAAGCTGGATTCCACTGCTAGTCACCATCCACTAATTAAATTCTAATTACATGCCCAGACATCGTCGAAGCATCTGCAAAAGAAGCCGACATGTCGACCTGAAAACCGAGCACTTCGGTCCAGTCAATCGACGGGAAAATCTAAAATTGAATTAAATAATTAATATGACCCGTTGCACAAGAGGTGACTGTCGTGGCCTAAGTGGTCTAGTGGATAATGCTTTGGCGTTTGAAACTATGGGTGTGGTGAGAGTTGTCTGCAAGCCAAAATTGTAAACACCAATTTACGTTATGTTTACGTCCCGAATCGGGGTCATGAGAAAAAAACAAGAACACCATGCTTACAAGTGCCAAGAAGCACAAAATCTAATTGACCCAACCAGCATAATCACTAAATAAGAAGCATTTATGCGATTGTAGTCTATTGTTTTTTTTTTCTTGGGCGATGATAGATTACTAGCCTACCACCACCGTGCCACAGCGCACATCATCTGGGTTCTGTTCCCAGCCGGTTAACTCACACTCCTAAACCTCATCCAATCAATAATAATAATAATAATAATCGATTTACTTTATTCCAAAAACAGTACTTGTGATGCAGAATGGAATTTTCAGCATTAATCACAATATTGCATCTAATTTCCTCAAATTATAAATTAAATTAATCACACAGAAAATTCTTCCACATTTACAATAGGGTCAATATAAAAAAAATAAAAAACATGCAGCATATAAAATGGTAATAATAATAATGATAGCAGCTAAGGTAATGATAATAATACAAGTTAAAATTGCCATGGGCTTGTTTCACACAATATTGTCGATGCGGTATACAAATCCTTGCATGATTAAAAATATTGAATATGATGTTCTCTTTACATGATATGGTGAGGGGAAAAACAAGGATTATAGCAGTCATAGAGATAAGTTGGTGTTTGCAATTATGAAAGTAAAACAAAGAAGCAACATGACCATGAATATAATAGAAATAATAAAAGTAAAACTTGAAGGTATATAAGGATGGATAGAGGAGATTGTTTATTTACTAGATGAAAAAAGGTTAGTCAATTCTTGCCTGACGCTATTTTCATCACATAAAATACGTGCCAAGTATGGTATCATAGAATTCTTATACTTAGACGTGCGAGCATACAGTTCTCTGAAGTTACTTCTTGTTCTACCTGAGGAGATGCAAGGTGAAAGCTGAGGGTGAAGTGGATGCTCCAAGTCAGACAAAATCCCTTTAGCAAATTTATTGCACGAAATCACGTGCCTATCGACAACGACGTTAACTATGTGGTTCACTGGGACACCACTCATCCTACTGAAAGTCTTCAGCATTCTACGAATTGTGACATAGTCCTTTTTAAGCAAACCAGGAAAGAATAAGGGTGAACAATAAAGAAGAATAGGTAGGATGCAAGAGTTTATGAACTGTAAGAGGAGGGGTTGAGTTATACCCGAGTGCGCCTTAACTTCCTAATGTAAAATGTCAGGCGGAATATTTTACTGGAGATCGCTAAGACATGGGAAGACCAGGAGAGATCAGAAGAGAGAATAAGTCCAAGATACTTAATTTCTGATTTAATTCCTATATCATTGTCGTCAATCTTACAACTGTCATGAGAATCGACGACTTCTTTTAACTGTCGTTTACATCTTAAGCTGAAATTAACAGTTTGACATTTAGAGGGATTCAGTTTAAGACCGTTAGACTCAGACCATTTACTGACTTCCGACAGAAAGCTATTTATTTTGGTATAATCTAGCTGGGAGTTAACAGTCATTGAAACAGTTAAATCATCAGCGTACTTCACAAAGTTTATTTCATCAGAGTGAGACAAGTCATGTAAGAAGAAAGAAGAAGTGTGAGTGTGACGTTATCAACACCGTTCCATAAAAATAAACACCATTGTTATGAGAACTTCGAAGCCTCAGTTCCTCTGTGTATTATTTTTTACTCATTTTCGCCTGTTATTTCTCTTTTCCTTTTTTCTGTACAACAGCCAGTAATTACAGCCTCCTTAATCAAATCCAAAACATACGAAGGTTGGTTCCTCCTGTTGGGGAATTGTGAAGTCAACATCAACACTGGTGGAGAGCTGCTAGTTCTTAAACGTGTACCACCGAAATCAGTTGTAATTCACAAAAAGGACTATACATCAAAACAGCGCCTGTTCAAAAATAACAAAGGAAAACATTTTATCAATCTAATGGTAAAATTCCCGCCACCAATAACACTAGCACCATCAATAAACAGTAATGATGTTGATGGCATCAATCCTCCCATGGAATGTAGACAACGTTATCAACTCACTCTATTCTTAATGTCGGATACTTATTTGGGATTAGATCAACAGATTGACTTACTATTTGATGTGATTCGTAAACCACCACCTGAGAATGACAAAGATGCCGACTTTGTTGGTGATGATGATGATTATGATAATGTGAATTCTTTTGTAAATTCTGATACGATAGAATTTCCTAATGAAAAATTGTAAATGTATTATTATTATTATCATTATTATTGTGATTATTATTGTTAATATTTTTTCTAGTGTCCTTCCTGTGGAGAGTTCATCCTCTTCTTCATAATTAATGATGGTTGTGATGATGAAATAGACGATAAAGAAAAAAAGGTCTTTCATGTATTGATAAAATATTTTACAAAGATTTTTCTTTCCTTTAAAAATCCTTTTCCTGTTTGCCCTGCTTCTTCAGATTTTGTGTGTATTTCTCCCGTTTGTGTTTGGCTTTCATCACCTTCTGTAACATTTTATGTATCTTTTTTTTGAGGAGAGCGGAGGGGGAGGCGCAGTAAATATTTTTTATGCTTGTAACTTGATATCTTTTTTTTTCTAGAAGAATTCTTAGCAAAATTTATGGCATAGTTAGGAATTCTCTCTTTGTCTGGTAACGACACGAGTATAATAGTAATTCAAGTTTGACCAAGGATCGATGGCAGTCAAAGGAAAACTATTGAAAGACAGTGGAGAGTAATTAAACACCGTTGAGTTCCGTCCTAGGTTAGGACTCCGGTTCAGCAGTAGCACGCATCCATGGGGATTCGAACTTGAAGTAAACCAAAACTTGATAATTAATCTGATTCTCACTAGTGACTGCCTACAAGATGAAGTTGCTTGGAGTTCTAGCGAGAAGTGGGATCCATCAAGTTGGGTGTGAGAGGACAAATACTCGTCAATGACATCGGCTGGCGGTCGCGGTAAAAATCATGAATTGGTAGAAGTTAGAATTCATGGGACATCGAGTAAGGTCACAGTAACTGAATGGTATGCAAGTTTGACTTGTAACATGTTGGTTGTGGGTTCGAGCCCCGGTGGGTGCGTTCTCTCGGTGAGTCCCAGACTAGGACGAAGCAGCTGTCCAGTACACCCTGGTGGTTTTCCAGTGGTTCTCTAAATGATATCAATGTATGGCCAATCTTGAAACAAATCCTTGCAAATTGACTTCTGAAAATTGACATAAGGTCACGTGATGCAACTCTGTCTGACCTGAGGCGCAAACGAGTTCGGTCTGCAGTGAATTTATTTGTCTCCTATAAGACATGCACGACATTTAGGTGGAAGCAAGCTTTAAAAGGGTGCATAGGAACATTTTACGACCCATAGACATAATTGAAAGATTAAAGAATTCAGTTTTATTTCCTTGAGTGCGGCAGTTAGTACTAGAAATCTCAGTATTAGAATTTGTATCAACCCCAGGATAATACTTCTTATCAAATTTGATAGAAACTTGCATATCATAAGACTGTAAACATTTCAAATACTCTCACACACACCTTTCTGAACTTCTTGTTCTTTTCCACAAATGATGATGTCCTTAACTATATCTAAAGGTTTCTTATGTGACTCCAGGGTTTTTGTCGGTGATTTATTTGGAGACTCGGTATTCTCTTTTTGAAGGTGACACAGTTTAACAAGGTCTGTGCCACGTACTTGAATGAAAGGGAAGATGTACACGGAAGCATCTGAGACAGTGTCGTTGACCCCAGATGTGTGGCGAGTATCCGAAGTCGACTGTGAAATATAATCTAACTGGCTTGATTCCCCTAGTGGAAACCTATCTGAAGTTGAGTTCGCAGAGTACGTGAATGGTTTGTGGTCTGTTGAAATGGTGAATTCATGACCCTCCACAGAAGATCGGAATTGGCGTGTAGCACGACACACTGGCATAAGTTCTTTAAAGAACGTGTTGTACTTTGCTTTTGTTATTTGTAGCCACCTCAGGGAAAAGGCAGGTGGTTGCTGATTTTCGCTGTCCAGTTATTGCAGAAGTGAACCAACCGCAGCTTCAGAAGCATCAACTCATATACGGAAGGGTGCTTTTGAATCTCCCCACATAAGTAAGGTGGCATCCACAACAGCATTTTTTTTACTTGGGTGGAGGCATTCTTAGCGGACTCGTCGAGACCCACGTAGGTCCACCTGCAGCTGGGTTAAGGCGGTATAGTTGGGAATGAATGATTCTTCACTTTCTTAGACTCAAAAAAGTGTGAGATCGTCTCTATTTCAATGCCCAGTGCAGTGGTTAGTCTTGCAGTCAGTGATTTCACCTCTTACTTGAGACATTTTGCATAATAATGGTAACAGTAGGTTGTAGGGTTTAACAACTTAGATTTTAGAAAAGATGGTCGCGGCACATAATGTTGCGTTAATCCGTGTATGTATGACAATAGATCTCAATCTGAGATACTCTTGGCGTTTTGTCGTTGCTAATCACTAGTGGGTTGGCGATCATACCTATCTTTTTTCCGTACCATCTTAAGTGGGGATGCCCATCGGCTATTCAACAGTCGAATAATGCCAAGAATCTGCGTACGATTGAATTCGTTTTTGGCTAATCGCAGTTCACCAGAAGCGAGTCGTTGTGCTTTGGAATTCACAAGTTATCCGGTGGTTGTGATGTGATGCATAACATTGCTGCTATTGCTTGGCAAATCATTCGAACGGCAGTTAAGCTCCGGGTACTTGTCGACAGTCACCAGGTAAGTGGAATCAACTACTGTCTTCTTCTTGACCTACGTAGATGATACCTTTAACAGACACTCTAGTGGTAACGTCTATCAGTCGGCTTAGGCGGGCATCTACGAACAGATCGTCCTTGTTGAGCAGATCCATGCTTATGATAGACATCGTAATGCCACCAAGAAGGGAAATCCACAGGATAGGTTTGCGTAAGCAGACGTTCAGGTTGAGATAGCTCCTCCCAAACGTTTTGTCGGGTTTTTGATTTGCAGCCCGCAAACTGTGGCATGTTACTCGTAGTGACATTCCTATGCGACAGAGAATACTCTAACTTCCGCACCATGCCAACCAAGTACCGGGTTTTAAAAACACATCTCGAACACAAAGTGGACGGCTACTGCTACTTACTCAAGCCACCTGGATAGTTTCGCATAGTCACTGTTTCCTAGTTAAGTCTGCAGGTTTTTCGGCAACACTCAGCTTGGGCATTGGAGCCACTACACGAATAACTCTGAACGAAGATACAAGCTCGCAGTCTTCAATCCAAACGGAAATAAATTGTTCCAAACAGATATGTACCTGAAAAAAATTGAAGAATCTACAGGAGTTATTGTTCTATTTAACAAACTATATCAAGCAGTCACAGTACAAACCTTCAGTTATGTGGTTACTTGGCATTCAGATGTCAAGAGCACAGTGGCCGAGGATAAAATAACTCGCAGTTGGCAAAATTTGCGCCCAAACAAAAGAGTATACAGCGGTCCGAAATGAACCACAAACAGTCTGATTTATGCAGAAATGTAAAATAGTGAATAAAGTGAAACCCTAGTAATTCAAGGCACAGTACCAGACGTTACGAGAGGCATTCTGATTCATTAGATGGTGATTCTTGTCAGAACGAGGTCTGGGCTTCAAACGACTGCATGAGTGGTGCCGTTATTTGCTGGTGTTGTCGAGGCTAGTCGACCAAATAATACGCTTGAAAGAGTCACATAACTGTATCGTCTCCGATTCAATACTCGAAGATTGTTTGTCGATCTATCAAACTTCAGTGACCAGCCTTTTCGATCTTTGTAGGATTCTGTCAGTCAATGTGTCTGAAACATCGACAGCAAGCGCAGTCCATACTGGTTTTACCACCTCAGATAGATCTGACTCTCTAAATGGTCCCTCACAGAATCTTCGTCAACTGATGACTTCATGAAGTCATCAAAAAATGTGTATGGCCAAACCACTCCCTAGTTTAAAATCGTGAGGGGAATTCTTTGGGACGTCAGATATTTGAGGTATAGTTTCTACTCAGAATTACCACTTGGAGTGTGGTGTATGCGTTACTTACTTATGGTGTTTAACGTGCTTTTGGAAACTCACTCGCTCAATTCAAGAGGAAAAGTACGTTTAACTGCCAGGAATTGCAAACGTAAATGAGTTACACCATGTTCATGGAGGTAGGTTGCAGCACACAAGCTTTTTCGGCATTGTTTGGCTAATATGGACACTATCTGAATAGGGTGCTATTCGGTCGAATAAATATAAGTTCGGGTATCCAGTCACAAATCGTGAAATTGATTTATGTCAAGACATATTGAAGTTACCTGCTGAATAAATACAAAGTGAACTCGCCTAAATAAATATAATAAACACTGATGCCGGATTCACAGGCTAAGAAAATGAAGTTCGTATGCCGGTTCCCCTGTTATGAAGATGAAGGATGTTTATGTCTATTCAAAGGACGCTGTATACAAACTGAAGTTATTATCCTCCAAGTACCGTAGTACTTGCCTTGAGCAAAGTCAAATTTAAGATTCCAAAGTAGGATAAATGTATTGGGACCAGATTTGTAGGCTAATGATTGCTTGCCTAGTTTAGAGATCGTACACGAACGACAGAACACATACAAAAACAACAGCGTACGAAATGGTGAAAATGCTTGACCTCGTGTGTTCAGCTTAACAAGCCTTGTGTATTTCCCTGTATTTGAACACACTGCACCAACCACCAAATCATTGAAGGCGCAGAAGTCTGAGAAGAGTTCACCGTTCGTTCATTTCACCGAGGGCCTCACGACCCATGGTGAGTTCTCTTCCTGTATTGTCTCCTCCCAGCTTCGCATTCATATCACCCATCAGGATTTTGATATCGCCATTTGGGACGTTGTCCATTACTGTTTGTAGTTGACTGTAGAAATCCTCCTTCTTCTCTTGTTCTGAGACGTTTGTAGGCGCATAGCATTGAATGATTGTAACCTTCTTTCCTTTTGAGTTGAACCTGGCTATCATTATCCTGGAGGAGATTGGTTCCCACTGCATGAGAGCTTTAGCCGCTGTTGGTGACATCATGATGGTTACTCCCTCGGTGTGCTCGTGATCGTCCTCTGGGTGACCGGAGTAGATTATTGTCTCTCCAGTTGGTAGTTGGCTCCTTTCACATCCGTTCCATCTGCTCTCGCAGA